CCTTTTTATTAAATCGTTTAGTAACTAAGTTTATTTAATAAAATTAGCCGGTTTTCTAATCTATCTATAAATTATATTTTCGTAACTACGAGATTCTTAAAATAACGTCGGTATTTCCGATTTTTATAATATCGTATTTTAATTATTTTAATTAGTTATTAATATATATTATAAAGTATATAGTTTTTTAGTTAATATATCCGTCGTTATAATTAATTTATTTTCTTTTTATTATTTATAAAATATACGGGTTCGTTTTTTATATTTATAATAATTTATATTTATTTACCGTTCTTAATAAAATAAAGATTCCTTAAGCGCCGTTATCGATAATAACGTTTATATCGTATTTATTTATTTAAAATTTAAGTCGTAAATATTCTTTATTGGGGAGTATTATAAAATATAAAAACTTATTTATTTTAGCCGCTTTTCGTTATTCTTTTATAATTAATATATTTAGTTTTTTAATATTTCGAGGGTTAATACCCGTCCTTTTTTTATAAGCTATTCGTAATTAATTATTAAATCGGGACGTTTTTATCCTTTAATAAATAAATATAGTATATTAATAATATCATAAATATCGTTTATTTTTTTATTAATAGGTTCTCTCCTTTTAAAAAATAATTTATAATTTTTAAGTATTTTAATATTAAATTATATATTTAAAATATATCGGTTATATAAGTAGTTTTTTAAATCCTTAATAAGCTAATTTAGTTCTTTTTAAAAACTTATAGATTTTTATTATTTTAATTACTTATCTAAATCGGCTTTCTCTTTAATAATAAAATCGTTAATATTAAATAATATCCTATAATCGATTTTTAATTAAGTACGTCGTCAAGCGACGTCGCGAGGTTCGTCCGAGTTATAAAGCGATTATTAACCTATTAGCTATTCGTAGTTTAATATATTAATATTATTTAAAAAGGGGTCATAGTTTAGTCCTTTAATATTAAATTCCGTAAATATATCGTCGGTAATTTCTTTATTTAAATTATCTAGCTTAGTATTTTTTTTAAATATAAAAAAGTTTTATTTTAAACGGAGTATATTATTTTTTATTATTATTTTAAATTATTTATATAATCGTTATTATAAAATAATAAAGACTATTTTTATAATTAAATATTAAAGAATATAAACGTTTATCGTATAATAGGCCTCGTTTAGTTCTTTAATACGTTAATAATAACGTTCTTTTAATATCTAAGGTCCGTATATTAGATATATAATATTTATTTTTTTATCAATTTCGTATTTTAGTTAAAAAAAGTCTTTTTTTATTTTAGCTTTTAATTATTTTTAAAATCGTTATTAAAATAAGGCGAGTATTGCTTTTACGTTTAGTCGTTTCTTCCTTAATAATCGGTTAACTTTATAATAATTAATTAAAATACGGATATAGTTTTTATTATAATCTTCTATTATTAAAAGGCGATATTTATAATATTAAATTATTTTATTAAGTATTCGTTGTATTATATAAATAGATTTACTTAGAATCCGTATTTTACGAGCTAAGATCTCGTTTTTTAATTAAAATAAGTCGTTTTTATTTTTAATTATTATCCTTTTTTTTAATCTACTTTTTATTATCGTAAAAGTTTACGTTCGCTTAAGAAAACTAATAAGTTATACTTTAACTACTTCGTATATTATTAACAATATTTAAATATATTCTTTATTATAGTCTTTAATAATTTTAAAGCGTTAAACTACTTTTTATTTATTTATTATAATAAAGGTTCTATTAAAAGGTTTTTTAAAATACTATCCTAATTATTCTTTACTATTTCAATAAATAAAGCAGTTATCGTTATAGTATATAATCTATAAAAGCGATTTATAAAATACTTTTTTAAAAATAATATTAATTTATTTCTCGGGGATAGGTCGTTATTAAATTCGTTTAGGCTATTTATAATCTTTAATTATATATCCTAACTTATCGTAATTATAATATTTAAATTTTTTTTTTTAGCGGGATTAGTCTCGTTTTACTATATTAAGGTCTATAGGTCCGCTATATTATTTATAAGTAATAGTTTATTAAGGATTATTATTCCCGTTATAACGGTATTTTTAATTAAAATTACGTTAAAGTTATTATTAATATTTACGTCCTAAGTTAGGTTCTTATCGCCGGTCTTTTTTTTTTTTTTTTATTTATAAAAACGGTTATCGATTTTAATTACGAATTTAGTATATTAAAGGAAATTATCTAGTTTATTAAGCTTAATAAGTTCGTTTTTAACTTTATTCTTTAATCCTTAATAAAATATAAAGATTTTAATATCGTTAATATAGTCGAGCTAGGCGTTAAGGCGTTTAAACTCGGCTAAGTAGTTCTTTACCGACTTAGTTTATTAAAATTATAATATATCGCGCTCGGCTTATCGTTTTTTATTTAGATTTTAAAAGAGCGATTTAAAAGCTTTTTTAAACCTATTAAAATTATAATAAATATCTCGTACTTTAATAAAATATTCGTTAAAGGTTTCCTTTTTAAAATACTTTTTTTAAAAAAGTTTAAACTATTTAAAAGCTCGTTTTTTAAAAAAGCTAGCGGTATATATAACTTTTTTAATTTCGTTATTAAAATCTTTTTAGTAAAAGTTTTAAAAGTTTTTAATTTAGATTAAAAATCCTTTTAAAGTTTTAAAAGTCCCGTCGAAAATAATAGGTACGTTAAGTTTAAGCTTTTATCGTCCTTTATTAAGAGGGGTAATAACGATATTAATAGTATTTTAAAGCGTATTTACTTAATTAGCAAGGTTTAAAGCCCTTTAGCGTTCGTTTTTAAATTTTTTAAATATAATATTAAATATTCTTTATATCTCGGTAATATCGCGGTCGTTCTTAGCTTAAGCTTTTATTAATTGGGTAATAATAGTATTAAAAAGGTCCGTTAGTTTTTTATTATATTAAGTATTTTAATTAACGACGCGGTGTATTTAAATATATATTATTTTATTAAAGACTATGTCCTTATTAAAGTTATATTTAACGTTAAATATTTTTACGTCTCTTTCGGCTTAGGCTAGCTCGGCGTTTAAAGCCTAGGGCTTTTTACCCTTATTAAAAAAGGATTTAATAAATATCGTTCGTATTATTTAATAAGTTTTTATAAAGTCGATTTATTAAATAAAAGTAATTAAAATATTACGGCTAGTTAATCGTAATAAAATTTATATTAATAAAAGTCGGGGCTACGATATTTATAAATAATAATCGTTATAAAAATAATTTTAATAAAGTTATTATTTATAAATCGTAAAATAAGTAAGGCTTTGGTAATTAATTATAATCTTTATTAAATAAGTTTTTAATAAAGATAGCTAAAAATAATTATTAAATCTGGTATAAAAATTAATTATTAAAGAAGTTATAAAAGTCTATCCTCGAGCTTAGCTCGGCTATTTTATATATAAGTTTTAATTATAAATATATCTTTTATAATATTTTATTTATTTATTATTTAATAGTTTATTGAACGGTCGTCTATTTTATATTTTTATAATCGTTTATTTTATTTATTTATAAGCGTCCGTTTTTTATTTTATCGTACGATCGTAATTATATAACTTATTTATAATTCTTCCGTCCCGAGGGGAGCCGTTACTGCTATATATATAGTATAGTAGCCGCCATAGGTCCTATAGGGCAGGGCCCTAGTCTAGTAATGCGTGTTGGGTCGTAACATAAACCTTTACTATAATTAACATAATTATTAACTAAGCTTTAAAATATTTACCTACCCTTTATACCGAAAGCTTACTTAGCCTATTAAGGATTTTATTAAAAATATAAGCCGTCGTATTAATATTTAGGTACGTAACGTCTATATTGTTATATAAAAATAATTCCCGGATTCCGTACTTACTTAGCGCGATATTTATAATATTAAAATACGTTTAAATTAAAAAAAGCTAAATAGTTATTTATTAATAATCGTATTAATTAAATTATTTAATAAACGATAGATTCCTTATATTATTAAGTAGGCTAATGATAAGCCGGACCGCTTTATTAGGCTTATCTAGACTTTTCTTTACTATTTTTAAATATAAAAGCGATTTTTAAAAGTGATTAGCTTCGATAATATTTATAATACTAATCGCTTTAAGCTTTTATTATTTTAAATAATTAAGTAGACGTGCCTTAGATCTATTTATAATATAGTATTTAGTCTTATTAATAACGAAAGGTTAAAAGGCTTTCGATTTCTTTTTAAAAGTATAAGATAATTAGTTAAGTAATATTTAATTCGTCGCCTTATAATTATTATTATAAACTATAATAAATAAATAAAAGTTATATTTAGCGAAGAGTTTTTAAATACTTAGTAATAGTTTTATATTTACTATATTAATTTTAATATTATATTTAAAGCTAAGTAAAAGTAAATTAAAGCCGGCGGTAATAATAATAATAATAATAGGTTTAACAAAGAGGATCTTTATTTAATAATATAAATAATAGCGGAGCTTAATAAAGAAAACCGCGCTTATATTAATATAATAATAAATTAAACTATCCTATATACTTATCGCGGGGTATTTATTATATAAAAGCTTATTATTTTTATTAAAATAAAATAATTTTTTAAAAAAGTGTAAAGAAAGTTTTATAGTAAGTTCGATAATTAACGCCCGATTTTATAATATTTATATTTAATATACTTATTTATAAGAGTATAATAAGCTCGCTGTTTTATTTATTAATATTAAAACTTTAATATTTATATTACCTTTAATATTAAATTAAATAATAATAATATTAAGGGTTACCTTTTTAACGATTTTAATTATTTATATCGGCTTATCGACGTTATATAGAATATAATTAGCGATTAAAAGTTACGCTTTTGCTAAGCTTATATAGAAGACGAGGTGCTTATTAGCCGGGATTATCTTGGCCCCCGCTTAGAATATTTTAATAAACTTTAGACTATAGTTTTATTAAGGTATTTTAAATTAATTATTAAGTAATATCGGCTTATATATAAAGTAATACCTTTTAAAAAAAGGCCGTTTCCACCCCTTATTAGGGAATATAATAATAACTATTTTATATTAGTTAAGTTAGGTATCCCGTGCTATTATAAAAATTTTTTAAAAATAACGGAATCGTCGATTTTTAATAAATAAAAAGTTTATTTACAATAATAGTTTTAAATAACGTCTTTTTTTAATCCCTACCGTCGGATTTTAGATTTAAAGATTATAACGTTTCTCTATAATAAACTAAAAAACGTAATATAATAAGTTCTTATAAAGCTTGCGCTATTTTAATAAAGCTAATAATTTTAATACTAAATTATTATAATATAGGATAACTAAGGCTCGACCGGCTATAAACAAGGCCGCCCGCCGGGAAGCCGTAATAAATTATTATTAGCTAAGAGCTTATAAAGGGCCGGCTATTTAATCTCTAATTAGGCCTTAAATTAATCTTAATAATAAATAAGAAGTTAAATTAATATTTTTAATAAAAAAAGGATAATAAGGGGTCGTATAAATAAAAGGCCGTTATAATTTAATATTTAAAAACGGTAAAGCGAGTAAGAGATAATACTAAATAACGGCGAATAAAGGAATTTACGATTATATTATTTTATTTATTATTTAAATAATTTATTATAAGTTAACATTAAAATTAAAATAAAAATAATTATTTATTTATTTTTTCGTTACCCTTAAGGACTTTATAAATACTTTACGAAGAATAACTTAAAGTATATATTATTTAACAAGAGCTTTAAAATTATTAAATTATTAAAATATTATTATAAACACCTTTACCGCCTTTATAGGAATATATTATAATTTTGAGCTAATTACGATAGTAGATATATATGCCGCTATAAGGTATATACCTTTATATTAATTTTGTATGCCTCTATATTAATTCTTTAAAAGTAGTAGTATATAACTTTATTAATTTTATCGATATTAAAAAAAAGGGGTATTAATTAACTAAAAAGGTTTTTTTAAATCCTAGATATTAAAAAGTATTAAATTTAGCGTTATATATTATTTAGGCTTTTTTTTTATTAATAATTATTAATAATATTTTATATAATTAAGTAATATAATATTTTATTTATAACCGTAAGTAAAAAGTCGTGGGTTCGAATCCTATTATAGGAGTTTATATTATTTATAGTAAACTTAGCGGTTTATTTAGGTAATATATATTTTTAATTAACCCGGCTTTGGATTTTTTTTTTTTAGGCGATCTCTATTTAATTAAATAAGTTAAATATAGGGCCTTACGATATTTAATTATTTGACTCGTTGAAATCTTTATATTTGATTGTTTGTTTGACTTATTTGTTTGATTGATTTGAATGGGTAGGTGCGCTGGCCTTGGTAGATAAAGTCGTTGTGGATGAACGGATCAGGGGTGAACCCTACGCCCCTTGAGGAAACATGGGTACATACTGAGCTTAACATTTATATCAGTATCAAAAGCAAAAGGGCAGGAACTGCACGACATCAAATAGTGGGACAAATGTTGCACATAAACAATCACGAAAGCAGGCTGTCCACGGTAACCATATGAAATGAAATTTAGTCCCAACAAGCATCCAGATTTAGGCCGCTTACTTGCTTGCATATATACATATATCCACTTCCTGCTGAGGGGTCCTTTTTTGGTCATACTTAGGCAGATCTTCAACGGGCACCTCTACGTATTTTTCAATGGGGCACAACATATTATTCACAGCACTGTACCTCAAGATTGTTAGACAACCACTGCACTAAAATTTAACAGGAGTATGAGCATCGCAATCACATGTTTCTAGCTCCTCATTTGGTGTACCAGCCGCTCCGTTGAGATCCAATTTCATGCTGTAAAGCCTGTTCCAGTCATCAAATCCTCCTTCCGGCTCAGATGGTGGAAGTATTCACTCATCCATCAAACAGCTAGGGAATATCTCATGAGACATCGAGCTGGGCTGTTCATCGACAAGGCGGCGTCGGACCAGTGGTTACTACTGCGTTGCCTGGTTTGCCTCAGCACACCAGGACTCCGCAAGAAGACAAGTGAAGATCGAGCACTGGTATTACTTAAATACGCTGCAAACTATTGGAATGCACACTTTGTGAACAGCAACACAACTTCTAACATGGTCGCATCCGCTCTGGCGAAATTCCCCGGCAGCTCGAGTGTGTTGACATGGATTCACCCAGTGGCTAGGAAGCTTGAAAGAAGGTTGAAACATTCTGCGACATTCTGCGATATACAACTAAACTGGTGCATTGCTGGCGACTGCATGATCGAATTTCGTGCGCGAGAGGGCCTTGTCCTAGTCTACGATGTTTGCAAACAACACGAAACTTCTTTGTCCAAAACGAAGCCCGGTGTTGAGCTATCGAAGCCGATTTCATTGGTTTAATCCAATTCGTGACCACACTTGAGTGTTGCAGCTCTCAAGATCATGATTTCCGGCTGTTTCGGTGAATGCGTTCCCCGCCTCCACCGAGAGTCTAAACCTGAACAGAGTTTACCAAGTTGTCGGAATGACAGTTGCCAGTTCAGTCAAATCCACTGCTCCCGAGTGGCTGGTTTGTGGGATGCTATTTCAGTCCTACTCTCTTTTTAGCAGGCGTTGCGAAAGAAGCTGAACTACGTTCTGGTAGGGGATGAACACATGTGGAGTTTTAGGGCTTTCATGCCTTGTGGGACTCAAAACTTCATTTCTCGTCCATCTAAAGTGCTCTTTACTTTCGTTTCTGGAGTTCGTTTCTGGAGTTCGTTTCTAGCCTAAAGTATCTAGGTATGTACAACTTCCCTACCCTCGATCTCAAACTGCTTTTGAAGTCGTCGGGAAGGAAACAAAAGAAAGCTCACTCCGGATTTAACGGCTGTCAATTCATCAATCGCTGACATGCACCCGTCGACTTGCCTGTCTTCCAGTGTCGCAACACACAAGAGGACTCTGGGGTCTGGAGGGAACAATCTCATCAGTCACGTAATACTTGGCACCTTTCAATAAAGGTGATGATTCTGCTAGGGTATTAGTGATCATCCAGAGCAGAAATTTTTATATCGCTTGTCGTGATTGCCGATAGCATCATGACTCTCATCATCGATTATGCCTGGCGTCACGCATCACTGGAACCGATTACGAGGCTAAACTTTAAGCAGGAATCTGTGTGCTTGGCCTTCACCAACCTCTCCCTTGCGCCTCTTGCTTTGCTCTTGTGGAACGAGTTTGATCTTGGCCACAGTCTCTAGGTTCAAGAATCAAGGTTGACATAGGTTCGTGGATTACCTTCCAGCCAGTCAAGTGGTGGTGGTGGTCTGAGTGCCAACCCTTAGGACCGTCGGCTAAGAATGGTCCCAGTGAGGTACTTGCTTCTTTGGGAAATCAAATCGCGGGGGAAACTTTGTTTCCACGTGGCGAGGCGCTTCTAGTTACCAACTTGCCATCACCAGAGCGAATTCCGTTTGCAGTACCTTGCGGACCGATAATTTGGGTTCCTCGGGAGTTTGAAAGAGGAGTTCGAACCTTCGAATTCCGATCACTGCAGAGTACAGTGATAGAGCACAAAGTATGGAGCCTCACCCCAGTGATATACTTTTTTCGTCATCATGTATAAACTGCCGGGGTTCTCTCTCTGAATTTGTGTCTTAGCGGTTGCGCAATCATTTCTCTGGAAGAATCGCAACCACAATGCCTCTTGTAACTTCGTCCGACGCGGCTCATCTCATGAGCGACACAATCTTCCCACGGAAAGCCTATGGCCTTGTACTGCTCACAGGCATACTTTCCATTTACCTTTTGTACAGCCTTTATCGGAAAGCCCTGCCGAAGCCAATCCCCGGCATCCCATACAACCCAAAAGCCCTCAAACGCATCCTTGGTGATTTACCGGAGCTCGCCAGCGCGGTCGTGAAGACGGGCGATTTGGCCACCTGGTTGCAGTCCCAGGCGGATAAACACGAATCCCCAGTATGCCAGATCTTCCTCCGTCCCATGTCGCCGCCCGTGGTGATACTGAGCGACTTCCGCGAGATGCAGGATCTCTGCATGCGGCGGAAGGAATTCGATCGCGGGCGGATCATCAAGGACATTTTCAGGGGCCCTACGCCAAACCACCACATCACTTTGGATACCGGCGACGAATGGAAAGCGCACCGCCGACTCCTACAGGACCTGATGTCGCCCCCATTTTTGCAAAACGTCGCGGCACCGGCCATTTACTCAAATATCGCGAATCTTATCGACCTATGGCGGCAGAAGACGCGCATCGCCGACGGTAGGCCGTTTGACGCATCAGAGGACATATTCTATGCGGCATTGGATGCTGTCACAGCCTTCTCGTTCGGCGAGGACTTCCCGCACAACGCCACGAGACCGGTGGCTGATCTCATTCAAGGTCTCGATAGTACTCAACTAAGTGAGTTGCGGACGTCGGGAACCATTGATGATCCGGTAGAGTTCCCCTCAGTGCTATGCGACGAGGTCCTGTCCACCATTCTCGACGTCAGCATCGCCATCGAACGCTTACACGGCTCGCCGTGGCCCGTTCTGAAATGGAAGATTATAGAAAAGTTCCCGCCGGTCAATCGGACGGTGAGGCTGAAGAATGAGTTTGTCGTGGGGGAGCTGAACAAGGCGACTTCCAGGCAGCTGGCCAATGGCGACGACGATTCGTGGATGCGGTCGGCTGTAGACCTGATGGTGTCGAGGGAGAAGAAGCTAGCTCGAGACGACAATAGGTTGCCCGACTTTCTTTCGCCCACGATGCGAGATGAGGTATGAAACTCCACGCGGCAGGGCAACACCTTTGGATGGTAAAGCTAACCTGGAATCAACAGTTATTCGGCATTCTCACCGGAGGCCACGACACAACCAGCACGACGATGCTCTGGGGTCTCAAATTGCTGGCAGACCACCCATCAATTCAGTCGAAGCTCCGTGCCTCAATGGAGACAGAATACAGAGATGCATCAAAAGAAGCCAGAACGCCTTCGGTAGAAGAGATCATGCGAATCAAGGTTCCCTATCTTGACGCAACTATGGAAGAGATTCTTCGTTGCGCCGGCACTGCCCCGTTGGTAGAGCGTGAAGCTTCTTGCGACACTGTGTTGCTCGGATACCCCATTCCTAAGGGTACCAAGATCTTTTTTCTCGCAAAGGGGGCTAGTATCCAGAAACCGGCATATGAGATTGACGAGACGAGGCGGAACGAGACGTGCCGCATTGCAGTGAAGAATAGAGGGAGGGTACCAGAATGGGATCCCGCGGACATTGCCACGTTCAAGCCTGACCGATGGCTCACTTCCGCAGATCCATCAGAAAAGAATCGAGGCGGTAGCATACAGACAGATGCCGTTGTTGAGCTGGAATTCGACTCTACCGCCGGCCCTCAGATTGCGTTTGGTCAGGGCAGGCGCAGTTGCTTCGGGAAGAGGTTGGCGTACGTGGAGCTGCGGATCCTCGTGAGCTTGATTGTGTGGAATTTTGAGATCCTTGAGTGTCCGGAGGCACTTTCCGGGTATGAGGGCAAGGATGTTGTCACGCATAAGCCGATCAAGAACTATGTGCGGTTGCGGAACATTCAGAGGTGACGTACAAGGTTGTGTGGTTTTGAGCGCTTGAATACAGAACGATTGCTACATATCATGTTTACACTGCCGGTATTGAGATATGTTCACCATTCCAGCTTATACTTCTGAATGGACTTGTCTTTGTATTTCTTCGAAGTCAAACTCTTTCAGCGTCAAGAATGCCTGAATACGTTACTATCAGAGGTCGTTAGACCGATCAGAGAACCAGCAAATTTAAATTGACTAATCAGATTTGATACGCATAAGCATCACAGACGGCTTAATATAGTTGGTAAAACCAATGCGTGAAGAAAATTCTGAATGATGCTCTGACTTTCATACAGAAAATTGTTCCTGTTGATCCGACTGTCACGAGTTTTGAATCCATCAGCTGGCCAAACCCTTACAGATGACCCGAACCCCTCGGAAACCACCCGACCGTGGCTCCCTGGTTTTGCTTGGCTCTTTCCGACTGTTGACTGCTGCCTGGATCCTGGATGTCCCCATACCGTCGAACATTTCTCTCCCAGCGGAAGGCCCATGCCGATTGTGTATGCTCTACGTTGAGTATAGCATGGACAAGCTTCCACGAAATCTCATACATCTCGATCTGCTCACTTGCCTCTTTGAACTCCAAACTACCTTCGCGTGACTTTTCGCGTTTGAAATAGACAGCGTCTGATTTTTCCAAAATTTCTATTGCAGCATCCCACAGAATATCGTCCTTATCCTCAGAGGAAATAAATTGTGGCAAGAAATCTGTGATGTCCCGTCCTAAGACCTCACGCATTGCTTCGAGTTCCGCTTGAAACGACCCAATGGATTCGGATGTTGTGCTTGATAATTCTGCTGGTAATTTTGCTTCATTTGGCGGTGTCGTTCCTGAATTCGTCTCGACAAACTCATCCATGGTACTTAGGTCCAGGCTCGAATAATACTCTGACAGCTCGTGGAAGAACTCCCTGCGTAGCCCGCCTTGCTCATCAAAGTGACGCCGTTGCTCCTTTGGTAATGAATCCATCTCGGGGCATTCGATGTAGTTTTCGCCGGGGCTGTATCTGTGCATGGGTTGTCGAAATCGGTTGGTATTTGCAAATTTGAAAAGATCTCGCTTGACCATTTGATTGAAGGTCTCTCGTTTGTCCTCTTCAATGCCGCCTACCCTTTCATCTGGGAACACGAATTCGTGAACTCGCTGAAGGACTTCAGCAAGGGACCAGCCCGGGAAGTTTTTCGAAGAGAATTGCGCTGAAAATCCACTTTTGTCGATGCACATCGAATAGGCCTTGTTGATTGCTTGGAGCCAACTCGAAATGAACTGTACAGAGCCCAAGCACATCCACAGAGCGCGAGCCTGGTGATTCCGAAAAGCTTCCATCACTTCCATTACGGGCCAAATACTGCTTTCCAACTGATTGAAGAAGAATCGAAGTAGTGACGGATGCCCGCTTCGCAAACAGCTCATGTGGTCGATGTGGCACTGTTGGCAAAGTATAGCATCGGACTGGGAATACAGATAGTAGCGGGTACCACTTGCTGATCCTGGCCAGTCGCACCTGTAAAAGCAGTACAATTGCCCCGCAGAAGTCTGTCTACGTCCAATCGTGAAGACCTGCAAATGTCGCAAGCTTGTCTCTGAATTCAAGAACATCAGCTCGTCATGTAAGGCTTCGAAGCTTATCCAGGTAGAAGGCTTTCTCAAGTCTTTCAGATCCACGGCTGCAATCCTGGCGCATTCTTCAACTAAAGCCTTACGCGTACTTTGAAGCTGGCATTGCTTCGACAAGGAATGATGGGCAGGCAACCAGTTTGTCAATTGCGACTGTAGATAAGGAGAAGTCGAGGCGTAGTCAAGTGCGGACAGCCCCAAGCGATTTCTTGTTGTTGGATCTGCGCCAAGTTGCAGCAGTATGTGAATGCTTTCGATATTCCCCCTCCTGGCAGCAGCATTGAGGACGTCTTCGCCAAAACCATCATAAGATCGTCCCAGGCTTTCTTCAGGGTCGATTCCCCAACTGACGAGTTGTCTGACGCAATCCGAATGATTGTTGACCACTGCCCACCACAGCGGAGTGAAGGGTAAGCCGGCAATACCTTCAGGGGGAACACCAAATTCAGTCAAAATCCTTATCATCGCCGCTCGTCCATACAATGCAGCGTATTGCATTGCGTCCATTCCATCACTGTCTACTGTTTGACTGAGTTCAGGATCTTCAGTAAGTAGCATCTCTAGTATTCGCGGTGATCTGAGAGTGGAGGCGTGATGGATGCATGTTCTATCGAACTTGTCACGAGTCTGGCTTGCTGTCGGGTTTGCTAGGAGCAGTAATTCGACAGCCTCAGGCCAAACTGCGTCAACTGCGCACATGAGTGGCGTCTCCTTACTATTGTTCCGGATGAGCGGATCGCAGCCTTCCTTTAAAACGTGCTTGATGATGGCTTGATTTCCGATGATTGCAGCATGGTGAAGCGCCGTGTTGCCCTCCCAATCCGTAGACTGGCAATCAGCGCCTAGACCAAGCAGTAAGATTGCGATCTGAGTGTGCCAACATTCGATAGCGATGCCGACAGTAGAAACCCCTTTCTCACTGCACAGGTTCATATTGGCGCCTTGCTCGATTAAGTACCCGACAACATCTCTTTGGCCTTCTGCGCATGCGAGCCAAAGAGCTGTACAGCCCCATTTGTCTTGATCATCGATATTTTCTGGTGTCACCAAGAGCTTCACACACTCGCAGTGTCCAGAAACAGCGGCGAGATGAAGGGGAAGCCTTTGATTATCGTCTTTGAGAAGCGATGACAATGCATCAGTTTTTACCAGTAGCTCGACTGCATCTGAGGCGCCATGCATAGCAGCGAGGTGAAGCGGTGTTTCGCCAAATTTGCTATGTGGGGAGATATCCAGAACAAAAGGCAACCCAATGAATTCTTCAATGAATTTCCATTGATTATTCGATGCTGCAATGTGAAGCGGCGTGGGTGCTCTGTTGGTAATTTGATATCGATCTGGGAGATTTGGGATTATCTTCAGGATCGAACACCATCCTACCCGGGCTGCCCAGTCCAATGCGGTGCTAGCTTCAGAATTACTTCGTTCCAAGGCATCCACATTGTAATCGACAATGAGCGTTTCAGCAAACTCATAAAATCCCTGGTGAATCGATAGTATCAACACTGGGAGTGCGTCCCTGTAAGAAACTTCAGGTCGCGCACCATGCTGCAGGAGTCTAGTCGCAACTGTATAGTCTCTAGCGTAAACGGCATCATGTAGTGGTGTGTATCCTTCATTATCCCCAGCGTTGATCAATTCGGCTGCTTCACGACTTTGGAGCAAAACTTCAAGGACATCGATGTGGCTGTGAGCGCAAGCCAGGTGCATCCCGTTTTCGCCCTTGAGGGTAGCTCTGACGTCCGCTCCGTGCTCGAGGAGAAGTTTCACAAGATGTCCGGGTCCGATCTGACAACTAATTAGAAAGGCATTATCTCCGTTGTGTCGTCTGTGGTCAATGTTCTTGATACCACGCAGATGGTCGGCTTGGATGTCTCGATTTCGTGGAGAACTTTCGCTGCCTTCTCCGGGGATGTTTGAAATTTTGGAGAGTATCTTCTTCACAACTTCCAGCTCCCCTTTGATAACGGCTTCGATGAGAGGCGTTGTGCCGTCGTTTGCTTCCATGGTAGCATCTGCGCCAGCCGCGAGAAGCGCCCCAACTGCGTATTTGGAACCACCATTCGCGGCCCAATGCAAAGGCGTGTCGCCATCCTCATTCCGAATGTTTGGATCGCAGTTCATGGAAAGTAGTTGCTGTAATACGTAGTCCAAGTCTAGTCTTGCTAGTCGATGGAGTAAAATTGAGGAGCCACCGACGAGTTCGTCTATCAGCTTTTGCTTGTCCGGTCGCGCTTCAATTGCCTCCAGGATCCAAATGCACATTTCTTTGCTCTCAAATATCAGTGCATAATAGATTGGAAACCAACCCAAATGATCCAGATGATTTATGAGCCTCGTGATGTTCGGCACCGACACGACTAGACTTTTCAAGTTGAGGGCGGAAAGTAGGTGAAGTGCGGTTGGCTTCCGATAAAAGTTCCAATCTTCGACGTCAGAATGTCCTAAATCATGTTTGTATGGGACAATTATCTTCAGGGATAGCTCGACGAGGTTTTCTACGGACAAAAGCTGCGAAGAAAGCCTTTTGATTTCAGATCCTCTGCTGCCAAGCAGGCTCGCCTGCTTATAATGACTTCCCCAATGTGAGGATGCGTAGCGCAGGAGGGGGTATTGGCGTTGAAGTTCAGTAAGCACTTTTTTGACTAGCATTCTAGTCTTTTGGAAATCCTCAAAGTTGAGGTAGATGAGGCAAGCTTCAGCAAGAATGTCGTGAGCCCGGGATTGCAGCGCGCTATAATCAGACAAGTCGGTTGACTCCGAGGTCAAATAATCTTCCAGTGACCCATGAATGAGATAATAGAAACCTCCAGATTCGTCGATCAGATCCGCGCATTGTCTACAGATTGAGTAATCGTTACTCAATCTCTGGCTGCTGCTCATCCCAGGTCGCTCCAGCTTAAGCGATAAAGCCTCCAGTAATTCCGCCTTGGATAATGGGCGGCGAGAGTTCGTGATCCAAAGCAGTGCCATCAGTGCCCTATCTTTGACAAGCTGGGGCTTTTTGAGTATGGAGTCCATGGCATGTTCATACAAGTCGTCCAAGCCTTCCATTTTATCTTCCAAAGAATCCTTGATGTCCTCGGCGTTCCCGATATCCCGAAAATCTCTCATCTTTAGACGAACATACAAGAACATTCCGGAAGCCTTGTTGACAAGGCGGCTCTTGATTTCTTCAAAGTCTGAAAGATCTTCGGGAGAGGGATCTGATTTTATCTCGTAAATTTTCTGCGAGACGAACTTCTCAATGTCATCATTGTTGGCGCCGGAGTCGACTTGAATCTTTGGTGCAGATTTCATGATGTTGTCGATTTCGATGTAGTTTGGCCTGCTCAGCACAAGAACCTTCGTTAGAGCGTTTGTGTTCTCAGCCAGGCTCGAAATGAAGCTACAAATATCCTTGAAATGATTGTCCTCCAGCTTGCTGCATTCATCGAGGCCATCGATGATGATTGAGCACGAGCGGCATGCAGCGACGGCTTTGAAAATCCCGCTCTTGAGATCACTTCTCCGGGGAGGCTCCTTGCTGCTGTAATCGTCTTTGGGAATCAAGTCTTTTACATCTTTGCTTGGTGGAAGCTTTTTGCAGATTTGCCCCAGAAGAGATCCTAAGATGTTGTTGAGAGTCATCTCAGTCTTTGATTGCGTCGTGGTACAGTAGACGTACGCTACGGCATGTCCCGGAGCATTTGTCGTGTCTCTTTTCAGATTTTGGATGATCCGGGACGCCAAGTGAGACTTGCCAGAGCCGTGCTTCCCATATATCCATAGCATGGTTGAAGAAGGGCTGGCGCTCCAAGCTTTGTAGGAGTCGTTCTTGGTGAGCCAGTCGCCCGTACCCTCCACACTTCGCTCAAATGCATTTTCATGAATCTCTCCAAAGTCGATAAAGGGAAGCCAGTTGAGGAACTCTTTGCGTCTTTGTGCTGTGAAGCAGTCAGAAAACACACATTGCAATTCCGCGGATAATGGTTTACCTCTTTCCTTGGCTTCGTCCTCTTTATGTTTTTGCAACAATTCTTCCACCGCCTCCGTCTTATCCTGGGAATTACGATCGATGAACTTGCTGATCTCTTTGACACCAATGTTTGTTGCCTTGGCCCATCGAGTGTTGACCAAGTCTCTCCTCTTCTCCAAAGCGCGTACGTGCAGGTCAAAGTGTGTCCGGGTGTCGCCAAATTTGGCATCGAAGTCTTTGAGTTGGGCCTTCATGGCCACATAGAGACTGTTTCTTTCCTTGCCACTTTCGTCATAGAAGATGTGAGTCACCTTTACGCAGAATTGAAGAATGTCAGTGGCAAGCTCTAGTTCGCATGACTTGATCCCAGGATCGTCGTCAAAAACCCCATCTTGACGATACTCGTTGATGAGTTCAATCTCTTCAGCCATTTGCTCCATAGTCTCAATCAGCTTGCTTTGGTAATCATCGACGCGGTTGCTAGCCGACAGAATGCAAGTGATGCCTCCGAGGACTAGGGATGTCGGGAACGGGCTAACCTGATCTGTGGAGGCTATCAGCGGTGCGATGGACTTGACGAGTACGTAGACGGGCTTCATCTTCTTGGAGAGTCTCGACACCTTGCTCGAGTTGGTCGTGCTTTGAACTGCGCGGGTCAACCCCGAGACGTAGTCCTCGTAGCTGTTCGCCTCTGCACCTCGTAGGAAGAGGATGCGTTGTTCTGGCTGGAGCTTCTCTGCCTCTGATAACCAGTATTTGACGGCAGCGTCGGTGCTCCGCTCGTCGGTATCGTTCTCGTCGGCTTCTATTGTTGCTGATCGCTCCAGGGGCCTTGCGGTAAGGCCCCATGACTTTTGTCGGACGGGCATGGTTCTTGGTTTCAGCGAGCTGGCGCTCTTGCAACGCAAGTTTTCGTAGAGAAAGTTGGAGACGGAAAGCTTGGGAGCGAGATTCCTGAGGGGTGGGCATTGCTTTGTGGCAGTCATCTGCAGCCTGATGTTGCTAACACGACCGACTGTGCCGCTGCCGAATAGGCATGGCCACATGTCGGGAACCCCGCAGCGGATGGGCTTGTCATTTGCATAGATACGTGAGAATCAGCCCAGATACAGCCCAGCCAGTCATATCTACATTCCCAATAACCCCGGTCAGCTGCTGACGCAGGCTGCGGAGGATACCTGATCGGGGGCGACATGTCAAAGCTGTGTAGACTGACGAGGCTCTAGTGAGGATTGTACCAGTGGCTCAATCGTTGAGCATTAGACAGGATAGCATTAGGGTTTTGAGGTAAACGATATCGGCTTCTATCGCGACATACTCAAGATCTACGTAACTGAAGACGTCGATACTGCTCCAACTCTCTTAATGTCGCTGCACTGGACCAGGTTGAGGACATCGTCACTCAGACCTTCGATTTGGCACCGGTATTCTCAACAACTTCAGTGCTGCCGCCTCCGCTCTTTACCTCGCCAAAAGTATCCATGTCATCGTGATGTATAACCTTCTCGACAGCACCGACAGCCTGATCGGCAAGAGCCTTGTCCTCAAACACTTGTAAAGCACACTTGTCAGCAAATTCCATCAAGAACAGCAAAGGTCCATCAAAAAACTTACAGAAAGCCAACTCCTCAAGCGTACGCCCCGCAGTCTCGGGGAACATAAAGTACACAAACACGACCTCGAAGGCGAGCCAGACGCAGTAGCTGATGAGGTACCTCCACGACGCGTCCTTGATACCGATGGGGTTGACAAAGGTCGTGAAGAAGCCGGCCAGCCTGCCAAAGAGCTGGAAGAGCGAGATGCCGCGCGATCGCAGGGCGTAGGGCCATAGCTCGACGAGGTAGGTGTACGTGAGGGCGTTGTAGCCGATGTTGTAACAGGGCGAGTACATGAAGATGAAGAAGATTGTCGCCACGGAGGCGGGCTGATTCTCGTACTTGTTATCGAGGGCGTGAACGGCGCGTTCCATGGAGATAGTCCAGCTGATGTAGCAGAGGAGCTGACAAGATTGTTAGTACGCGTGGTGATGATTGGGTTAGAGAGACATACCAGTGAAATCGTGCAAGCCAGGTACATGACCCGGCGGCGGAAGGTTCGCACGAGCATGGCCACGGTGAAGCCGCAGACGAGGGACCAGCCGGCAATGCCGAGGTTGATCTTCTGCTTCACGGTGGAGTCGGTCAAGCCGATCATCTGGAGCAAGTCACCCAGGTAGTATCTACAATTCCCGCGTTAGTCGACTTTCTCGGGATACTTGATGTGGAAAACCGAGGGACTCACGAGATGAGTGTGTTACCGGACCACTGGGTGAAGAGACCAAGCATGGCAGAGATGAGGGCGCGGCGGCGCATTCCGGACGTATTGAGGAGGTCCATCCACGACTGCTTGGAGGCTTCCATCTCGAGGGTGATGACGGTCTTCATCTGTGCCATCTCGGCCTTTACAAACTCGGACTCGCGATCACCCTCGGCGTGGTACTTGATGAGGATTTCGTGCGCTTCTTCGCTGCGGTCTCTGGTGATGAGCCATCGCGGACTCTCGGGCAGGAAGCTGTAGGCGTTCCATGTCAGATCATGAAAGACTATGTGATTGCGGGCCTCTCTTGGGCACTTCTTACAAGACAAAAGAGATTTGCAGAAGAGAAGGGCAAATCTGGAGGAGAGAGGGAATTCTCCATGCCCAGTTGCTTGCGATGTTGTTCGTGCCGAAGCAGATACCGGCGGCCACGATCTGACCAACGAAGTAGGCCACGTTAAAACTTGAAATCTATCAGCCCTTGGTTTTCCACCCTTCTGAGAGTTGGTTTCAGGTGCTGACTACTTACAGAGAGGTCAGAACAGGACGTTCCTTGGGATAACTCAGTTCACCGATCAGAGATGACCCGGAGACGATACAAGTCGGGATTCCGAAGCCGAGGATCATGCGGGCGACGATGTACATGGCCACTGCTCCAAGTTAGTCCCCATCAAAAACCAAGGCGGAAATATGGCTGTACGTACCATGCTGAGAGAACCCCTGGATAATAGCCCCCACAACCATGACCAAGCTGCCGCCAAAGATGGACCATCTTCGCCCAAACTTGTCGTTGACGATGGGGATGAAGGGGAGAGACAAAATGGCACCAAGGGAATAAGCAGCGGCGATGATGCCCTTCAAGCTACCCTCCGGATCTCCAAAGTCTGCAAAGCAAGGTCAGGTTCAAACATTGCTCCCAGATTCCTCAAAAGGGGTCATTTCTTGGCCGACTTACAGTCTTTCCAGGATGGCACGATCTGGAGCGCATTGATCATTTGCGAGTCGAAACCGGACGTCAGCTCGATGCCCATGCACGTCGGGAAGAGCATGAAGTATAGGTATCGCAGGTTCGGCTTCGAGTACCACGGCACCTTGTCTTCCTCCGAGATGCGGGTCAGGATGGGGTCCGCCGCCCCGGTCTCCTGGGCACGCTTGATCTGCACCATTGTGATGGATGTTCTGCGGTTCGCTCACGCAGATGGGGACAGGGTCAGGTCCAGGACAGTCTCAGCGACTCGTCGAAAGGTTTAGACGATGACAGTGTATGAGCGTAGGAAGGGAACTGGTTGCTTTTATCCAGTAGACGGAGGTATATTGTACCGATTTCTTGTCCTCGGGCGTCCAAGGTTGTTCAAGGGTGTGCAAGGGCACTCCGAGACGCTCTCTCGTCTCCAATTGCCGATGAGGTCCACCCAGGTATTTTATATACATAGACAATGCCGTGAACAAGCCCCCATGTTTGAATACAGTCGGCCTATCAGCACGTGGGCAAACTGCGGCAGACAGTGAACTAGAGGGCTAAGGCGGGACAGCGGGAGAGGGAAGCGCGTCAGCGAGGATCCCAGGTTGCAGAAGGTCCGAATGAGTTAAGTGTGGCATCGGGGACATTCTCTCTAAGAGCCGGGGCGGCGGCGGTTGGGGAGGCTTGCTTTTCGCCAAGAATTGGCCAAGGGGGTCGGGGTTGGGGTTGAAATGGATCAAATGTTGTTTGCATTTATCCATCCAGTGAGGCAACACGTTCGTCTCGTGTGAATGGAGCAACACTCTGTGATATGCGGGGAAGCTACCCCCCCCCCCCCCCCTCCCAACACTCATGTATCCCCCGCTAGCACTCACGCACCGCCTCACTGGCTCCGTTTCCTGTCTGGGGGGGGGGGGGGGGGGCGCCCCCCCCCCCCCCCCCCCGCATGGTCTTTGCTTTCCCCATGGGCTCTGCTCACATGGTTCGCTGCTTATTTTATGGGCAAGGGGAGGGGCTTTTTGGAGAGGATTGTGGAAGTTTTCGTAGTGTACACTACGAGCGTCAACTCCGCATCTCCGCTAGGACGGCTGATGGTTTGGGGAAAGACAAGGGGCCAAGCAGACAGTTCATTGGTCGATTCTTCCATCGCGTTGCTCATGGGGGAACGAACGGGATCAACATCAGGTTTGTTTTCTCGAGGTGCTTGGCTTGGCGATGCCTTTATCAGAGGGAATGGGGACGAGCCTTGACCGTATTCGGTCGTTCGGGATGGCCAAGTGCGAGATTCGTGTCTTATGCCGAGGTCAGATTACGGAACTCCGAGGAGTGGAGAAATGAGGCACTTCAATTTCTTAGACTCTGACTTTTATGAACGATGGTGAGCCTACGGATACCTATGATCAAGAACACTACTGGAGTTCTTTGCCTTAAGAGAGTGAGGCTGTTAAATTGCCTTCTTCCACGGTTTCTAGCCCAGAGTCCCTAATCAATATCCTCAACTGTTCATTCAACTGGGTTACCTCCCACAAGCGCACGCACTGGAGATGCTTATGCAGACCGACGCCGAGAGGCTATTCAGCGCATTAACGCGGCACAGCTCATTTATTCGAGGCGAGCTGTGGAGGATGTGGATGGATGGAACCTATTCAGTCAAAAGAAACGCCAAAATCCTGTCGTATCACGGTGCGTTCTTGGAGATGGACCACACTGACATCACCTAGCGACCGGGAAAGGGTAAGGCGGGCAAGATATTGGATTCGTTATCTAAGAGTAATTCAGAAGTGAATGTGATTGGCAACAATCCCCCACCGCCTTGGACAGCAAGATAGGTGCATTAGAGAGATGTTGCTCTCTCTCCTCACTGAGAAATCCATCGCGTCGAACTATGTCTAGCATTGTTCATGTTCATCCCAGCGATTTGTCCGACATCCTGCAAGAGACGTAACCCCCAGGCCCATTTAAGGACTTCCCAGTTTGACCAAGTGCCTGCTGGTCTCGTCAGATTGGGGGACGGTGCCCGTGTATTAGCGGTGCATCGGAGTCATCCCGGTCGAAGCCATTGGAACACAAGTCTATGATGGCCATGGTCGACCTGGCCAGGAACTTTCGAAGCCTTTACTGAGGGATGCGCCTCTTGATGCCCAGGGATACGTCGTGGCACCTCTTCCCCGCTACTTCCCCATCTCGAAGTTAGTCTTCATATCGTTGATGCGGACGGGGAAGGCTTTGCGGGGAACCGCAAACGGCATCTCATTGCAGCAGAGCAGGATGCCACCGAGCATCCTGAATCCGTCAAGAGCCTACAACAGTACGCCCGACCAGAGAAGACGCGACTGGATGACAGCGGGCTCGTTTGGATAGCTCGTCTCTCTGCCACTGAACACGCTACCTTCGCGAACCAAGTATAGGGAAAAGGACTGATAACCACTCGTCCGCCTCCATAGTCCAGACCACACGGGAGAAACAAGAGTCCTCGAAATACACCGCACCCCCCACCAAGACGCACGAACCCTCCCACAATAGGTTCATGACAGCAGGGCAGGGGGGGGGGGCCCTCCGGCGGTACACTAGAAGCTTCGACCACACCCTCCCTCTACCGGCATCGCGGAAGACCGGGGAAGAGAAGGGGGTGGGGTGCCTGTTAGCCGTAAAGTCCCGAGAGAAGGGCCGATTGCCACGAGGGATTGGGACTAGATAATCGGGACGTCGTCCCTGAAAGTCTTGTCCCAGGTGTGTACTACTCTTTCGACCTACTAACGTTTGGAAGAATATTGCCTACTTTTACTTTTTCATATCATTTTATTTTTATTTTCCGTCTTGTTGACTGGCCCCTTTGAGAGGGCGGTCCAACCATACATACTCTTCACTCCACCCGAGTGGCTCCCGATTCGGGCCCGGTTCGACCGATTTCGATATCCGATGAGAATCAGAGGACGAAGCATGGCCGTCATCGCCGCCGGGAAAGAGGGCCAGTGAGCTTGGCATACCGAATAGAGAGGTGCGGCGTAGGTGATTGAAGAAAGGGTAGAACAACCTCCGAGAGCAGCAGAAAACTTGTCCGCTTTCCGCAACGAAGCAATCAATATTCCCAGAAGCAGAAGACGACGATGAAGACGACAACGAATATTATCAAAGCCCACCGCGCGAGCCTCGCGAAAACGATATTTGGACAGGAATACCGGCACACTACTGCTGGGCCCATTTCCGTTCCTCATCCCCTCATCGCATTGAGGCCATGATCAAAACGCGAAAGCTCGCTGTTGCAGACATATAAAGACACACGGACACACACGCAGTGAGAAAGGGAGAAAGAGAGAGAGGAAAAAAGAGATCATTAGACGAAAGTTCAACATCTCTTGACGCAAATGTCACCTCGTTTTATACTTTCTCCAGGCTCAGGCTGGACCCTTCTGGTAAGGGAAGGCAAAGGCACCATGCTGATTGAATCAGCACTCCAAAAGAACAATCTCCTTTTCCACTGAACGGTACTCAGTCAACACACATATGCCCCGAAAACTGCCTGGGTTTCAACCATTACAACATAATCTCAAGCGGTAGGTGACGTAGAAATCAACGAACTATAGGTCACACTTAGTTCAGCTGGTAGTAGGGTGCGTCAAGAACAAGAGGTGATGGTCATTACTCCAAGCTAGGAAATCTAGGGTTTTTTCTGTCCCTCTTCCACTTCCTGCCATCTGTCTCGCCATGCCGTTGCGGGGGACATGTCCGGTCCCCAAGAAGAAGGAAATCTGATGCCCCGTGTTTACCCATTTACATTCGTGCAAAAACGTCATAAGAAAGCTCATTTCGTCTCGCGAACAACCTTGTTGACCGCCTTGGCAAAATAATCGACATTCCTCGTGTTGAGACCAGCCATACTGATGCGGCCGTTCTTGGTCATGTAAATGTGAGCATCCTTGCGCAGCTTCAGTACCTGCGTCTCGGACAGGCCTGTGAAACTGAACATGCCGATCTGGTCGGTGATGTGGTTCCAGGTGCCGGGCGTACCAAGTTCCTCGAGCTTGGCGCGCAGGACATTGCGCATCTCGATGATACGGCCAGACATGGTGCGTAGATTGTCCTCCCACTCGGCAAAGAGCGCGGGGTCATTGAGCACGGTGGCCGCGACGCGGGCGCCGTACAGCGGGGGGTTGGAGATCTCGGAGCGCTGGAGGATGGCGAGCTGGGAGGCGATGCGTTTCGTAGTCTCGGCGGCGTCGGAGGCCGGGGCGGTGACGAAGTGGAAGCAGCCGGCACGCTCGCCATAGAGGCCAAAGTTCTTTGCGAAACTCTGGGCGATGAGGAGCTCGAAGCCCTGCTCGATGAAGTAACGCACGGCCCAGGCGTCCTGGGCGAGATTACCGGAGGCGAAGCCCTGGTAGGCGCAGTCAAAGAAGGGGAAGTGGTTCTTCTGGCGCATCAGGGCGGCGATCTCCTTCCACTGGTCCTGAGTCGGGTCGACGCCGGTGGGGTTGTGAGCGCATGCGTGGAGGAGGATGATGGAGCGTTCGGGGGCGGAGGACAGGGTGGACTTGAGGCCGTCAAAATCGAGGCCCTTTGTCTCATTGGAGAAGTAGGGGTACTGGGCGATGGGGAGGCCGACATTGCCAAAGATCTGGTTGTGGTTGGCCCATGTCGGGTTGGAGATGTAGACTGTGCGGTTGCCCTTGTAGAACTTTGCAAGGAAGAGGGCGCCGAGGTGGACGGCGCCGGTGCCAGAGATTGTCTGGACGGAGGAGGTGCGCTTTTCGCGGATGGCGGGAGAGTCGGCGCCGAGCATCAGCTCATTGGCCTTGCCGGTGAATTGGGGGATACCGGCGATGGGGGCATATTCGTGGTTCAGTTCGGGATCGTTGCGGAGGATCTCGTCGGCCTGTGAAGTTGCATCATGGCGGGGTTAGCGGGGGTGGGTAAGGGGCAGGCCAAAAGTGGAGGAGGTGGGATGCAGCGAGGGGGAAGCTCATCAAAAATAGAATGATGCACATCAGCTGCTGGTGCTGCTGGGTGACGCAGCCGGGCTTTGCCTTGCTGGAGCCAGAGGGGCCGCGAGCAGGGTCTTTCTCCAGAGGGTATTCACACAAGAAGAAAAAGGGAAGAATTGTGACGCACCTTCTTGACGACAGGGAGAACCCAAGGCTTCGCATTGTCATCGCGATAAGCTCCAATTCCCTGGTCGGGTTAGCAAAAGAGTCGAGGACAACATCAAGAAAGCTGCGTCTTGATGGATCAAGGGTTCATCCCACCAAGTCGACCTTGTCCTTGCTCTCGTCTGCTCTGTAGGCGGCCATCAAGCCGAAGAGGGGGTCCTCGGGAGCTTGTGGCACCGTGCTGGCGGGGAAATTTGTCGTGGAAACGGGCGCCATGATGTGTGATGCGATGTTGCGTATTCTCGAGAGGGTAGAGTTGTTCTGGGGAGGAGAGGAAGAAGGGGAAGAAGGCGAAGCTGATGAAGAAGAGGAGGAATCGCCGGGCATTTTCAGCGTCGGAGCTTTCGTGAGAAGGAGGGACGAGTCAGAGGCGGGGGGAAAGGGTCTGTCTGGGGGTGGTTATTATTATGGCATCAAATAGTGGTACGATTTAGACGGGCGAATGGGAAGCTTTGCGATTACAGGCGCCAACCGTGTGTCCAGCGTCTGGGAGCTGGGTCACCGGCGTGGTCGGTGTGTCTGGGTGCCTTCTGCCCGGGCCCTGGGGGGTCACCCGACGCCTCCAGGTTGGACGGGGTAGCGGACATGCGCCTCCATTGACGGGGGACTTCCAGCTAGGAACGTCCGTCGAGGAGGTCGAGGAACAGGGCAAGATGACATGCTGCGAAAGGGAGGGAGGGACCGCCGGACTGCACTGCTTACCTGGAGAGGAGGGAAGGGGGCTATCCCAGAAAGACGTGTTAATAACGCTTGGGTCTCGCCGACCTAAGGGTCTCGTCCCCGCGCGGCGCTCCGGGAGTTAGGGAGACGTACAGTAGAAATGGTTACAGCGGACGGGCGGGCTGCAGAAGACAGGCACTACAGATGCAGGGCGCAGGGTACGCCAGGGCAACGGCCTCGATACGGGGGTTCTCTTGATGAAGGTGGTAAGGTCTTGGCTCGGACAATCGGAGGGCGTTTTTTTGGTTCGGGGAAGAGAGATGGAGTTTGAATGGAACCAGGTGACGGAGCAAAGGTACCACTATGACACTTCCAAGGCTGGTTTTAGGGGCAGGTTGTATCAAATGGGATCCACCGAGTGCGGGCAGGTCGAGGTAGGTATTTCGTAACGTCTTGCTCGAATCGGGTGCGGATAGGCGGAGTTATCTGCAAGAATAGATTGTTTGGCAAGTACCCGGGATGGAAAGAGTAAAAAAGATACCGAGAGCAAGAACCGGAAAAGTGTCGGGCGATGGTCGGGAATCTCTTGATGCCAGTTTGGACAGGTTTGGACAGGTTGGGACCTTCCATACGCTGCGCACCGGCGGGGGGAAAGAAGGAACGCGCCTTCTCTTTATCCTCTAGCTGTCGGCTCCCCGCTGCTTCCCCAACCTTTCCAATTGCGCTTGTGAGGTCACCCGTTGCGGGCGGGCCGAGGTCTCGGGCTCAACCCCATGACTCTCTCTCCAGTCTCCAACCTATCCACCTGCTACCAGACCGCGCTCACGACTCGACTTTTGCTTGGTCTTGTTGTGCACAAGTTGGGACTTGATCCCGGTTTTATCCATCCTTTTACCGTATGAACTACAAATATCGGATGCAGTGCACAAGTGGAATAGACTGCAGGCGGCACCGCAGCATGGCTGAGATCGTCTCATCTATCTGGCCTGCCGTACAGCTTGACAGACGCGCATCCGTCCCAATAGACTGACCGATCCTGATTTTAATTCAATTGACTAATTATTGACTGAGCTTGGCGTCTTCCAGTCTCACAGATATAACTATAACCGCAAAAATGGGACCACTCCTCGGTATTGCAACGCTCTCTACCTCCAAAACGCCGCGGGTACCGAGAACCGTTTCGCATGTCAGATGTCGTTAACAGCGCCAATCAGAAGCTCGCCTGTCACCCAGCTTGCCTTGACACCTGCCGAAGCTCCTCCGGAATCCTAGCTCCGTACACGCCGCCATCGTCCCGGTACGATGTCCGATGCAAAGGCACGAATGCACACCGCAACAGCATTTTTCTAAGATAAGGTGGTTAAGAAATATTCCTAGCGCCCGTGGAATAAGACATCGGCTCCCTCCTCTCCTCTGGGATCACTGAATCTACCCGTACGTGGCTTGGGACTCGGGGTCACCTGCACCTGGTCCAGGCTCAAGTATCCCAGCATGTGACGCAGGTACATAGAAACTTTCACATGTCTGTCAGCCCAACCTCCCACCACAAGAACAATCAGCCTGTGATTGAAGTCAGTAGACCGTTGGCGTGCTACAACGATCCATCAGGAGTAGACAAATTCAAGAAACCAAACACTGAAGAAGAGCTTTAGCTCACTATACGTGACATTGAGTAGAGCCTAGATGGTAATCATGGGTACCTGCAAAGGCCTGTCTTTACCTAGCCAGCCTCACAACTATATAATTAAATCCCAAAGAATCAAAAACGTGCACAACCCCGCCGAGGCAAAAAAGGTATATCTCGCAGCGCTTGGTCGTTGCGTCGCCTTCTTCAGCTGCTTGTTACCGCCCCCGACGTCCGCCGTGATGTTATCCGAATCCGCCACAAGCTGCTCAATGTGTGCCGACTGCGTCGCCAGGTTGCTCACCAGCAGCGTCTGCAGCTCCGCGATCTCGAGCAGCGACTTCTCCGCCGTCCTATGCATCGCCACCAGTTTGATCAGTTTATGCATACTAAAAGGAAAGCCGTGGGCGAGTTGTAGTGAAAAATGTCGAGGTTCCAAACATACCTGACCTTGTCCAGCGTACTGTTGTAGTGCTGAAGCATATCCTGGTTTCCCTTCTCAAACATTTGAATTTGCTCCTCGGTGAGACTCTCCCGGGGATCGTATGACGACGACACGCCCTCATCCGCAGGCGGCAACCCACCACCGGCCTTGGCTGCGGCTTTCTTGCCCATCGACTCGTAGAACCCCCCCAGCTCAGGCATCGCGCCGCCCCCGCCCGCCTTGGCCAGCACGCTCCGGTTCTTCTCCATCTCCCTCGTGAGCCGCACCTCCATCATATCCTGCTGCGTCCTCCCGCACCGCTGCAACCCCAGCCTCAACCACTGGATCACCTCATCGCGGTGCTGCTCAATGGTCTTCGCGCGGGCCTCGGCCGCGGCATGCTCAGCCGTTTTCCCCTTGTCGCTGTTGCCGTCACTCGCGGCAGCCCACGCACCGAGCGCGCCCAACCCGCGAGCGTACTTTTTGCGGATGACGGCCGTCTCGGTCTCGCGGCGGAGGAGCTCCGCTTCCTTTAGGGCCGTGATGCTGGCGTTCAGCTCGCGGAGCATCTGCTTCGCGTTGGCGTCGACTTCTTCGCGGTCGCGGTCGGTCAGGTGTCGCGGCTGCTGGGCGGCGGCCGCGTGGATATGCGTCTTGCGCGGCTGCGCTGTCGACAGGTATGCTTGTCGGACATCCTTGAGCTCGTTGTGTAGGTTCGTGATGTGGGAGTTCTGGGGGCAAAAGTGAGTTAGAACGACGTAATTCTCAGTCACAACGATGTCGTGTGGCTTGAGGTTTGTTCAAAAACTGACTATTCTGTAGGCCTCCTTCAGGAAGCCGTCGATCGCTTCGAGGCTGAGCTTCTTCTCGGTGACGATGGGCGCATTGCGCTTCCGCAAGAATTCGTTGAATACTGGTGTGATGTCCATTTTCGGGCGCGAATTGGACTTTGCTGCATAGATGAGAGGGCAAAATTGAAAAGATAAGGCTATCAGCTGGAGCTGAACAGCATCATAGGTGGCATCCGCAAGCAACACCGAGGAAGCACGGTGTCCAACCGTGTGGCCATTTCAACGCTGCAGCTGGGGATCTGGAAAGCTGTTCTCCAATGACGTGGCTTCGGTTCCTCCATCCCACCCGCCACATTTCCCCCCCTGAAAGTGTTCAGGAACCTGATGTGGCTGATGAACCCAGTCTTGCTTTAATTAAGCGAGCATCAACCGTTCGGGGCTGCATCGGCAGGTCGGCAGCGGCGTCGGCAAGCCGCACGAGCCAATTTTCCCCACAACGGCGCGATCGAAGCTTGCAATCGACGCCAATTGAGAACTCAATCAATGAGTTGTACCTTACGCTCCCGTTGAGATAGCACAACATTCAGCCAGTCTACAACAAGACTTTGGCAAATGATCTCACGTACAAAGATGATCTAACCGATCTCGGAGCCAATTTCAGTCGTTTTGGAGTCAAGCAGTCCTAACTTCCAGACATGCCCACCATCCCCAGCTCCATGGTGCAATCTTGCGTAGGCCATCTAGTATCAGTGTCAAGGACACCGGCCAACCTTTTTGCTTCCGACAACACATACCAGCCGATACCGCACCGATGAAGATGTCCAAAACGCCGTGTCAGTCGATGCTGAACGACTCCAGCTGCCCAAAACGGGCGGGTTTTGTGGAGGCATGGGCCGGCCCGGACGAATCATGAAGGCTGCAAATCACGGTCGGCCAGAGACCGAGTTGTGGAGGCCGACCTAGAGCGGAAATAACATCATTGTGTACCGTATGGTGCGCGGCTGCCGGCAAGGTGGTCCCGCTTATGGATATGGACAACCTGAAAAATGCGTGAAGTCAAGCAATGCCGCTTGATCTTTGGTGTTTTGCTGCTCCTTTCATCTGCTCTGGTGTTTGTTCCACAAAGTTTTTCGTTATCCCTCGAGGAAACATCCTAGGACGTTGTCAAACAAGTGTCTGAAGAGCGGCAAAGCCTCAAACCCCTGTTCTCCTCGTCTTATCGTCCCTCCGTATCTTTGCTTGATACGGCGATGCTGTCTTGACAAGTATGGGACAAGATGAATTGCACCAAGTAGGCCAAATAAGCCAAATAGGCCCTGAAAAGAATCACATGAGAACAGTCTCACCAGAAACTTCTCTAAGCCCGTCAACCATCCCGGCCTCGTCACCAATCGACACTGAACTCGCCAATGAGAAAGGCCAAAATGAAATCTCCTTGACCGACGAACCTGATCGGGCCATAGACCAACAGGACCCCGAGAGCCTCACCCGTCAGCCCAGCGGCCCAGCCTTCAGCGTCTTCTCGCCCTCCACGAAGCGATGGGTTGCCTTCATGGCCTCCGTCGCCTGCTTCGTCCCGCCAATGTCCGCAAACATCTACTACCCGGTCCTGGCCCCCATCGCAGACGACCTCCACGTCTCCGTCGCCCTCGTCAACCTTACCGTCACCTCCTATATGATCCTCCAGGCCATCTCCCCGACCGTCTTTGGCGACTTTGGCGACATGGCCGGCCGCCGCCCGGCCTTCCTCGTCGCCTTCAGCATCTACCTCGTCGCCTGCGTGGGGCTGGCGCTGCAGCGCAACTACGCTGCCCTCCTCGTTCTGCGCATGCTGCAGAGCGGCGGGAGCAGCGGCGCCATCGCGCTGGGGTTCGCCATGGTCGCCGACATCTCTGTGAGCTCTGAGCGGGGGAAGTACATGGGCATCGTCGGCGCCGGCATCACCGTCGGTCCCACTATCGGCCCCGTCTTGGGGGGCGTCCTGACACAGTTCTTTGGCTGGTCCTCCATCTTTTGGTTCTGCGTCGTGCTTATTAGCCTGTGGCTCGTCCCATATGCCTTCTTTGTCCCAGAGACCTGCCGTAACGTCGTGGGTAACGGCTCCATTCCCGCTCAGTCATGGAACCGGCCCGTGATCGACCTCATCCGCCGCCGCCGTCGTAGCCGCAGACTCCGAGACGCCGGCGATCTCTCTCGAACAGAATCCGCAACAACAGCACACGCTCCTCACCGCAAACTCCGTTTTCCCAACCCCATCCGCTCCGTCAAAATCATCTTTGAAAAAGAAATGGCTCTCGTCCTCGCCTACAACAGCCTCCTCTACGTAGCCTTCATCTGCGTAGCCGCGACCCTCGGCACCCTCTTCCGCGAAATCTACGGCTTCAACGACCTCGAGCTCGGCCTTTGCTACCTGCCCTACGGCGCGGGCTGCGTCGTCGCCACCCTGGGGCAAGGGTATGTCCTGGACTGGAACTACCGCCGCATCGCCCGGAACATCGGCTTCACCATCGACCGCCGCCGCGGCGACGACCTCGGCAAGTACCCCATCGAAAAGGCCCGCCTGCAGCCCGTCTACCCTGCCGTCGCTGTCGGCCTCGTCGCGCTGACGGCGTACGGGTGGGTGCTGCACTTTGAGGTGGGCGGCGTCGCTACCCCGCTGGTGCTGCAGGGCGTCATCGGGTTGACCATCACGGGCTCGTTCAGCGTCATGAATACCCTGATTGTGGACCTGTTTCCGGACGCGCCTGCGACGGCTACGGCGGCGAACAACCTGGTACGGTGCGCCCTAGGCGCCGTCGGCACGGCTGTGATCGAATACATGATTAGCGGTATGGGGAGGGGGTGGTCGTTTACGTTCTTGGCTGCGTTGTGTGCGGTCTTGAGCCCGATGTTGTTTTTGATAGCGAAGAAGGGTCCCAGGTGGAGGAATGAGAGACGGATGAGGGAAGAAGCATCATGATTGGTTGGCTAGAAACAGTTTTGTTTAGAGAAGCTGACTTTGGGGCGCTGGGTAATGATATCAGAACATCTCACTTCCAGTTTCAGGTCCAGGAGAGGGTTGATTGTCTTCCCCCAGGATAGATTTCTATAATTATACACCGAGATTCGGTGCTAGAGGAGCCAGCCATGTCGGAGATTGATCGCCATCGGAGGCGTGCCTAGAATAGAAATGAGATGTCCAGAAACTACTTGAAGCTTCATCTTGCAGAATATCGTCTGATGTTGACCAAGGCTGACAAGCTTGGATCGGGTGATTGTTTTCTTTGCGAACCACTTCAGGTCAGGCAAACGCGGTCAAGACAAAACAGCGGCACAATAAACTCGTCTTGGCTTTGAATAAACATTGCTTTGCTTTGTCTCACCTTGACTTGCCTACTCTCGTCCAATAGGATAAGGGAACACGAATAGCCTCTCTCGGGCGCCCAGTATGTCATCCCTTGGAATTGTCCCGTCTCTCTGATCCGTTCTAGCCCTGTCTCAGCGGCCTTTAGAGCCTCTCACTGTCTCGCTTGACTCCCCCGACACTAACAGCCTGCCAGCTCTTGGACGTTGGAATAGCTGCATTGCGAGACCGCATGCAGCGTCGCTAACGGCTGGTATGTCGTGGCTGTAGTGGAAGCAAGCTTATCGGGCCCAGGTTCGGATCGATTTAGCAGCAAACTCCGAACTCAGAGTTCATGGTTATAGCATCCCTTCGTTCCACCGCTCCCCAAGTTCTTTGTAGGCCGGGTCTCGGAAACCCCTCTTTTGACGCAATTGCTGTCGAGAGTATCGTCGAGAGTATCGCCTGGAGTACCGAGTACACGCGCTGTCGTCAGACCAGAGTCTATTGATGAGTTGCCTGACAGGCCAAACGGAGTGATAGCTGTTCCGACTGGCTGCTTCCATTAATTCACAAGCTTACAAAGGAATGTAGACTCTACTGGTCAGACTACCATCCGATGGTGACCGACGTAGTTGTTCCTGTCTCTGGTCGACTCAGAGAGCTGAACGGACCAGCGGCTCAGCATTGAGGTCCGTAGGTATGTGAGAATGTGACGCTCTCCTAAAAGGTATAAAAAGCATACATGTAGCCTAAGACCGCAGATCATCAACCACTCCAGTCCATACCAGCATTAATGAATAGCCTGCCACCTTTTCGTAACAATGTACCAACAAGTAAGCCAACGCGATCATCTCCACCCGAACCCGAAGCTAAACGCTATTTAGATTAAGGACAAGTCCACGCCAAGTGGAGGGCCAGCATCCATGGACCCGCAGGCCCAGAGAGCCCAAGAGACTCCTAGCCCAGCAAACCATCAGGTCCACAGTTCTGACACTTCTGGGTCAGGAACCGGCGGCTTAAAGGATACCGACTCGTCCAAACAGAGCGCATCCAAAAAGAGAAGCAATCAAAGCAAAATTCCTTCGAACATGGTAGTTGTGGATCGTCCTTGGCCTAGGGGAAAGGAGGCCCAGAATGCTAGACTGGATCCTTTCAGCAGGCGTGTTGATGCATCTACGCCAGACTCACTCAGCCGTTGGTACTGCGCAAAGATGAATGATCAGCCGTATCATGCGATTGGTGAAGTAAAAAGGCCCCTGGGGAATACAGGCGAGATGCAAACGAGCGGAGAAAATGGAGAGATCTGGCCATATGAAGCCCGGCTTGGAGTGACGTGGTCTGGCAGGGCAGTTTACGGTGACGCAAAAACGAGACTGAATAACGAAAAGCGGGAATCTGGTAATTGATATCATATTGTCGTCTATAAAGCGAGGGCCGAGGACTCCAAGGCCTCTCTCCTAGATTCCCAAGCCAACCAATCTGATCTCGTTGTCCTACTCCTATATTAGCATTGTCTTTCTGCTCGAGATCTGGAAGGGGGACGTACGGCAGTAGTCCCATGGAGTTAACCTTCCAAACCGCCAGGGCCAGCGCCACGAATTGCATAGCGACGTATGCCAGCTTGACCTGCAGCATCTTGGCCTTGTTCGTTTCCGACTCGAACCTCTCAAAGGCCTGGTTGACCGCGGTGAGACCCATCAGAGGATTCTTGAAAGCCATGAAAACCATCATGATGCTGAAGATCTGGAGGGAATTGCCAGACATGTACATCATGATGGCCGTCATTGGCAGGTTCTTGACCGGGGCGAGCGCCACCTCCCACGCCTTCTTCACTTTCAAAGTGTCCATCTCCTCGGGTGTCTGTTGCTTGCGCGGCTGAACAGCCTTTTGGTCCTTCTGCTTCTAAAGAGACAACTTAGCGACAGCAGATGTATGCGCAGTGCCGCAAAGAGCTTACCTTGGAGCCGGACGAGGTTTGCGACGGGTAGCCTTGGGGGTCGGAGATGCCGGGGACCTTGGACTTAGCGGCCGGGGGAGACTGCAGGTCTGCCACCCATCGCGGGACATTGCCGTTGACCAAAGCCATGCTTGGAGTGTTTGTGTCGATTTTCGGTGATCGGGCGAGCGGGTCAGAAGCTCAGGAACTCGGATGCAGGTGTTGAGACGAAAGCTAGCAAACAGTCGCGTGGGTGGGTGATGACGAGCTGTCGTTGGAAAGCAGTTCTCCACAGAACGGGCCGGCTAAACCTAGGCAACGCGCACCCCACGCGGTTGACAGCGGTTGTTCAGCGCCTGGGCTCGCTTATTCCTATCGGCTGACCGATAAGGCCCAGTTTCGGACCTGTTGCACTCCACCGCGGAACGGCGGGAGCTTTGGGATTCAACGTTGACCTTCCCCTTTAGCAATTAGAAATCGAAGCCCGGATTGCCCGCGAGACCCGAACGACGACAGACCGCGCCCGTACTGTTGCACTGAACGAAGTGAACCTCCGAACCCACGCCTCGATAGACGAACGGCCACAGCAGCTGGCGCAGAACAAGAGGGTTGTCCGGCATTCAGCTTGACGACGCGCTGATCGATCAGCAGCCTCTTCGATTGGCCGCAACCCCCCGGCACCAACGACGCATGTGACATCCCTTCTGCCTCTACACCCCTCCCACCATCCAAGACAAGTCAAGGAAGCACTGCGTCTTCCCGCCAATTTTTGCGACTACTTTTCGATCGAGTGGCTTGGCCCTAGTACAGGGAAGCCAAAGTCGACATACATCGCGCAGCTGGGCGTGAGGGGTCTGGGGTGTTATCGCCCACCACGACGCGATCAAGCACCGGTAAAGAGCTTGTCGGAGACCCGTTCGGAGGGATCTGTCTGAGAATCGCATTACGCACCACTACACCGACCGCTGTGTCTGATACGAGGAGAAGCCGTCATCATGTCGAGCGCACAGGGTGGAGGAGACTCCAAGTTGTTTGCCAGGGTAAGATCCGGTCCTCGTCTCTCTTGTTCCCTCTGCACATGTCTTTCTGTTGGATGGCATCCTTCATGAAATGTGTACCCAAAACCTCCGATGTTTGTCTAAGACAACTGGAGCTTGATATATGGAAGCTGTCCCCACGCGCCATCTTCCCCGCCGTCTCAAATATCAGCCTTGCTGTGCCTCGCGACCTCGAGCTTCAGCTTCCCCTCTCATCAGTCGGCGCAATCGCCGCCATTTCACCTCATAAGTCCCGCGTTGAATGCTATCCTCCTATGCGTCGCCCGCCATGTTTATGGCCTACGTACCCCCGCCGACTTATATCAATAAACTAACAACCTCAAAGGGCAAAGTCGCGGAACTGCGACTGGAGCTGAACAGCGGCGGCAAGAAGGACAAGAATTATGCGAGCAAGAAGATTGCTCTGAAGAAGATTGTCGCCAACATGACCATGAGCAACAACGACATGGTCGCGCTGTTCCCCGACATCATCGGCTGCATGCATATTCAGAGTCTGGAGATCAAGAAGATGTACGGCTTTTCAGTAGCTTCTCACAGGGCGTTCATCTGTTGACGATCGGTTTAGGTGCTTCTTGTTCCTGGTCAACTACGCAAGGATGCGACCAGAGATTGCCATTCAGGCTATTCCCGTGCTGGAGCAGGTGAGCGTGGCAACTTGATCTAATCTGAGATGTTGGTTGATTAACTTCATCCAAGGATATGGAGGATCACAACCCGCTGGTCAGAGCGCTGGCCCTGAGAACAATGTCCTACATACACGTCCGAGAATTTGTCGAGGCGACTGTGCCTCTGGTCAAGCACATGTTGAAGGATGCGGATCCATACGTAAGAAAGACGGCCGCATTCTGTGTCGCAAAGCTTTACGACCACGATCGGCGCATGATCGAGGGCTCAGATCTGATCGACAGGCTTAATACGCTTCTAAGAGACGATAACCCCACTGTGGTGGCTAGTGCGCTAGCATCATTGATGGACATTTGGGAGCGGAGCGACGCCATCAAGCTCACAATTGACTACAGCAATGCCTCCAAGATGGTAGCCATCCTCCCTGACTGCTCTGAGTAGGTACTTTCCAACCCTTTGCGAAGTCCACTACTGACACGATGGCAGATGGGGCCAAACATACATTCTCGAAGCACTCATGTCATACGTGCCCCAGGAGTCAGGGGAAGCCTTGCTTCTCGCAGAGCGCATATCGCCGCGCCTGTCGCATTCAAACTCGGCCGTCGTTCTCACCTGTATCCGTGTCGTTCTGTACCTCATGAACTACATCTCGGACCAGAGACAGATTGCCATCTTGTGCAAGAAGCTATCGCCTCCGCTAGTGACGCTTCTGGCCAAGGGTCCAGAAGTGCAGTATCTCGCCCTGCGCAACGCTCTTTTGATTTTGCAGCGTCGACCTGAAGTCTTGCGCAACGACATCCGCGTCTTCTTTTGCAAGTACAACGATCCCATTTACGTCAAGGTTACGAAGCTGGAGCTCATCTTCATGCTTGCCAACGAAAACAACATCGACGAGGTTCTCACCGAACTTAGAGAGTACGCGACCGAAATCGACGTTCACTTTGTGCGCAAGGCTGTGCGAGCGATCGGCAAGCTTGCCATCAAGATCGAACCGGCATCGCGGCAGTGTATCAACCTGCTCCTCGAACTGGTAGCGACCAAAATCACGTATATTGTACAAGAGGCCACGGTCGTTATTAGGAATATCTTCCGCAAGTATCCCAACCAGTACGAGTCAATCATCGGCACCCTTTGCGAACATCTGGATTCTCTTGACGAGCCGGAAGCAAAGGCTGCCATGGTCTGGGTTATTGGACAGTACGCAGACAGAATAGAGAACAGCGAAGCACTCCTGGAGGACTTCCTGTACTCGTTTGCGGAAGAGCCGGTAGAAGTGCAGCTGGCATTGCTCACGGCAACCGTCAAGCTCTTTATCCAGAGACCGACCAAGGGTCAAGAGCTGGTGCCTCGCGTCTTGAAGTGGGCGACCGAAGAGACGGACAACCCGGATCTTAGAGACAGAGCTTACATGTACTGGCGACTGCTGTCGACCGACATGGCCGCAGCCAAGCAGATCGTCATGGGAGAGAAGCCGCCCATTACAGCCGAATCCGAGCGACTCGACCCGGCCACCTTGGAGGAAATGTGCCTGAACGTGGGAACGCTCGCGACGGTCTACCTGAAGCCGGTGCAGACGGTGTTCCGCTCGGCGCGGCCAAAGAAGCTGACAGACTCGCCGGCGCTGCAGAAGCACCTGCTCCCGACGTCGATTGAGAACCAAAAGAGCCTGAGCATGCTGGGCATGGGCGGACAAGCGCAGGACTACAACATGCATAGCCAGCACGTCGCCAACGACGCGGCCAACGGGGGCAACCTGGCCCAGGCGGTCAACGATGCCGACGCGTACTTTAACAGCATCGGACCGCAGCAGATGGCGGCGATGAGGATCGACCAGGGAGACGTGTTTGGTGAAACCGGGGGATACGAGACTGGCTATGTGGTCAACCAGCACGCACCGCAGCAGGTGGTGCAGCCGGCGCAAGGGAGCAACGGTGACTTGTTGGTACTCTGAAAAGAGTATGGTATGAGCCAGGCAAAGTGTGGGAGGATTTTGCTGTAGAATACGAACAAAAGGTTATCCTCAATATTGTAGTAATGGCAGCGCGAGGTAAAGTTGACGATTGGTCAATTCGACAACGCAATCAGGGAAGCCAAACTTAATCTGAACTAATATCAGCGCCCCTGGGGATACGTAGGCTGTGTACTTGGTTTTTTTTTTCTTTTGGTGGTCATCTTTCTGGAAGAAAAAGAATAGCTCATGAAACCCAAAGAAACCTGCAGATCACATTCTTCTGGCACCAATCTCTCCAACAACTTCTTCGGTGCATGTGTGAGCAGGTGGCAGTCATATTCAGCAGGGCTTGCGGTGTGGTCAAAGGAAACAAAAGTCAGCCATTTGAGGGTTCAGACAAAGACGAGACCAAAGTTCTGCAATGCGGGCGCACGACAAGATCTTGTCTAGCGGCGGGTCTGACGGGAAGTCTAAGGGGACGGCCGGAACCTTGAGTTGAGTCCAGAGCATCCAGTCGATAGGAACGGATGAAGGGGCAGGACAGTATTTAGGTATATCGGGAGGTAAATAAGGGAAAATGAAGAGCAGTGGGAGATGTGGCGGCGCAGAAGACCGGCTCCGGCTTTTGAATTATGAGGTGCCGCGCCTGCTTGGATACCTTGGACAAGGCAAAGGAAGCTTAGCTTGTGCGGCTGTCTACTTGTTGTTGTTTTTTCACGGTGTGGTTGACAACTCGGGTATGACAAGTGAGACTCGGGCGCAAGACCGGTTTCTTGGGGCTGGATGCTGGTCTGCAGCCCAAGCGGGCGGGGGGTTCCTATTTGTTTCTTTCGTCACCCCGCGATTTTTGCCCGGACAGAGATCGTCGATCCGTGGACCCGGGGTAGAAGGAATGGACCGCTCAAGGACAGTGGAGTTGGGCTATTTCTTCTTATTTTGTTGGTTCTTTTCTTTTTCTCGTTCTCCAAGTTGTTGGATTGAGGGGAAGGAAGAGATGTGATGGGAGATGGTCATCTTCTGCTCGTTTACGATGCAAGACACCGTTCAATGCATCCGTTCCCGGTTGCCCCGACGAAGGATGCCAACAATGGCGTTGAACCGACGTCAACAGCGACCCAAAGGAGAAGGAGATTCGGGCTGCCCTCGGTGGACCATGGCTGGCCATCTTCGACCGTCTGCTACCTCCAAAGGGATTGGTTGGGAATCCCGGGCGTCCTTTCCGCTGGAACCGTGGATGGATCGAGTCGCCCGACGACAACGCCTCCGATCTGGTCAGAAAAGCTTGGGGAGTCTGGATGCGGCAGGCCTGTGAAGTGAGTGTCCTCGAGTGTGGCACATTTCACGGTTGCTCTTCTACCCTTCTATCCATGGCTTGTGTCTTCAACTCCTCGTCGACACATCAATCTGGAATTGCTCGATAGGCTCGATGGATAGTATCCTCCCACCACAGCAGATTGGCAACAAGAGCCTCACTTTTCACCTGTAGGCAGTAGGGCACCAGGTCGAAAGGGGAAAGCTCGTGCCTGCCTTCGACTGCTTCCTCTCCACACCCTGAGAGTTTTGAGTAAGTGCGTGCACTACATTGGCTCCCCCCGTGCTGCGTGCGCTCTTGGTGTCAAATACGGCGATGGGGCGACGCGCGAAGTACGCCTGAGGAGAGTTTCGGGTTCCTGGCAGTCTTATCCCATCTTCAGAAACATCAACATAACACCTTACACACTGATCTGATGGTGCCTCCCTCAGAGAACGGGTAAGAGACAAAGCGGTGACGAGGCCAATCCTCCCTCTCGTAATGCTGCGAGGTCGTATCCGATCCTTTCAGCTTTTTGTTGCCTGCCATGGCCCCGACAAGGATCTGTTTCCCACACACGTACGGGGTGCTGCTGAAACATTGCACGTCTATATTCTTTTCCCGTCCTTGGGGTGAAGAGGGGGGGGATTTCGGATGCCCAGATACGGGGCGCCATGTCGGGGGACCGCAGGTTGGCCTGTCCCTGTGAAGAAGGGGAACCGGTGAAAGAGGTCCATCGGTGGGTACGTAGCGGAACAGGCGCAGACTCGACCGACTACTGAGGCGCCTGGCTGCAGACGGAATGAGTGATTGTTGTAGGGAGTACTTGGTGGTTGGTCTTAGTTAGTGGCGATTGCACTGACTGTTGGAAATTTGACAGCGGTATCGGCGCGCACTCGCTCGTCACGGCGTGCATATCACGGCGTCGTGCCATTTGATCCTTTCCATTCCCTCGCTCCCGTTCCCGTTTCCACTGCGAGACGCCCAGATCTGGGGGACGAAAGGAATGCAGACGGTGCGTGCGGTTGAGAATGTGTCACATTGCGAGATAGCGTCCTCCTCTGTAGCGGTGACGGCGGGGAATTGCATCCGTGGGCCCCGCGGTCGACTTAGCGACGGCTGCTGGGACGGTAGCCTTGGCCGAGTCCAACAGGCGTGAAAACATTGGTATTGGTATCGAGGAAGGGGGACAGTCAGGTCTCGAAAAGGAGAAACGATCTGGACAAGCGCTGGAATTGAGGGCTTGGGAAAGAAAGCGTACGGGAAGGAAGACCTGGAGAGGGTCGATGTTTCCCCCTCAAGCTTCATGGTGTTGTTCCTTCTTGATATGCATGTGTACGGATATTCGCACTTACCTTATTTGTGAACCGCCAATTCCCTCCTTCTCTTCAAACCTGCGTCTCCTCGACAACCTGCTCGCATTGATTTCCCACCAGAAGAAGCATACTTCGACCTAAGAATCGTTGCCTGCAAGGAGCAGAGAGTCGAGTGAGAAAGGAAGATTCAGAGGGAAAACACGGCAACCACGCCGTTCGCTGTACTTCCATCGAGAACCCATCGTCATTCCAGCTTCCTGACGATTACAGTGCTGAGTGTAGGTTTCCTGCTTCCCACTTTGTCTCGATTTGAGATAATTCTGGCCATTTCCTGCGCTCTGGCTTTTGAGCAGCTACCTAGGTTGTCGCAACAGCACACGTCAACAGTCACGAACCAGCAACCGAGATTTGATGACTGAGAGAGAGAGAGAGAGAGAGCTTGTGACACCACTCACTCTCCACAACACCCTCGACCCTTGATCGGCCGCGCCCTTTGCTGCCGGTATCCGCCGCCGCCGCCGCCGCGTTTATCGCCATCGCCGCCGCCGCTACCGTAGCAGCTTTGTCAAGGAGGGCCTCATAGACGAAACAGGCTGCACGACTCGACTGATACCGACCGCTCGGAAATTCGACGGGAGACGACGTGATTGCCAGGTGCATCGTTATAGCACCACCCTGTCTGGTCCTCGCTCTACCTAGACTACCTCGGACCACCATCCTTTTCCTCGAGGCACTTTTCTGCTTGGGACAGCGTGATAGTGAGGCAACAATTCAAAGGACGACTAAACGCCGCTTCGGCAGCGAAACACCGCAGTCATAACCATCTACTTTGGCAGCACCTACCTCTCACTTCACATTCCCTACGTTGCTCATTCATATAATTATACACTACGCATACCTGGCACCCTCCGCGACATTTCCGCCCCCAGCGAAACTTGGAACGGAATCATTGCCGAGCCAACCTGCCCAGTTCACCACCCACCCGAGCCCAACGCTTGTAGTGAGGAGAGTCCAGCCTGCAGGTGGAAAGAGAGACAACCACGGCCCACGGTCCACGGCCCACGAGCCACGAGCCGCGCTACCAAGTTCCGTCAAGCCATCTCCCCCCATTCGACATCCTCTCCAGGTCCCGTCCTTCTCCAACTCGGCTCCGGGCCCCCATTTTATCCTTACTTCCTTTTTCCCACCTTTTGGACTGGTCCATGTCCCACGCCTTAGATGCACTGATCACCCGCCTTTCCCATCCGCTTCCGCCTTCAGCGTTCCCGTCCAACATCCTGAACGAAACCCCCTCCAATCCTGGCAACTGCCACAACACCGGCCTCGCTACCCACGCCAACTGGTACCATCCCGACCGGCGTCTTTGCGTCGCTGTGCCTTGGCGTCTGACCGTCTCACCCGACGCCTGCTATTCATCCTCCCCCGACTCTCTTCCGCGGAACGCTGAGATCCCACCTGTCAAAATAACCTCGCCTATTTCGCGACCTGCTGCATGCCTTGAGCCATTGCACACGAATCGATTCCAACCACACTCACCGCGAATCCGCGCTCCCCGAGGCTCGACACCGCTGTCCTTGCCTGTGATCCGCAATGACCGACACCAAGCCTGCCGACGCCAACACGACCGTCGGCCAACCACTCAAAGATTCTTCGGCTGAGCCAAAGGATACCATCCCCATGAAGAACCTTCCGCAGGCCTCGTCGACGGAAGCCGGCGTCGCGGCCGTAGACGCAACGAAGATGACGACGACGACTTCATCAAACAAGACATCCGGCGCTGCGGCATCAACACAGCTCGAAGCCGGCAATTCGACGACGGGCGACGCCGATGATTCAATCGAGCAGTCGACTAAAGGAAAGGAGAAGGACTCGGTTTCCTCACCAGCGACCAAGACCCAAGATGACTCCATGGCCATCGGCCCTTCTGTTGATGACGTCCAACCCGTCAGCAGCTCCCCAGCAGATGGCCCGGTATGCAACATCACGCTGTTGCTCACTACCGGTGCACGACACCCTTACAAATTGGATGAAAAGTACTTGACAAAGAGAAACGTCAATGTTCCTGGATTGACCGAGGCGGGAAAGAAGGATCCTTTCACAATCAGTGTCTACACCTTAAAGGAACTCATTCTAAGAGAGTGGCGTGAAGAATGGGATGCCAAGCCTGCGAGCCCCAGCAGCATCCGTTTGATTCATTTCGGAAAGCTGTTGGACGATAAGGACCAACTGAAACGTAGGCTTTCCCTCACGGCGGCATCTTACTTAATGATACTGTTTCTAACATTGTTGTAGAATACCACTTTAGCGCAGAGGCAGCCAACGTCGTACACATGACTGTCCGGCCAGCCGATATCGTCGAGGAAGAAGAACCCAAGGGCGGCAACAAGTCGACCTCTGGCGGTGGCCGTAACCGAGAAGGTGGCGGTGGATGCTGTGTCATCTTATGAACGAAACGGTCCAAAGATCTGGGCCTTTTCTCTTGCGATCATCACTCCTTTCCTTTTTAACCTTTCCCCGCCCAACAAGAGCCATTCCTTTCTACGGGGGAGAATGACATGCATGGAAGAAGAGCGGGCGAGGAAGGACTTCCCTGGATCGACCTGGCTTGAGCGCTCTGCATGGTACACAATACAAAGAGGCAGGGGCCTGGCTAGGGTCACGGTGTCGACAATGCATGCAATTCCAGATGTGCCCAGAACGGATGGGCTGGCCGGCCTGGTGAGGCTTTCGGTTATGGTGTTGCTTCGGGTCTTTTTTCTCATGTCTTGTGTGTCTCTCTCTCTTTGGAGGCCACCCCGACATCCACCGAGCGTATTACAAAGAGCGAAGACAATAAGGGGACATTAGGAGTACGGCGGCGTATCATAGCTTTGTGTATTTGTTCTGGTTGATTCTTTCTCCACGCACCATCTATGGGTGTCTTGTCCATAGGATAGTAGAACGCATTCTGTTCCATCTTCCCGTTGAACTCGGACGCTGTAAGAAATTCCTTCTATGGCTTTGGCATCCCCTATGCTGCGTCCTCTATGCCGCGCCGTCCACAAATCGTGACGCATGTCGTAGTAATACAATTTCAACCCTGGTCCTCTTCCCGTCTCTCGGACTCAGGAGCCTTGCTACTCTCGGTCTCTCTATCCCTCATTTTCCTTTCCTCAAATCTTGAGCTTCCTTTCCATTTCGTCGTGCATGCCAACGATGCCCACGCTCTCCTCGCCCGAGTAGACATCCTCCCACGTGACGCTCGCGTCCTTGCCGCGGAGGATCTCCTCGTGAACGCTAGCCTTCTGACCGCCGAGAGCGAGGGGCCGCCACTCGCCGTTCTGAGTGATCTTGAGTTCCATCTGGCGGCGGATGGGCTCCGCCAGGCCGAATGTGCGACGAAGCGTCTCCATGCGCATGCCCTCCTGCGTGGCCTCCCAGTTCTTGAGGCGGGACTCGAGGGGGTGGGCGCTCGCGGCGACGTTGTCTTTGGCGTCGTAAGCGCTCTGACCGACGCCGGCGCGGAGGGTGTCGTGGACGCCTGGGGCCGAGGGGGCGTTGGCACCGGCGGCGAAGGTTGTGGGTTGGTTTGCGGCGGGGACGATTCGCATCTGGAAGGGGAGTTTGATGTTAGCTTTTGGGGAGGAGTCGAATGGGACATGAGGAGATGGGCGAAATTACGTACCGACATCTTGAATATCCTTTTTGCGGTGGACTGTGGTTAGGGAAGAGGGTGATTGTTTGGGGTTGTTTGATGGGTATTGAGCTGGATGACTGAGTGACGACTCTGGGAGCTTGCGCTTCGGTGATGTGCCTGGAGCTGTCCGCCCTGTGTTGCTGCTGCTCCCACCCAATCCCGCCATTACCTCAGCGGGAAATATGCACGTGACTTCCAGGCTGAAATGCAGGCGCGGCAACAACCTAGCCTTAGCTTACCTGATCCCTGTCCGTCTTTCCTTCCGCTCCCCGGCCTAGCATGGGATCCACACGGGTGGGGCGATGACGGCCGAGCTTCACACCGAGATCGCAGCTCGTTTACATACAAAAAGTCCGGGGAAAGCTGCTCTTGCCGATGCCCCGGGCTTTTCGGGAGAGGAGTAGAGTCACAGAGTGAACACCCACGCCACGGAACGCCACGACATGAGGAAAATGGTGGTTGATCAACGCTGAGTATATATGCGCATACACACACTCATTCATTCTTCCACCCAAAAGCATACACACACAATGCGGATACCGAATCGTTCTCCCCCGATCTTGAGGATCGCCAACGGCTCCTTCTACCGCCACCATCCCAACACTCACACGACGCAGCCGAACCCGCCTCTCTTCACCGACCTGAACCTCGAGCTGCCCTCCTTTGCCGAGAAAAAGAGCCATTGGTGCATCGTCGGGCCCTCGCTCTCGGGGAAGACGACGCTATTGCAGGTTCTCAGGGGACAGCACCTTGCGATCCCGCCCACGGCGCGTACGTACCCGTACCTCTCCACCGATGAAGTTCCCGCACGTCTACGGAGCGCGAACAAAGCGATACAGTACGTCGGCTTTGACGGCGACAACGGGCTGGGTGCCAGCCATACCACGAGCGCGTACCTCGCCGCGCGGTACGAGTCGAGGAGGGAGAAAACGGATTTCTCGCTGAGGGACTATCTTCTCGGCAACACGGAGCTGAACCCGCTGGAAACGCTTCCCGGTGAGGAGGACCTGATACCCCGGGCGCTCGTGGAGAGGGTCGTTGCGGACCTGAGGCTGGAGCCGCTGCTGGATCTACCCGTCGCGTTCCTGAGCAACGGGCAGGGGAGGCGGGCGCGCATCGCGAGGGCGCTGCTGGCGACGCCCGAGATGCTACTGCTAGACGAGCCGTTTGTGGGGCTCGATCCGCCGACGGTGGCGTCGCTGAGCCCCGTATTGAGGGTGCTGGCTGAGCGGGCGAGCCCGCGGCTCGTACTCAGTGCGCGGCCGCAGGATCCGTTGCCCGAGTGGATCACACATCTGATTTATTTGCGCAGTGACTGCCAGATTGGTTCGATGGGTCCCAAGACCGAGGTGCTGGAGGGGCTCAGGAAGTATGTTCGGGGTGTTTGGAAGGGCGGGCTGAAGGAGGACGAGAGGCTTCCTGTGCACTCGCTCATGGAGATGGGCAAGGTTTTGACAGCCAAGGGCGTGGAAGGGGACGGGCTTGTGGCGGCGAGCGAGAAGGATCTGCATGCTGCTAAGTCTGCCGCTTCTACTAAATTGTCGACTGCGGAGACGGCTGTTGGTGAGCCGTTGGTTGAGATGGATGGCTGTCAAGTGAGGTATGGAAGCAAGATTGCGCTGGGCAACTGGTCTCAGGACACGCCGTCTGGGCCCAAGGACGGGTTGATATGGACTGTCCGGAGAGGAGAGCGATGGGGCGTGTTTGGTCCAAACGGGTCGGGCAAGACCACTGTCGTCTCGCTTCTATGCTCCGACCACCCTCAGACGTATTCTCTTCCCATTAAGCTATTCGGCAGAAGCAGACTACCCGAACCTGGTTCTGGCCAACGACCTGTCACGTTCTGGGACATACAGTCACGCATTGGACACTCGAGTCCGGAGGTTCATCAGCACATGCCCCGCGGCCTGACTGTTCGACAAGTCCTGGAGAACGCCTGGGCAGATACGTTCAAAGGCATCCCTGTCCTCGACGACGAAGCACGCGGCAAAGTCGAGGCGACGTTGCAATGGTTCACGTCGGAGCTCAACCCGGGATATCAAAAGGCTTCCTCTACCACCGCAAGTGGCAGCAGCAGCAATGATCTCTCCTGGTCAGACAACTACCTCTTTGGCGGCCTATCCTTTAGCGCCCAGCGGATCGCGCTGTTGCTGCGGGCTGTCATCAAGAACGCTGACGTGGTGGTGCTCGACGAGGCTTTCAGCGGCATGGACGACGCGGTGCGGGACAAGTGTATGCTCTTTCTCGCTTGGGGGGAAGAGAAGGCATACAGCGGGGAGCGCATCGTGGACAGCGAGGTCGCCAAGACGGGCCGAGTGAGGGTCAAGGGTCTGAGTGACCGGCAGGCGTTGATCTGCATCAGCCACATCAAAGAGGAGGTGCCGGATTGCGTGCGGGAATGGATCTGCCTGCCTGAGGCCAACGAAGGGTTGCCAGCGCGGTTTGGACGGTTTGATGGGCCGTTGAGGACGGATGAGAAGCGGTGGAGGGCGCTCTGGGGCGTGTGAGAGGAGGGTTCGCATATCCCGAGCCCGAGTCCCATGTTTTTCTGTAGAAAATTCACAGTGGGGAACCATGTGAATCAAAAGTACAATGGCATTGAGAGTACGAGGGAAGGGAACGCGAATAGACTTTTGGTGGATATAGAAGTAGGTGAAAGCTTACCCCAGAGCTGAGCTGCACATCATCCATGCGGGATAGATACCTTATCTTAAAGAGAGTCGCATCTGGAAAAGATGGACGTTGAATGCTAAAAGAAATCATCCAAGCCCTCACTCCTCTCCTCCATCGTGGGCCTGTCAAAGCTACCTACTTACCTGACTGCGTTATAGCGCAAAGATCATGTTGTGCCCCCGGGTGCAACAGTTGACAGATTCCGGCGGAGACCAGCAGTGAGTGACCTGATGAGGTGCATGAGGTGCAAGGTATAAGGTGAGTGACGAAAATGTCTGTTCCCACCTCCAATCCGTTTTGGGCGACGGGGCTCAGGAACGGCCAGCGGGTCCCAGAGGCGCTAGCAAGCCGCTAACCGCTACGAGGTAACGAGGATCCCGCCATCAGGCTCAGCCCCCATGTCCAGACCCGCTTTTCGCAGCCGGGACACCACACGAATCCCATGCACCCATGGCCCGTTGCCCCGCCAACGCGATCAAAGTCCCCGATCCGCCCTGTTGCCCCTCGACACTCGCGGATGCGCTGGGAGAAAGAGAAAGAGAAAGGCGCAGAGTGATTGCCCATCCACGCGGTTTCTTTGTGCCTCCCCAGCCTCCCCAACTTTTGACCCTCCCTCCCGCAGCCTGATTTGCTTTACCTGCCTTGCTGCTGCTGCCCGCTCTCTCATACACATTGCTCCCTTATCATCTCTCGAGATCCCGCTTTGCCAAAAAGCTACCTAGTTGTCTCTAGCACTATCAAACCTTGCCGCCTGGAATTCCCATCCAGAAATTCCAACGGCGCAACCTCTGGTCGAATTTCGACACTTACATACATCCTGGACGCTCATTCCAAAGATCGAGACGTGGGGAGCCGAACCGACGCCACGAAGCCGACCTGAGCTACGTCAATCCCTCGCTCAAACAGTCTTACCGTGGCGCCGGCCCGTTACAGACAAAGAACACTTCCACGAGACCGGCCCTTTGACAACAATCCAATACAGCATTCCTCTGCCCGTTTCGTCCCGGTAACCGGCGGCGCAAACAACATCCCATCATGGACCCAAATACCCCTTCGCGACCGCCCGATTACAGCCTCCCCCCCTACGACGACCGCGACGACGACACTCCCACGGGACGCTCCAATAATCCCGCCGCCATTCGACTACTGACTTCAGTGGAGGAGCCCATCATGGACAGAGCACCGTACGTAACACCCAGCGCGCCCCGGCAGTCGACATCGACACCGGTCAGCGCCAAAGCCGCATCGCGACCCTTTCATTCTGCTTCTACTACTCCCGCTTCCGCTTCTTCCATTCCTCGCCTTCGGCAGGTTCACAAGACGCCCGACTCGTCGCCCAGCCTCTTCCCGCGCCCTCTATCGCTGCGCAGGAACAAGTCGGACGCTGCAGACCCGGTACTGTCGACACCAGACCACCTCGACGCATTGAGGCAGCAAGAGGAGGGCCACCCGAAGTCGCCCTTGTCTCCGGCACCCATCTACACGCCGCGCTCAAGTGGCGTGAGCGTTGTCGACTTTGCTGATGCCCAGCGCACCTCTCGCATACCGGTCCGATCCACTACTGTAAAGTTACAGAAGAGGCAGAGGCCCGACTCCATCAGGGAATCACAGCTTCGGGACAGTCTCCCGACCATACCAGAGGGTCCCTCACTGCGGAAAAGTCAACTGCGCAAGTCCTCGAGCTGCCCTGCTCCCCCGCTGTCAGATGATTCTACCAATAGCACAAGCACAAGCTCACATGAAGAGACCAATAGGCCCCGATCCAGCCGACGATCCTACGCGTCGTCCATCATGTCCGATCGCTCCGCGTCCATTCGAGACCCCCCCAGCATGCCGCCACCGGACTCGACTTACGTTCCCTTCCAAGGACGTGACTATGCCCGCGAGTACGAGCGCACCTACGAGCAGGAGTATCAGGACGACTACCCGTACGAGTACCAGTCAGGACGTCAATCACCGACGAGGACATATAGCCCTTCGCGCCTCTCCTCGGACTTCACAAGACCCCCTGCTTCTGGAATATACGAGCCCTCAGACCTCAATGGCAGCCCCAGACCGGGAACGCCATCTTCCAGATACGGTGGAAGCCCTAGACGACCCCTTCCACCCGCGCCGCTATTCTCGACTGGTGCGAACCGCAATTCGGCCGCTTTCGCCGACGATGCCACAGTCTCGATCCCTCTTCATGACGCCGACGACGTATTCGGACCGGAAACCGATATCAGCGAAAGTCAGCCCATGAGAGAATCGTACATGTCTCAGGACCAAGTCACGCTCAGTGAGGAGGAGACGGAAACTGACATCAACGAAAAGGTCGAACACTACGGTCCGGCTCCGGATGGTATGCAAGAGCGCCGAGGTGTGCGCGCACCGCAGATGTCTAGAAAGGAGGTCCAGCTCATCAACGGAGAGCTGGTCTTGGAGTGCAAAATTCCCACAATTCTCTACAGTTTCTTGCCTCGTCGCGACGAGGTCGAATTTACTCACATGAGGTACACAGCCGTCACTTGCGACCCTGATGACTTTGTCGAACGTGGATACAAGCTCCGCCAGTCCATTGGCAAGACTGCTCGCGAGACGGAATTATTCATTTGCGTCACCATGTACAACGAGGACGAGTTCGGCTTCACTAGAACCATGTACGCCGTCATGAAGAACATTTCCCACTTCTGCGCCCGTTCAAAATCGCGCACGTGGGGTGACAATGGTTGGCAAAAGATTGTCGTCTGCATCGTGTCCGACGGCAGAGAAAAGATTCACCCTCGCACGCTCGACGCGCTGGCGGCGATGGGTGTCTACCAGCACGGCATCGCCAAGAATTACGTCAACCAGAAGGCTGTACAGGCCCACGTCTATGAGTACACTACGCAGGTCTCGCTCGACTCTGATCTCAAGTTCAAGGGTGCCGAAAAGGGCATTGTCCCTTGCCAGCTGATCTTTTGTCTGAAGGAGAAGAACCAGAGGAAGCTCAATTCACATCGCTGGTTCTTCAACGCTTTCGGCAAGGCCCTGAACCCCAATGTGTGCATCTTGCTTGACGTTGGTACCAGACCCGGCGGTACATCCCTGTACCACCTGTGGAAGGCTTTCGACAACGACTCGAACGTTGCCGGTGCCTGCGGAGAGATCAAGGCCATGAAGGGCAAATTCGGAGTGAATTTGCTGAACCCGCTCGTCGCCTCTCAGAATTTTGAGTACAAGATGTCCAACATTCTTGATAAGCCTCTTGAGTCTATCTTTGGCTACATTACCGTCTTACCTGGTGCGCTTAGTGCCTACCGATACCACGCTCTGCAGAACGACGAGACAGGCCACGGCCCTCTCAGCCAGTACTTCAAGGGAGAGACACTGCACGGTCAGCATGCGGACGTGTTCACGGCAAACATGTACCTCGCCGAGGATCGTATTCTCTGCTGGGAACTGGTCGCCAAGCGCGGCGAGAGCTGGGTCTTGAAGTACGTGAAGGGATGTCACGGTGAAACGGATGTGCCAGGTAAGAAAGCATTACGAAATCGAAACTGTCCTTGACTAACACAGCACTAGACACTGTTCCTGAGTTCATCTCGCAGCGACGTCGTTGGCTCAACGGTGCCTTTTTTGCTGCTGTGTACTCACTCGTCCACTTCAAGCAGATCTGGTATACCGACCATACAATCACTCGCAAGATCCTCCTCCACATCGAATTCATCTACCAGTTCCTGCAGCTCATCTTCACCTACTTCTCACTGGCAAACTTCTACCTGACCTTCTACTTCGTTGCAGGCGGTCTGGGCGACCCCTTGGTAGATCCATTTGGCCACAACGTTGGTCAATACATCTTCACGGTCCTGCGGTACATTTGTGTCTTGCTTATCTGCGCGCAATTCATCCTTTCACTAGGTAATCGGCCTCAGGGAGCAAAGAAGCTATACCTCTTCAGTATCGTCGTGTACTCTATCATCATGATCTATACCACGTTTGCGACCTTCTACATCGTCATCCGTCAGCTGAAGGAGAAGGACAACCCCGAGATCCACATGGGCGAAAACGTCTTCACCAACTTCATCGTCTCGATTCTCTCGACCATCGGCTTATACTTCATCATGTCCTTCTTGTACCTGGATCCCTGGCACCTGTTCACCAGCGCAGGTCAGTACTTCATGCTTCTGCCGGCCTACATTTGCACTCTGCAAGTCTATGCATTTTGCAACACGCATGACGTTACGTGGGGTACCAAAGGAGATAACGTCATGAAGACGGATCTGGGTGGCGCCATCGGAAAGGGCAACAGTGTCGAGCTTGAGATGCCGTCGGAGCAGCTCGACATCGACTCTGGCTACGACGAGGCGCTCCGCAACCTCCGCGACCGCGTCGAGGTGCCCCCTTCGGCCATCTCCGAGGCGCAGCTGCAGGAGGACTACTACAAGAGCGTCCGCACCTACATGGTGCTCTCCTGGCTCATCTGCAACGCCATTCTCGCCATGGCCGTGTCTGAGGCGTATAGCGACCGCGGCATTGGTGAAAACTACTACCTTGCCTTCATTCTCTGGTCCGTGGCGATTCTGGCGCTCTTCCGCGCCATCGGCTCCACAACGTTCGCCGTCCTCAACGTTGTTAGCATGATTGTCGACGGCCAGGTGCGCATGAGCCTCAAGGTACCCAAGTGGATGGGCGGATTTGGTGAAAAGGTCAGCGAGAAGATGAGCAGCATGTCTAGTAGTGTTGGAAGCAGCGTCGGCGGGAGCAAACTCAGCAGCGTGTTCAAGCGTTGATTCCGCTGTTACCCCCCGGTCCGCTATTGGTGCGACATTGTCGGCGCTTGCTTCTTGCATCCACTTTGCTACATAGACACAGCGTTGGCTTCCTTTCACTATTCTCGACGAGAGTCACGAGATGATGGGCTTGACTTGCAGCTTTTTGAGGCGTTTTTACGGCTTGTTTTTTGAGCTTGATTCTCCTTCATCTCCCTATTGCGAAAAAAGTTGCAAGGAGGTAAGTTTGGGACTGTTCATTGGTTGTTTTCCTTCAGAGATATCACATGGGTTTTTGCGTGTTTTGCCGTCTTGATGAGACGAGGTGAGAGAGATGTTGGGATTTCTGGGATTGAGACGCGTTTTTGCTGTAATGAATGAAAGGGAATGTGTATATGCATTAGATCCCAGTGTCACGGGATAGGAAGACGAAGCAATGCCGACGATGTCGATGGAAACATGTCACAATCACAAAACAACGACGACACGACGACCGTTTTTCTGTTTTGCTTGCATGAAGACATGGAATTGGGAAGAATTGAAAGAGTCATGTGTAGATAGATGAGATTAGTACGAACAAAAAATGAAGGAAACAATGTCTCGAGGCGGGAAAGTCGCCCGAGAATAAGCATTGTTTCTTCTTTTCACGATACCATTTTTCTATCTTTTGGTCACTATTCACTGTGAATGATGTAATGAAGTTTGAGCAACATGGCTGGTGATCTGGTCTCATTGGCATCGTCTCTCCCCGGACCTCCCCCCACCAAAGACCGACAGAAAGACCTGTCCATGAGGAATTGCCCTAGGGAAAATGCGATATGTTGAATCGTGGCCACGGGAAATGAAGACTGTCGATTTCCATGATTCAACCGCAGTTCCGGAGTAGGCGAAAGACGTCACTGCTACCCGGAGATCACCAATCATACTCCTGACTCGTTCGATACTGGGTGTGATGGCAACAACTACTAGGAGACTTTGGGAGTGAACGTCGTTGGGGAAGAATTGTTTTGGATTGACCCATTGTGGGCTGATTGGAAAAGACTTTTGGGCGAGAAGATATTTTGCAACATACCTTCAAAGTACGGAAGTAGTCTGAGTATGGATTTCAGACTCTCCAGTCGACATCCGACGATCCTTGTAGTCAAATTCAGCCGGTATACCTACCCAGTGAACAAAACGACATTTCATGGCAGACTGGGGTGCCCTTTCCGCCGTTCTATGTTTCTAACAATTGATGGGCATGTTGAAAAATCCGTTTGGTGGTGTTTTCTTGGCGAAAGGCACATTGAATGACGTATATCAAAGGTACCGAATTCATCGGCTCCGGCCAGGCAGTACTCAGGTCATCCCATGCCAGAAACCTCCGGCGGAGACTGTTATTGATAGTATCGGGATGTAGCTCGAAACAGCCTCGTTAGAATCATCGGCGAAAATCCCGGCCGTTGATCGGAAGCGCGCCCCCACAGCGGCCTCCGAAAGACAGCGCCAGAACAGGGCACCCGTTCTTACTCCTACGGCAATATGCGCCACTATCAAAGAGCCGGCTAGATTTGAAGAAACTAGAGAATAAATTACACTTGGTCGGTGGATTGAGCGAGGGAATTCATCATCATCTCCCACAACCCGTTCACCGAATCGGTCCCGTGACGGAAGCTCGCTGTGGACTGCATGTTCACACTGAGCATATTTTCCCCGAGATGACCAGCTCAGGTAGTACTTGTAGGTTTCAGCTGGCCTTCTTTCTTGGAAGCATCAGAAGCTTTTGGGGCTGTGCCGAAGAAAGTTTGTTGTTTTGGCTTGCGGTCACTAATCATCATGCGGCCTGAGATCTTTTTTCACCCACTTTGATCAGGGACATTGTAGGAGCCATGGAGTTGTGGAAACTTCATAGCATTGTTTATGATCATTATTGGGATGGCATTGATCAGGAGTCTACAAATGGATTGGACTCAGACTTCACTCATGCATGTTGGACTTGTTATTAGAGTGTACTGTCATCGTGTCATCTCAAGGATAGAGATGAAGGGGCAATGATGGAAAAGCATTGGGTCGGTTTTCAGTTCATTGCATATCGCTGGCCATTATATGTTTGAGCACATGCCGAGAACTTTTATGAACTCGCTATTTCTTCCAGCATACATATACACTAGGTAACCACATGTATTGAGATCAGATCAGTTATTGGTCTACGAATGATAGCTACTTGAGGCAGCCGACGCCTCGATATGGTGGATATACGCAGAGCCTTCAACAGCTAATGGTGGCGTCAAATTGTTGTGATCGTGTCATCGCCCGTCTTCCTATCAGTCCTTATGGCACTCGTATTCGCTCCTTTGACGTCCAGGCTGTTTTTGACTTGTGCAATCCCCGAGGACGCCACGACACTTTCGGAGTGGTCACTAGTCTCTTCATCCGTGGGTCCAGCATCGTGCTTTTTGTCCCTTTTCAAATAGTAGTGCATAATCCAGGTGAACACAATCAACGCAATGGCGCATCCCAGACAGAACGAGAAGCCCTTCCTGTACCTCGGAGACTCCACCGTCGGGAACGTGAGCAGGGGGGTCCACGCGGTCGAGCTCTGCGACAGCAAGTTGATGAGCACCAGCGTAAAACTTCGTTCTTCGGGGCTGTCTCGCAGAAGATTGTTGACCCAGCCGTGGAACACGGAGGATAAAGCGTTGGACCAATACATGGTCGCAAACCCAAACCATAAACCGCCTTCCGGAACGGTCCAGATTGTCAAAAAGATGAGACCGACGGCATTCAGAACCGAACAGATTGTGATGGACCAGGCCGGGCCAAGGAACATGTCCGAGGCGAAGCAGGCGATGAGCGTGTACGCGATACCCAGCGCGGGGGAGATTGTACCCAGCTCGTTGATGCGCGCCGCGCTGTACCGCCCGAGGCTTTTGATCCAGAGCAAGTAGGAGCCCGTGTTCTTGTGGATGCCCGCATTCCAGAACAGGACGTCGGTCGCGATGACGAGCCAGAAGCGGAATCCTAGGAGGGTGCGCTTGACGTGGCCAAACTTCATCTTGCCGTGCAGGACGTGGCCGTGCTTCTCGAGACGTTCACGGGCGGTTTCAATGTCCTTGTCGTTGACGCACCACTTGTTGGGCTGATCGACGGTGCCGGGGATCACGAAGAAGCCAAAGATGCCGACGGGGATGGTGATGAGGGCGCAGATGATGTACATCCATCGCCAGCCTTCCATACCTATAGCAACTCGTTAGCAACAAAAATCGGATAAGTCGTAAGCGAGCGAGCTTTGGCAACGTTTCTCTTACCGTGGACTCCTTCGAGCGAACTCGAAGCGCCGGCTTGGATGAGACCGGCCGTCAATGTACCAGCAGCGAGGCCGGTGTAGAAAATACCACCCCGGCGAGCAATTTCGTGCCCTCTATACCAGGAGCCTACGCTATCGTCAGTAGCGAGTATCAAACGGCCGCCAGTCTCTCAATCATACCAAAAACATAATGCATTGCAGGGAAGAATGCGGCTTCGAACCAGCCCACCATGAATCTGTAAGCAGCCAACTCTGCATAAGAGTGGACGCGGTACTGCAGAAGCGTGAAAACTCCCCAAAGAATATCACAAATCGGGATGAGATACTGGATTGGAACGTAGGTCATGATAAATCTTGAGAGTGCTTGTTAGTAAATGCCAGTACTAAGCAGAGGGTTTTGAGATCAGGGGTTCATACAAGAACGGAATCTGGCCCAAGACCGATCCCAGAGTGAACAGCGTCTGGAGCTGGACGAGCTCGTTTCCGTAAAAGCCGAGGTCTTCCTTCATGCCGGCGACGTAGGCATTGTTCAAGTTGGACTGGTCGACGTATTTGACCCAGTAGCCTTTGGAGGCCCAACATCAGCAACAACAACAGTTGAAAAGTCCAGATCGGATCAGATTATACCGAGGACCGAATAAGGCACGAGAAGAAGATCAATTTTTGTGATCAGGCGTCTCTCTTCCTTTGTGTCGTCTGGAGAGAACCATCTCCACTCCCACCACCTGTCTCTCGGGACCGACTCTTTCAGAGCAGATGACATGCTTGGAGAATCTTTGAGTTACCCTGCCAGAAGTCGCTAGGATGAGAGCAATCGGGTTTCGAGATACCCATTGTTGCTCAGCGAGGGAAATTCAGCGCACTAATAAAAGGATTGAAGTACACGGTTCACAAGCTCTGGTTCCAAATAGGCCCTCACCCGGAACTTGTCCGCCATTGCGCAATTCTTGCCAAGTTCATTAAGAGCGATAGGCTCAGTGTTACATTGGAATCTTCACACATTGGGTCCTGCTGGTTCGGCCAAAAGTCGCAAAGTCAAAGGACAAGAGGGCGGTTGGGAATGCCAAGGCACCAAAAGGTTGCGATATCGGTAGAGGACTTTATCAATCAGGCACAACCGTGTCTGGATTGGCAGGTCATCCTGCAATTGGCGGACGAAAACCAGGCGAGGCAATGGTGTGCTGAAACCCCACAATGGTGATTGACAACCTTGCTTTGACGTCTTTTGAACTTGGAATCTCATTTGACGATTCGACTGTTGTATATGACAGCCTGGATAAGCCCCCCATAGCGCAAAGAGTCTGGGTCCTGCGTTGAAGATATGGATCATTCGATGATGGAGGCCAAGTGTCAGTCTATCTCGAGGTGAGATCAAATCACGTCGATTCTTTAAAGCCTATTATCAACGCAAATCGTTTTCTACCTCAACTCCGACTCAACGTGCAAAGACAGGCTCACGCCGACGGGCGGCACAGTCACAACTTCGGTAGCGTTCATCTTGCCACCTCTAAAGGCGTACGTGAAAGTCCATCCAGACCCGGCACCTCCGTGCTCGCCCTTATTGTTGACTACCACGATCCCGCTAGACACGGCTGGGTACTTCTTCACCATACGAACCACGGCATCTGTCGCCGCATCCTGGGGGCTCATTCCCCTCCGCATGCTTTCCACGGCCTGGTAACAGGGCAAGAAGCGCATCATAATGTCGCCGTCGCCCGTCGCACCGCACGCCCCGACATCGCCGTCAACATAAGAGCCGGAACCCGTGATCGGCCCGTCGCCCACGCGGCCGGGCACCTTGAATGAGGCACCGTTGGTCGACGTACCCGCCGCCATGATCCCGTTCGCGTCCAGCGCCATCATGGAGATGGTATCGTGCGACGCCTGCGCCGAGTTCGGCGCGATGAGGTCAAAGTAGCCGGACGAGCTCGAGTCGAGCGCCACGGGCGTGTACGGCCCGCACGCGGCTTTGGGGTCCGGCTTGACGTTCTGCCTGTAATTCGACTGGCAGTTGCCGCGCTGCCACTCGGCGCACCGCGCTGCCGAGGCCGCGGTGGTCAGGTTCTCGGCGACGAAGCCGTTGTCGAGGGCGAACTCAGTCGCGAAGTCGCCGGCCAGCATGGTGTGGGAGGTGTACTCGAGCACGTGGCGGGCGACACCAATGGCATTCTTGACGCGGCGCAGGGCGGCGACGGAGCCGGACTTCATGGTGACGCCGTCCATGATCATGGCGTCGAGGGTGGTTTCGCAGCGCTCGTCGGGGGAGCCGCCGAAGCCGACGCTGCCGTCGCACTGGTTCGCCTCGCAGGTCGCGCAGCCGATCTCGACGGCGTCGAGGGCCGAGGTGCCCGGCTTGATGAGCGCTTGGTACGCGGCGTCGGTGGCCGCCGTGAAGGGGCCGCCCCATGTGTTGATGACCATGGGAAACCCCGGCGACGCTTGGCCGAGGACGTGCTGCCCGGAGAGGAGGGAGAGGATGAGTGGGGCGGCGAGGACGCGGGGGGAGCGGCGATCCGGCATGGTGGGCGGATATCCGGAGGTGATGCCGGGGGCTTAGTGAGATTTGAGGGACAGACTTCAATGGCTCGAGTGCATGAGCTTGGCGGCTATTTGCCAGAATGAGTGACGATGGCGTAAGTGAAATGAGACGGGACTGGTTGGCCGGTTTGTGGCGGTAGTCTTTAATAAGAGCATATTTAGAGCACGGTTGCTCAAACCGCCGCGCCGGTGTTGTTTTACCCCGCGCGATAGGCTGATGTGCTCCGATAAACAGGGGTCCGGGGAGCTTTAAGTGCTGGCTGGGTCCGGACCGGATGGAGGCTGGCACTGTAATTGATACCACGTTACTTTCGGGTTTGCCAAGCACAAGCCAACGCTGCGTGGTATCAACCTTCCTTTCTGAGCATTATGATGAGGCGGTGGGTGCCGCCAAGGGAGGACTTTGAATCTGATGGCGGCGGTCAAAATTGAACTCAAAATTGTCTTCTAAATCTTGTCTACTTGACCGAAAGTTGTAAACTCGGCCGATAGAGACTTCTTTGGAAACTGCGGTGCTGAATTAGCAGATAGGCACCAGATGATCTGCTCTTGGGATTGTCTTCAAACTGCATGCATTCCGATCCGAGGCTAAGCTTGCAATAGTCCTGCGCGCGAATCCTATAGCTTTGTTCATAGTATATCTACGCAAAAGTCTTTGACCGCATCGAGGACACGGCGTATGTGCTCCTCCCCATGAGTCAAGTTCAGGGCGAGGAATCCACGACGCCCAACGTATACCCTTTTGCTGAGAAGGTAAAAGAAGAAAAGTTCCTGCAACGTGCCTGCCAAAGGACCCTGGAAGTGCAAGCCAATGGCACTCCCAAAGCCAGTGAGCTTGACAATGGACGCATCCTTGGACCCAAATATCACACGCAACTCGTCACGAAGCCTGTTTCCCAGCTCATTATTTCTCTCGAGGGCCTCCCTTGACAGGAGCTTCGTAGCCGCAACACCCGCCGTCATGGAAAAAACGTTGTTGTTCCACGTCCCCGAGTGGAAGAGGCTCCGCGGCGCCTGCGGGTCGTACAGGGCCATAATGTCCTTGCGCCCGCCAAACGCGCCAAACGAGAAGCCTCCGCCAAAATGCTTGCCGATGGTGGTCATGTCTGGCGTGATGCCGTAAATCTCTTGTAGGCCGCCGTAGTTGAGTCGCGAGGTGATGACCTCGTCAAAGATGAGGATGGCGCCGATGCGTGTCGCTTCGTCTCGGAGGAATTGGAGGAATTCTTTCGATCCCTCAATCATTCCGGCTGCTCCTTGCATGGGCTCCACAATGATGATGCCAATGTCGTCGGTCATTTGCAAACGGGTGTACTCGACATCATTGTACCGACCGTACGCAAATTCGTGAGGAAGAATCAACGGGTTGTTGTGCGTGAAAGATAGGGTGCCGCCGTGATAGCCATCTTCAAACACCAAGACCTGATTATGAAAAGCATGATTTAGTAAAAGGGCCGGCTCGGAGGACCACAGCTGCTGACCTTCTTTCGTCCGTTGAAATGCAACGCCGTAGCAATCGCCATCGTATTCGCCTCCGTTCCCGAGTTACAAAACCTAATGGCATCGACACTCGGAAACCTCTCGACGAGCAGGCCAGCCAACTCGCCCTCTTTGGGACTTGGCCCGCCCAAGGTGAAGCCCGACTTGGTCACGCTATGAATGGCAGCGATGATGTCCGGGTGCGAGTGACCAAACATCCCGGCGCAGTACTCGGACACAAAGTCGAGATACTCAACGCCGTCTACGGATGTCAGGTGACAATCGTGGCCTCCTGAGAAAGCCAAGGGGAACGGTAGGTAGTGGAGGACAGATCTGGTCGTACCTCCAGGGAGTGACCCCGAAGCGGTCTTGTTGACTTGGCGCGAGCCTTGGTTCTCTGCGGCGTACTGGTCGACGTACGCATTCAGTTGTTGTTTAACCTTGGCCGCGGGATGATCCGCCTCACCATCTTGTTGGTGTTTTGTCATGGTGCTTGGTTGTCGGCCCTCGACGAGTGCTAGACGTTATGTCGAAGAATCCTTGCTGCGAATAATAGGGCAGACGAGAGAGCGATTTTATGCCTCTTCAACCAATTCCTCGTTCAGATACAGACGACTTTTCCCGCGGGACCTGGACCGCTTCTATTTGTGTAGTGTGTTGTTCCTGGGTACTGGGCGGTAGATAAGATGAACCCCGCTCGGGTATGCGACATCGGGAGGCCGAATCATGCTCGGGATTTCTGGCCGGCCGATTTCTCGGGAAAGAGCAAGACTCATACCCGAAAACCGAACATGTGTTCCAAGCGTAGGCTGACTGCATCCTTTGCATACGTCGATCCAGTCGCCCATAGGGTCGAATTCCCCTCTCGAGAGCGAAAGTGCTCGGTATACTTGGTTGGAATGTAACTCGGCAGCTGCTTAGCGACATGCGTTGGGTGTCAGATTATGTGCGGTTCATCAGTGTGGGAGGGAGGCCCAGGACTTGAGCCAATGGTTTTACACGAAATCGCCCCGGACCCATGCGTCAAACATGTCGTTTTCGCCAAGACTTGCCGACTCCCGTTTGCTTGCTTTTACTGTGAAGAAAGTAGACTTGTTTCCTGTATTGACGAAGAGAGACATAGAGACTACTCTTCTGTTTGCGGGTGTGGAACTGGAGGAAGCTCGACGCCGCCTCTATACTGCTTTTGAATGTAACTCTATATATTCTTTCTGCCTTTTGCCCCAACTGTGACGTATTCCCTTCGCAGAATCACAAACTCATGCACGCTCAACGCTACGGACTTATCATAATGCATCGACTTGATGGCCTCACCAAATCTTGCGGCCTCACGCATTCTCATTGTTTGTCCCCTTATTTCTCATTCTTACCGCCCTCCGAGTCTGTTCCTAGTAGCAGTGCACCACCGCCAACGGTCCAACAGCAACCATGACGAGGGCCATGCCCAAGAACGCGGCGCTGGGTCCCGTGGTAGCCACGAAGTTGTCTACCAGTGCAATGTCAACGGCACTAAGACCGCACCCGACCAAATTGTACTCGAGGGCCTAAAAGGTAAACTATATCCCGGCTATTCTGGCCGTGAGATTCGCTCACCAATTGAACAAGATGGAGATTGCAGATGTCACCTACGTAGAGACAGGTGATATATCGTCATTATGATGAAGAGTCAAACGGTACCCCGCAAATAGGAGGGGCTTTTGCAAGAGGTCTTCGTTTAGTGGTCGTGCCATTCATGATTCTAGTTACCTATGTCGATCTGCGCCCACCCGATTTAAGTCCCGCACCACGTTTTTCAGTAACATGACGGAAAAGTTTGATTTGGCTTGAAAATCACCAATCAGTACCTTGACAGGTAAGAAAAAGACAAGGTTTTGTCAATACAGCGATTCATTGACAATTTTTGATGTCAAATTTCAACATGCATTAATTCGAGCGAGAACAATAGTAACGGGTTTCTCTGCGAAGCTCAAAAGGCTTCTCTGACAAGGGAGAGATCGAGCTGCTGAGCTCGCCAGCTGTAGAATCTCTCAAGAAATTTGATGTCTCCACGTGCCGTATGTTATTCGCCCGATGGCTCTCGGATTGGATCTTGCAAGCCAAAAGATCGAAACTGCAAATGTCTCGGTCAGTCAAGGACTAGACTGAAGGGGCAAAGTATTCAAGACTCACTAGAGAATGACGGGGAAGATACACTCCAAGGTGTATACAAACCGATCGATTTGCATGGGAGTCGTGTCCGTCGTGTTCAAGAGAGATGGATGAAAGCTGTAGGTGATGGATCTCGTGACTCCAATCAGCGCCAGAGAGGAAACGCGTATCTCTGTGCTTCGCATCAAGTGACCCCACAAGCTGATGTTCAGCGCAGCCCGCAACGATCTCTTCTTGGTTGACGCGAATTTCCGGAGCAAGTAGAAGGCGCTCAGACACTCCAGGATTGCCAAGAGCACAAAGTATCCAACGTGAGCCCAGTCGATAATCTTTGAAGCGGTATTGTTGTTGACATTGTAGAGATCATTGAGTCGAGCTATCAATATCGTGCCTCGAAGGGCCGTGATGCCCGCAATCAGGATCCAAAAGACCGTCAGATAGATTTTCCGACTGCGACCCGTCAACAAGTGCGTCAACATGACGTATGAATAAAAGGATATGCCGGCTTCTTGTACCTGAACTTGATGTTAATCGATGGACTTTCCGCAGCCAGAAACCGTCACACCCCCCAAGCAGATGTCTCGTAAAATATCATACCAGCCAAAAAGTATCGGCAAACCCAGATGCGATCGCCTTGTCCAATAGTGGACTATCCGTGTAGTAGATGTAGAAATCTAGTCCGTTGGCGATGGCGCAACCTGTACTAGTGATGATGGGAACCAGCGCGACGGGGGAGAATTTCGTTATGCTGATGACGATGAAGCCCAAGAAGACGTTGGAGAGGCCGATCGTGCTGAGAATAGCCCAGCATTGGTCAAAGTAAAGCTGGGCCGCCATCTTGATTCATTATCTTGCTGTGTGATTTTGTTCAATCTCGCCGAGAAAGACACCGTCGGGTGCAGAGACTGTGGAGTCGTTTGGAAACCGCTGCTAGGAAGCGTGTAAAAGCAAAACAGTTCGGGCTTGAAGTTGTGGAACCCAGACCCTGACATTGGCTTCACTATATCCCCAGATCGAGGTATGAGTGATAGACACGTAGACACTTGTTCGACTTTGCATTCAGGGTCGTACAACCGGATCCCCCGTCAACCTTAGCTTGAAAGACCACGGCACATTTCGCTAGTTGGCAGGGTTTCTTCCGGGGATGTGGAAAGGCTGATGGTCTTAGTCCCAAGCCCTCCATACCAGCTTCGCCAGCGCCTGCCCAATCATTGGCTCACCCTTCTTTATTGTCTTGCGTGATGTCGTACAAATACATTCCGGGCCCTCGGCAGCCGACGTGGCTTAAGACGCAAAGGGGGCATGTCAAGTCTATATGCGCAGAACGCCACAGACCGATCGCACAGCAAATTCCCGATCCCCAGCATGCGAGAGGCTTGCTCCCTTACAGACGCGGCCTTGCTAGTTCAATCAGCCCTATTCAAAGCCAATGGACCAAAGCCACTCGCTGATGCCGGTGCCGTCCCGGCATTCAAAGACTGGTGCAGACGCGGGTTTCTTGGGAGATTTGCGTTCGATAGGGTTACAACATAAATTACTTAACCCGCATTTTGACAGATTTATTCAAATGCTGTCTCGGCAATGGAATAAGCGTCAAGGGTCGCGCACCTTCAGCGGAAACCGAGGGCCCCGCGCCTTTCGCACCCTGGTCTCTTGCCCGGGGAAGTCTAGACCACCCACTTGGGCCCCCCCCCCCCAATAAGCTAAAATCAAAGCCGTTATATCTACCAGGCGCGCAGGCTCTCGCAATGAAGAATGTCACTCGGCTAATGGTTCTGCCCAGCTTGTGGTCTAGTCTCTGCACTTCGTTTGCAGGTCTGGTCGGACTGACAACCCGTTTCTTCAGTAATACAACCTGCAAGCGGGCGTCAATGAGTCGGTTCCCTCACTTGAGATCAACCGCCAAGACAACGAGGTTTCCGGTCCAAGGCTTGTATAAAGGGCGAATTCTTATTCGGGAATATATGTTTTCCTGGCATAATAGTTGCTTTGGGGGGGGTTTTCAAGAGTATCTTTGAGGTTGGAGAAAAAGGAGGAAAATCATATCGGCGACAGCGCCCCCCAAAAAAAAAGTCCGAAGTTACCGGCTATGAAAATGCAAAGAAAAGGTTTGAGGCAAGATCATATCAGCCTCAGGGCGTCATGCTTTCGGCTTAGCGAAACCTTGTAGCTCCAACACAGGTTCCATTGGATGGCTACCCCTGACCCAGAGGACGGTATGAGTGTTTCGGCAATTGACAGCATGTACGATCCAAGCCACGCTTCCCTCTCCCCGCTGGGGTATGTTCATCAAAGAAGACACCTTTGAAATAGAGTCCCCTAGGCTTGGGATGGAGGCTGTCAGAAGTCTTTTGGCTTCAAGAGAACTCAACACGCATGACGCCTCCAAGTTCTCGAATCTGTATCTGATTCATGCCCCGATTCACCGATTATGATCCGCAACTACTTGGCGCCTAGTCAGCAGGCGGCAGCAGGCTCTAGGACTGTTTCCCGTGGTGTTCGATGGCTTAACTGAACCACTCAGCTCAGTACTGCGGGAGAGAGCAAAACAACGTGGAAGTCCCGGGCTCCATTCGTGCCATTAATGTTCAAAAATTGTGACATTCGCACGTAAATGCTCGCCATAAACTCATTTATAGAGTAGCCACTTTGATCAGCCTTGCCACAAGGCGCCTGTGAATAAAATCTTACTAACTGTATGAATATAGACGTGCTGTTCCTTCTTCCGATTGCATAGCTTTGAGCATCTTTCTGGCCATTTCCTATGTGCCGATTTATCTTCTGGCTCGTACTAGTAGGTATATATCCAAGCAAGTAGCTTTGTGAAAATCGGGCGCCCTTTACGATGTGACCATTGTAAGGCTGACAACTCCAGGCTATATTTGTTAAGCAAAAGCCCAGGGGAATTGCAATATTAGTCAACGTATATCATGTCCAGACACCGAATTGCCCCCATACTTAGGATTCAAGCGCACGCCCTTGAAGAATCCTCAGATCCCGCCATCGACTTTGAGCCAAAGAATGACCAGTGAAAGACGCATCGTAGGACGCGAACCGGATGTTTTATTGATGCCTGATCACGTTTCCTGGTCCGTCCAGTCACAAGAAAATGAACGACTACTGACTTATACTACAACCTCTGAAGGAATTCTATGAGAGAGCCTTGGCCACCCTGGCAGTTCCACTGGCCGTATCGTGATAAGAGTTTAACAGCAACTGTAGCCAGATTGATTTTCGTTCTTTTTCGCCGAGTCAAGGGGATCGAGTAATGGAGCATAGGCTTAATCACCAAGGGATTCTTAGTCGTGATTCTGCTTGTGAAACTGAGTTCGTTTACCTCCGTAGACCAAGGTCTAGCTTATTGATGTAGGCCAAACGTTGACAGAGACATGGTCAATTGGTGTGCATGAGAAGATACAAGAGCCCGGCGAGAACTCACTTAGCTATAGGGATATCTTACTGCGTGACACAGAGATCGACGAAGACTGCCAGCTTCTCATTTAGGCTATGCACCCAGTCTATGCACCCAATCATTATATCATTTTTGTGTCGAGAGTGTGTCTTCTCGACTTATCATACTGGCAATATGTTAAGTCCGCAGTCAATGGTGATGCATGGGATGAAATCCGAAGATTAGCTCCCAACTTAAAGTTACCTCAGTTGCAACAGTAGTCAAGAGCTAGACGTGTCTATAAAGTGATTGGAGGCTAGACGGCGGGCAACCCAGTAAGCTACTGTGTCCCGAGCCTATTCTTGCGTCGCGGATCATCGAGGCAACCACAGGCTAAGTTCGACTGAAGTTGAGCTAGCTTTCGGCTCCAATCTCAGTTTCCGATGCTAGCTTCATCCGAGATGTGAGGCATCGGCTCCGAACTAACTGGTGGGTTTGCCTCCAGCGATGCAGTCGGGTGACACGTCTGCCTCTGTTCACGCACATGCATGATGAAGAATTCATTCATACAACAGCGCCGACATCGCTCGACGCTCGCAGGGGGGTCCCAAGAAGCCAAGTACGGTTGCAAGTACCGTTGGAAAATCTGTTCTAGAAAACTGATTGTGAATTTCAATTGAGAGACCCTTGACGATCATCACCATCTGCATGGGAGTCAGTCACATGCTATGCAGCTAGAGAAGTCGGGGACCGCTCTTTATTTGAAATCAAATCGATGAGATCAACCAGTGAGGAAAACTGGGGCCGACACGTGTGGCAGGCCCGCTCAATGGCGGTAGGATGGAGAGAGATGGAGAGAGAGCGGGTCTGACAGACAGGCCGAGGGTGGAAGAGGTGGACGGGCGATGAGAAACTGGGTCGGCGATGTTTCGCTCGAATCCCGGGGTTGCCAAGGGTGTGAGGGAAAGGAAGAAGTTTAGGCGCAGCAAACGGATATATTGGCTGACGACGGTCTCAATGGCGGAGGAAAGTTCGATGGCGCAGACGGGTCACCGGAGTGTGATCCAGCGTAGTATGAAGGTTTTTTGATCGGTGAGGACAGGAATGACCCGGGGTATGGTAGGTAGGCCTACAAGAAGATATCATTAACTTCTTTTGCAATTTTGATCCGGAGTATGGGCGGTGACCAATGGATGGATGGATGGAAGGTGCTGGGATATCGTTACCCTGGACTAGCCATAAAGCCTTGGAGAAGGTCCGAAAACCGGCGATTTTAGCCATGATTGTCACTTTAACAACCCTACATTGTTTCCTTTGAGGAGCTGTCCGGCGGTTTGGTCTACTTCCTATTCCACTTAGCGTTGATATTCACAGTGCCCAGCCGATGGTCTCGACTTTTCCGCGGCTTTTCGCGGTGGGAGGCAGCACAATGTGGAGTAGGGGTGACGTCGTGGACTTCCTCTGCAACGTAAGAAGCTACTACCCTGGCCGTTTCGCATGCAGTCGGGTAAATATAGCCCAGGTAGGTAAGGAATGTAGGTAGGTAAATACTGAGGCATCTTAGGTAAGCTGTGGTGACATGCACGTACCGCGTAGCATCTGCGGAGGGGAGCGGGAAGGAAGGAGCTTCCAAACTTCCAACGGAAAGAAAAAGGACGCCGAGGACAAGGTGATTTGCGGGGTCCACTTGGCCAACCAGGAAACGTTCAATTCAATTCCCCTCACGGTTCACGGAAAGACACTGCAGTCTGCAGACAGAATGACAGAACAGGCAATGGGACTCGGGAGATGGAAAAGCAGTGCACAGTGCACCCCATGCGGCCCCGCTTCGTTGCATAAATGGGGATCAATGGAGCAAAACGGGGGTCACCGCGATGGAGCAGCATGGAGCACCGCGGGTCGGAGCGAACGGAATACAGCACCAGTGGCACCGCACGCCCAGTTCCGCAGGGTTCCGATGTCACTGACTAACGCACCCACATGGCTGCTGCTTATCACGACCGTTTCAATTGGACGCAGTGACCCCATACGCATGGTAGCACTACACCTCGACCTGCAGCTGGCAGTACCTACACGTTCTCCCACATCCCTCTCTGCTCTCCGTGTCTCATGAGAGTAGACTCTTTTGTTGCAGAGTTGAGCACCCACCGTGCCACCCATACTGCCTCTTCCCTGACAGCAGCTGCTGTCGAATGGGTCAATTAGCCCATGGGTCAATGGATCCTCCCCGCACGGCATTTTGAACCCGCCCAAGCTACTGTTCCATGCTGGTCACGCAAGCTCACGGTATTGTTGCATCTTTTACAAACTGTGAAGCTAACGCACCAATGTGGCAAACCCACCGACCTTTGCTAGGGGCCGCCGGCAAACATCTGAATGTCCGCGTCATAGCAACAGGAGCCTGCTCTAACTCTTCCCTAACGCCGCGGTGCCATTCATCGACCCCTCACCTCGTCGACTGGCCCGCCCCTCGAGCAAATCTCGAGTCTCCGAGCCGGTATCTAGATGTTCGTGGCCGACTGGCGGGGGCAATAAGATAACAAGACAACAAGACAACGACTAGCGCTTCGCCAGACCTTCTCGAACAATCAAAGACCAAGACCCTTGACTTGAAGAAACATGGCTGTTGCCTCCCATCATTTGTCATTGCGCCCCGAGCTACCTTGAACGCCTGCCGCCCAAACCCCAAAACCCCCACCCACACCAACACCAACACCAACCCCAATACCAACATGACTACGGCGGCATAGTTCCTGCTGTCACACGGTAGTGCAGAATTAACAGGAAAGAGATGAGAGTGCACAGTGGTGCTTACTATGTACTCGGCCCTTGACCATGCACCCCTCAACCGCCAACAAGATTCGCCCCATTGGTCATGCAATGAGTGAGGGGGAAGGGGGGCCATGGCATAAAACGCGGGGTTGCCTCCTTCCACTTGCCGAGGAGGACTGCGAACGAACTCTTTTCTTTTTTGCCGTCTACTCTCCCACATGACCCGACGATTGATAACCTAACAGAATCTTTCGTCTCTTATCTACCAAGAAATAAACCAAATCCAACCCAAAAGAAGCCGCACAATAAGACACCATGGCCGAGGAAAAGTGTCCATTCATCCGGACCATGAACACCGGAGGTGGCGGCACCAAGAACCGCGACTGGTGGCCCGATTCGCTGAAGCTCAACATCCTTCGCCAGCATACTCCCGTCACCAACCCGCTGGGTGCGGATTTTGACTATGTCTCCGCCTTCAAGACCCTTGATTACGATGGCGTTAAGAAGGATCTGACGGCCCTGATGACCGACTCTCAGGACTGGTGGCCGGCAGATTTTGGCCACTATGGAGGTCTTTTCATCCGTATGGCATGGCACAGCGCCGGTACCTACCGTGTTCACGATGGACGTGGCGGCGGTGGTGAGGTAAGTTGTTCAGGAAATGCCAATGCAATTGAAACTTTGGTAGCAGAGATGCTAATCATTGTTCCTCGCAGGGCCAGCAACGTTTCGCCCCTCTCAACAGTTGGCCCGACAATGTCAGTCTCGACAAGGCCCGCCGCCTGTTGTGGCCCATCAAGCAAAAGTATGGTAACAAGATCTCCTGGGCTGATCTCATGATCCTCGCCGGTAACGTTGCTCTCGAGTCAATGGGCTTCCAAACTGCCGGTTTCTCTGGTGGTCGCCCCGACACCTGGGAGGCTGACGAGTCTGTATACTGGGGAGGCGAGACCACGTGGCTCGGCAATGAAGTCCGCTACTCCCATGGCCACGCAGGCAAGTCAGACCAGGGCGTCCTCGATGGCTCCCAGGATAGCAAGAGCAAGTCCGATATTCACACCCGCGACCTTGAGTCGCCACTCGGTGCTGCCCACATGGGTCTCATCTACGTGAACCCTGAGGGTCCCGATGGTAACCCCGACCCGGTCGCCGCCGCCAGAGATATTCGTGTGACCTTTGGTCGCATGGCTATGAACGACGAGGAGACGGTTGCTCTCATTGCCGGTGGTCACACCTTCGGCAAGACGCACGGGGCCGCCCCCGACAGCAACGTCGGTGCCGAGCCCGAGGCTGCAGGTCTCGAGGCGCAGGGTTTGGGCTGGGCAAACAAGCACGGTTCCGGCAAGGGCGCCGACGCCATTACGAGTGGTCTGGAGGTTACTTGGACTGCTACTCCCACCAAGTGGAGCAACAAGTACTTCGAGTACCTATTCAAGTTTGACTGGGAGCTCACCAAGAGTCCTGCTGGTGCGAACCAGTGGGTAGCCAAGAACGCTGAGCCTATTATTCCCCATGCCTTCGACTCCAGCAAGAAGCAGCTTCCCACCATGCTGACAACCGACTTGTCGTTGCGCTTTGACCCCGAGTACGAGAAGATTTCGAGACGCTTCCTCGAGAACCCGGACCAGTTCGCCGATGCCTTCGCCAAGGCTTGGTTCAAGCTCACCCACCGTGATATGGGCCCGCGCTCGCGCTATGTCGGTCAGGAGGTTCCTTCCGAGGACTTCATCTGGCAGGATCCCATTCCCGCGCCTACTTCACCACTTGTTGGCGAGCAGGATGTCGCTGCCCTGAAGAAGGAGGTTCTCGCCACTGGCATTGATACCTCCAAGCTCATCTCCACTGCCTGGGCTTCTGCATCCACCTTCCGTGGAAGTGACAAGCGTGGCGGTGCCAACGGTGCCCGCATCCGCCTGGCACCTCAGAAGGACTGGGAAGTCAACAACCCTAAGCAGCTCGCAGAGGTCCTCAAGGCCCTCGAGGGTGTGCAGCAGAAGTTCAACGGCTCTGGCAAGAAGATTTCGCTGGCAGACCTCATCGTCCTTGCTGGCGCTGCTGGTGTCGAGCAGGCCGCCAAGAACGCCGGCTACGATATCACCGTGCCCTTTACCCCTGGTCGCGGCGACTCCACCCAGGAGCAGACCGATGTTGAGTCGGTCGACTACCTGAAGCCTTACGCTGATGGTTTCCGCAACTACGGCAAGTCAACAGATCGTGCAAAGACCGAGCACTATCTCGTCGACAAGGCTCACCTGCTTACGCTCACTGCGCCCGAGCTCACTATTCTCATCGGTGGCCTGCGTGTGCTGAACACCAACTTCGACGGCTCGTCAACTGGTGTTTTCACCAACCGCCCCGGTGCTTTGACGAACGACTTCTTCGTCAACTTGCTCGACATGGGCAACGAGTGGAAGGCCACCAACAACCAGGACGTCTACGAGGGCTTCGACCGCAAGTCAGGCTCCAAGAAGTATACCGCCAGCCGTGTTGACCTTGTCTTCGGTTCCCACGCTGAGCTCCGAGCTGTCGCAGAGGTTTATGCCCAGGCCGATGCTGGACAGAAATTTGTCAAGGACTTTGTTACTACTTGGGATAAGGTCATGAACTTGGACCGCTTTGACCTTAAGAAGGCCTCCGGCAGCCTCCCGAGCCGCCTTTAGATGAAAGTTCGAAAGCTGTGAAAAAGCCCTATTGAGTCATGTGGAAATGAGTCCATCTCTGACTCTTGTGCTATGAGATAGCCTAGTGTAGTCTAGTGAGTCTGCAGAAATGATCATGTATTTACGTTTGACGGTCATCATTGTCTTGAGGGAATCGCCTACCTATATGTGAGGCAATGAAATCTCGGAACCGTGTCACACTTCGTCGAGGACTGTACTTGCACGTCGCAAAAGACAATCACCCCCAGAAAATTTGGCCGTTGTTCTGCTGTCCGATCACCACCTGAGACGGGTGTCATCCACTTGGTCACCGAGACACGACGATTTGGTACGACTCACCTGATTAAAATTTTGTACTCGCAGTCACTGTCGGAAGTAAAACCTGTGTCGCCAACCGGCCGCAGCAAAGTTTACCAAATGAATGATGTAGGTAGGTAATGTGGCCACATACCTAAGGCTACGCTTTGGATCTCACCCGATGAGGCGTTGTCTGAGAACCGACGTATGTGGTGCAGTGAGACGTTTAGGGTTGTCAACTGATTCTGTTGAAGGAACAGGAAAACAAAATAAGACAGAAAGACCCAACAGCTGTCGAATTAAAGAATCGAGAAAAGATGTAGGTTGCGACCTAGATTCCGCCACCTTATATCAAATAAGCCCCATGTACGTGGAAATGGAAAATAGATGTTCTACAGCATAAGACACTGAGATCCTGGGCGAGAGTCTAAGCTTAAGAAACATTTGACCTGATCAACTGAGGCGCAACAATTCCTCAAGGTTGAATAGAATAGGCGCAGCATCAGAGTTGGAAAGAGTGATCAAATTCAGTAACTTAAAGACCGGCGGCATAGCGAATGAGAGGTCCAAGCGTTAGTTGGTATTTGTGCTAGCTCAATAGTCAGCTCAATTACTGTATCACGGATATTAACATCTTGAAAGGCCTATGCTCGTGTATTTGGTAACATTTGCAGGATGTCTAGATGTCCGTCCTCACTTGTGTAACTGCAAATTGAAGCAACCCGAAAGGTTAGACTAAAAATTCACGACCATTAAAGGGAAAGTCAAACCACGTCTCAGAATCACAATGTGATAATTTTCAAAACGTAACTATGGCCTTACAGGAAATATATAGAGGCAGTAGACTGGAAGGATTGGGATAACATGAACAAACAAGAAAAAGGTGGAAGGTCTCCTTAGTCGATGCCACAAGACCACCTGTGTGGGCCGCAATCCACGGTCTCAGCAGTAACATGTTCAAGAAAAACAAGCTTACAGAGCTGCAGCATGAGCTCAAGAACCTTCGACCCTCCCGGTCCTCGATCAGCCTGCTGGCATGATTCACAGATGAGCCAACTGTTCCGCCAAGACGAGCGTAAGCCTCGGGCGGAATCCATCCGTTACGAAGCCAAGACGCGAGGAGGAACGATTTCTGGGTAACTGATGTCACTTTTCCTTCCGTAATTTCCGGCGCCAGGCAGCGGCGCCGAAAAGAGTTCGATTGGTCTTCGGGCACGACACAGCCTGCGCCGAGAGGCGTCTCTACGCCGGGCGGTTGCATACGCGAGAGGGACTTTAGTTTACCCTTTTCGGCGATCATGGCGCAGTCAGCAAGGGAAATGACTTTGATTATCAGGCAGACGATGTTTACTTCCGTTGTCAGCATTCCATTAATAAGGGTTCAGATGACCTTCAAGGCTTCAGGAAATGGTCGCAAGAATTTGGTTGAAAGGTTCAAGTACATCCGATCACCGCACACCTGTAGAATCTCCACCTCGGACGCGCAAAAAAATGTTGTTCTTACTCTTTTCCACGTTTGCTTCAGCGGCCGCAGCGGCCGCAGCGGTCGTCATCCCCGGCCCTCCTGGCCCGTACCCGGTCGCCTTGCGGGTGAGAGCCTTTGAAGACGCGGCGCGGTGGGATCCCCACGCCCCTCAAGACCAGCCCGAAAAACGAAGGGTCTTGGTCTCCGTCCACGTACCCGTGAAGAAGGAAGCCAACTGCTCTGTTGAGACGGTTCCCTACGTACCACCGACCACGGAAGTTGTGTTCGGCCAAGCGGCCGCAGCTTTGGGGCTGCCGGACACTATCGTCTCTGGAATGGAGCTCGAGTTCTGCGGTATCGCGGCAGCTTGCGGCGGGCCCGACAGGAGTGTCAAGTATCCTCTTGTTCTTTTTTCCCACGGTCGAGGCGGTTCCAGACTTGCACACGGCGTGCTGGCGCGGTCTCTTGCCAGTTTTGGGTATATTGTCGTTACGCTGGACCATACGTACGATGCCGCCGTCGTCGAGTTCCCGGATGGAAGGGTTCGTTATGCAGAGAACACGACTAATAGAAACACGACCTACGTTGAGAGCCTTCTCGAGGTGAGCTCACCCATCATAACAACCCCTTTGTTAAGACCAAGATTCTAAGTACCGGTATACTGCAGAGTCGACAAAAAGATGTCTCCTTCATAATCGACCAGCTTCTAGACACCTCGGTAGCCACCCCACTACTTTCCGGAACCCAGGCCATCATCGACTGGAAGAAGATCTTCGTCGCTGGTCATTCACTCGGAGGCGCTACAGTGGCTGCATCACTTTACGCCGATGACCGCGTTCTCGGTGGTCTCAACTTTGACGGGTTGATCATCGGGCCAGTCCAAACTGAAGGCACCGACAAGCCACTGGTACTGGTCGGCACGCCGGCGACATTTGACTACATGATTGGTTGGAATGAGACCTGGTCCAATCTCCGCGGCCCATCGCTGATGTTGATCATAAACGGAACGACCCACCAGTCTTTCATTGACGCTCCTCAGCTCCCGGCCGTAAAGGCCTTGCCCGCAGAGTATGGCGATCTCGTCAAGCAGATCTTGGGCACGATCGATAGTGACACACTGGCTTAGATCGAGATTGAGCTCTTGCGAAGGACGTTGGACTTTGTCTTGGAGGGCAAGAGAGAGGCGTTGTGCGGTATCGAGAGCGTAGGTCCTGGTGTTGGCCAGCTGCGAGTCAAAAATTTGGCATGCCCCTGAACAACAAGAAGTACAGGTATACGGAGTCTTCCCTCTGTTAACGTGTACTATAACTCAAGTCAATCAAAGGTGTATGCTCCCTACTCAAATTCATAGTTATAAGCCATCCAATTATGGTGCACATTGAAGCATGTGTGCTTCAATACCTGAGTAGTTCAGAGAATAGTAATGACTGGCAGACTTCAAAGCTCTGATCACGCAACTACGGTCACAGTTCATACAACTAGTGAAATTGGTATGACTTTGGGTCTATGGAAATAAGTGACGCAGAAAGAATGTTTCTGCTGGACTCGGAGAATAGCCACTATCCTGGGCTTCCTGATGAAATCAGAAGTTTCAGGGAGCTCGTGCCTCCTTGCACCTAATACGTTATTTTATTGGAAGAGAATGATGAAAAAGTCTTTCTAAGGTCAGCAAGGGCTTGAAAAATATCTCAATCTTCAAAGCTGCACTTACCTAGCATTCCTGTATGTCTCGTTGGTAGTTGATCAAAAACGTGACTTCCTGAAAGTCACATCGATCCAAAGTCTCTGGACTTCAAGTTTCTCATGATTTCTTCCATCCAATTTCAGTCGCGTGACTTTTCTGGGAAAAAAAAAAAAAAAGGAAGAAAAAAAAACCTCAATCAAGCCACGCCATGTGCGACATCCTTCTCCAACTCAACAAAACACAGATCCTGCGGCAGATCCAGAAGAGCCAACCGGTCAACGGGGAACGGCGACGTCTCCCCCGTCTTCTGGTAGCCGCAGCGCTCATACCAGGCGAGCAGCTTCTCCCGTGAGGAAAGGGCATTCAACCCGAACTTCTTCACCTCATAATGCCGCTGCGCATACGCCTCGGCAGAGGCGAGGACCTGGCGCCCGACGCCAGCGCGCTGCTGCCCGGGATCCACGGAAAGCATGGCGATGCGGGCGAATCCGGCGTCGCGCTTGACAACGACTTGGACCGAGCCTACGAGGACGCCGCGGTGATCGAAGCCCATGAGGACCGCGGCGTCGGGCTTGGTGATGGTGGCGAGGACCTGGTCGGCCGAGTAACGGAATGATCTGCCGAGCTTCATGTTGGCTGTCCAGTCTGCTCGGCTGTCCTCGGCGCGGAAGGCGGTTTCTATGAGTTGTGCGACTTGCAGCGCGTCGTCTGGGTTTGCAGTGCGGAATTGGACGAAAATGGTATCTTTGTTGTCAGCCATTTTTGTTTTGGTGTCTGCTGGGGTTTGTGGTTGGATGCAGAAAGTGGTTCGATGTCGAGATATTCGGGATGATTCGGATGATGAAGACGAGCACACTGTGAGTTTTTATAGAAAGAAATATAGAAGTAAGCTATATCGTGAGAAATTGCTGCAGATAGAAGGTGAACTTAAGGGCGTTTGTCATAACAAGTTGGAGATACACGATGGGCAACCTCGTGTAGCGCGAAGGGCGTCTGTTCTGTTAATCCAGTGGCAAGGGCGTAGTGTTTCTGCCTAAAGTTGTAAATTGCAAACTCGTGTAAGTAAGCAGTGCCCAAAAATCCCGCACATAGACGGCAGAGAAATTCGACATTTCGAAATGAGATTCAAAATGAGATACGTCGGATTACCAGCCAGTACAGACAATAGTCATAATATTTAAGAATGCCCTCACTCCTTGAGTTGGCGATGCAGCCAGCGGCACCGTTGAATAGACAAGACCAAAGCTGAACACATCCGAGGTTTATTTCCCGAGCAAGGATGTTGTCGAGAGGCAACTGAATCTCGTAGCTTTAACCACATCAGCGTTGTCATTATCTACATATTATATTATTATGTCTCGACCCAAGTGCTTTGGGTCTGATATTATGTACTACAGGTATCCTGAGTCTAGTATGCGTATGGCTGGATCATGTATTCTTGAACCCGCGTAAATACTTCATCTTCATTAAACGCCTCACTTTCAAAGACAATGCGCCGTCGTTGCAATTAAATGAGGCCAGCAACGGCCAATAACGCAAAGATCGTGGCCCCGAGAGATGCCACATCCCATGTTAAGGCTTTGGCTGCGTTGTGGGACGTCGGGGTAGGAGACGACGCAGAGGCAGCATCAGGAGATGTCGGAGCGGCCGTGGTTGATCCTCCAGCCGACGATCCTGCCGAGCCAGAGACGCTCGGCGTCGCGGCGCTTGCTGATAATGACGTTGATGATGGTGGTGATGAGCTCGAGCTTGCCGGTGCTGAGGTGGTCGATGTCGCAATGGTACTCGTGGACGATGACGACGTCGTCGTATCTGCCTTGCCAACCATTTCCTGCACCCACTTGCCCGCGTCGCTGGAATACACGTCAAAGTAGCTGAGATGGTTCGCAGCGGTGTTTCCGCCGGCGCAGATCGGGTCAGAATCAACACAGTATGAGCGCATCACGCTGGAGAAGGCCCGCATGCCGGCAAGCTGGTTCTCTGGGCGAGGGAAGAGCCCGTTGTCGGGGGCTCCCGAGAGATAATTGTACGGCTGGTTGGCCGTGTGTCTTGTGTCACCAAAGACGAGCACAGCAGCGACTGTGGAGGACTGAGCATTAGCAATCTTGAGATGTATGAGTATAGAAACTTGATGGAACTCACGCTTATTGCCTGGAGCCGTCGTCGCATCTAATCCGGCACTCGCCTTTTCCTGGCAACCTTGGAAGAACGTGCCGCCCCCGCCGCCCAACACGTCGCCGACAACATGGGCGCCCTGGGAATATCCGCTCACAACAAGCTTCGCGTCCGGACAGCGCTTGTTGTATGCCGTGATCTGCGCCGTGCCGTTGGCGACACCCTCCTCGATGGACTGGCAGTAGGGCGCCTCTAGCGGATTCCAGAACTGTATGTCCTCATAGTCGCAGCTGCTGAGCCCGTCGCAGATGGCGGCGACGAGCTTGCCCTGGCGTCCTGGGTAGGGCTCGTTGTTCCCGCGGGCGAGGAAGATGTGCACGCTCTGGCAGTTGGAGTCGCCTGTGGCCTGGCGGCGCGAGTGGGCGTCCGAGGTACTTGGGGTACCCGGGGCGCCCGAGGTCAACGGTAGCGCAGAGAGAAGGGCGAGAGCCGCTGAGAGGATTGAGACCATCGTGAGCTGATTCGATGGCTTGCAGCGGTCGTTCGTTCGTGGGGAGGTAAAGCGAAGAAGAATCAAAGACCACCAGGCCTGGAGTGCACACGCCAGATCAGATATCCAGCTGGTTTTAAGAACCCGCCTCACCGTCTTACGCAATGGCTCCCCTTACGGTTTAGGCTGGAGATAAAATGAGATTCCTAGTGAGCCGGCGAGCCGACGGGTGGCATTCCGGAGGCCGTCCGTTACGGGCAAATACGAGTCAACGATAAGCCCTGATCCACAGAGGTTCAGGGATCCCAGATGTCGCAGCCCCGGTCTGTCTGCCATAGCAACGTCATGTCTCCTCCATCTTAGCGCTATCAAAACAGGGCTAGGGAGGCTGATAGACGCGGCCAGCAGCTGAGAACTCCTCCTGATCGCCCGGCGAATGAATATCATCGGGCCCCGGCCGCGACGAGCGACGAAAAACACCCAACTCACGTGTCTGTTGAAGACTTGGACCAAAATTGAATATTTTTCCCTTTCAGAGGCTAGTTCACGGAATGACTCGCTGGAGTGATCCTCTTTGGGTAATAGCTACAAGGAGCAACCACGTATGAATTCCGATATTGGACGACATTGGCCAAATGCATCTCGTGTTGAAGGTTTTCAGTTGACGGCGACCAAAATAGACTGGCGGGAGTGTCGGGTTGTGTGGCTGGGTGTCTCGCGGTGGGCATGGATAAGCCAACAAAGCTCGGAACCCGCATTCAGGGCAACAGGGTTCCCGACGCCGCGCCAAAAGTTCGTGGGCCGCAGTCATCCGGTGGGCAGAAGCAGCCTCTTCGACCACGTTTTGGAAAGACAATAGTACCACTCGATAATATCATGGTACTTGTATTTGAAACAAACGGAGTTTGTGATATTCGAATCAATAATAGCTGAAACTAAATGGTTGCCTCACTCAGGCCGCTACATTCGTCAAGGATTTGTATTGTCTCGCAATAATAGAATGCTTGGTGTGAGAGCGTTCCAAACGAGATGCTTCACCAAAGAGTCTTTTTTAACTTTGATTTAGAAACCAAACTAAGTACACTCAAGGATGTCTTCGCAAAGTCGCGCTGAGAGCCTCAAGTCAGACGTGCATCAACTCAATTGCTGCGCCTGGGCGCCAACCCAAGAGTTACATTGATTACCCTGCATTGCCGGAACGTTACAACCTAGATCCAGTTCACGCATGGCGGTGGACTAGCACTTATCGAGGGCTTGGCAACGGCGACCTGGATTCGCACCAACAAAGACAATTGCATCAACTCAAGTGTCGCTGAGCGAAGCCTGAATAAACAACTATGCTCACAACACCTTTACGAGACTAACTGACACCATGGTGGTAACAACATCTTTGCTTGGCGTTGGAAAGCTGATGTGTGGATGATTTCCTCGGGATGCGATCAAGATTGGGTTTAGATTACCTGGTACCTTGCCTTATCCTATTGCTACCTTCCTCATCCTTTATCTCGACCCCTTCAGGGGTCCCGCAGAGGTGCGCCATCATGCCACTCTACACTCTAGCACATCGCACAACACGAGAACGATGCAGTGGCGACGATGACTTCAGGAGCGGTTCGTTCCGCAAATCAAGTCTAGTTTTCTGTTCCCTTTTTTTCTGGCTTTCCTCGCCATTTTGATGAGAAAAAGACACTGCCATCACGATGAAGCTCTTGCTTACAACCATCCTCGCCTCCTGGGCAACCCTTGGCGTCAGCGGCGCTACCCAGGAGCGGCAGGTCACACAACCTCTCGTCGACTCGGCCAGCTCCCAAGACCAGATCACCAAGGATAAGTAAGCTTCGATCGCAATGAACCCCTTTCCCACATGAGGCTCGTTGCTAACGTGGATGAAGCCTGAAAGCCAACCAGGTTTAACTGAGCGACATCGCAACAGCCAACGGCGGCAACGGTGCCTTCGGCTTACCCGGCTACTGCGCCTCGGTCAACTCCATCTGGAACCGCGTCTCCAGCGCCGCAGGCGCCATAGTCTGGAAACAGTCTGGAAATAGGACTTGTCGGCCACTGTTAGCACCGAGCTCCGTGCCAATCTCACCGTCAACGGCGAGAAGCTGACTATGTACAGGCTCTACGGGTCTCCCGCCACACCCGCCGAGGGCATCACCGCGGACCTCGACGTCGACGGAAAGATTGTGCTTGTCCGCGAGGCGTTGTAGCCCGGGTACCGCGGCTACCAAGCTGGATTACACGGCCGGGGTGATGAAGCCGGCTGCTGCGGCGGGCGCGAACGCGGTCACTGTGAAAACCGATTTTGCTCTCAACCTCACGGCCGGAAGTTTCGGCCCGGCCGATGATAGTACCTATGTCCCCACGGGATTCGTGAACAAGTCCATCTCAAGGCCCAATTTGGAGCTGGAAGCCTTTAGGTGTTGACGGCTTTGTTTTGGGAGGTTGAGTTTGTCGACAACCGGGTTCACGCAGAATCATTTGCTGAGACGGAGGGCGGTGGTGAGAGTATCGTCATTGTCGTAATTGATATCCGCCCTAAGAGTATCGGGCAGACTTCTGACGCGTCTTCAGCCCGGCGCTCTATTACGTTCCCAGAACTCCAGAAGTCACAATCTCAGGTTCAGGCTCCGGCGTGTCTCTCCTCCTCGAGCTCTTTCCATCCCTCACAAAATAGAGCACCAACAACAAGATTCGCTTCGCATCGAGGGGCGCAGAAGAAAGGGCCCCCATCGGTTCCCGCTACTATGTGAACAACCCTCGACCGCAGAGCGCAGCAACATCCTGGCCTAACTCAACTTCGTTATGGTCACCAGGGGCTATTACGGCGTGCCCGCGCGGTCCGGCTCCGACATCATCCAGGAGCTCTTCACTGCCGGCTTTGTTGCCAAGGGCGTCAACGTGACAATCGCGAGGTTCACCAACGGCAGCCACGACGCCTCCTGCTGGCAGATCTCGGGCAAGCCCGTTGGGGGTCTTCACACGGGGATGGGGACCGCGCAGGATCGCTGCTATCACCAGGAGTGCGACGATATCAATAACACGGACTTGGACCAGCCCACGGTCAACGCAGAGGCATGTTGTTCGAGGTGCTCTAGACAGCATTGTGGGCACAAGTTTGATCACCAACTCTTGATTATTCTGCATAGGCTGCTGCTTGTGTTATTTCCTCCTTGGCCCTGGACGGAATCAACCTGATTAAGAGCCAGTGCGTTCATGTGCTTCCTGCCCGCGCAGTTGGAGCTGGCCGAATCATCGCGTCTGTGGAGGAGTCAGACGAAGAGCACCATCATTGCTAGTCAATGGGTTAGTATTCTGCAACGAATACAATACCCCTGTGAAAGGGAGAAAGCTAGAAGGCTCTCAATTGGTGCTTTTGTAATGTCTCGTAGTCCATGGGGCTCAATGCAGACTTCACCAAGATGCAGGTTGTCAGCCAGAGACGCAGTTCAGAAGGCACCGATGAGACTACAGGAATCTAGACTCCAGTAATCGCCACCTTCTTCCTGATCCTTTTTCTTCCCCTCAGCTCCCCTCTCCTCATCTTCCTCCTCCATCTCCGAAACCGCAAGCTTAAAACCAAATCCAAGATCGGCCTGGATCCTCTTATGCTCCTGAGCCATTCCCTCCCTCGTCCGTCTCTCAAGCCTATCCAGCTCCCTGCGACGCCCAATCTCATCAAACTTAGCTTGGAACCTAACCATCAGCTGCGCCTTTCTTCCACTCCGAGACCATGAGCGACGCCCTCATCTCCTCGCGCAAAACTCTCAGCCTCGCCACGCACTCGTCTTAGCGAAGCAGCCTCACGAGGCTGTCGGCGTCGGCAAGATACGCCTCCACGTCGGCGACGGAGAGCGGCTCGCGATGGACCGCCTTGTGCCGAATCAGAGCGACCGACTCGATGAAAATGTTCCAGCTGGAGTGCGGCAAGGGCACCGTCTCGCCCTTGAATTTCTTGGGCGCCTCAGCCTTGAGGATCCGCGCCCACACCTGGAGCTCTCCGTACTCGAGCGAGTCCCATTGTCTTCATTGCAGGACCCGAGGTAGCTCTAGCTTCGCATACTTGAAGCAGGCTTTTTCTAGCAGCCTTAGGATCCTGGTTAGGAGGGCATGTTGGGCCTCGTCTGTGAAGATTGCGGTACTGGACTGTGGCAGAGTCGATGTCTCCTGAGGTGGCTGTTGCGCCGTTGCCGTTGCCGTTGACTTGCCGGTAGTGGTGTCGCTGCTTGTGGTGCTGATCACCGCATCGCTTGTAGTGCCGCTTGCCGCGTTGCCCACCCTCTCTGCAGCTAGCCGTCGGGCTCTGAACCTTTCGTCTTTTCCTCCTTCATTCGGAGGGGGGGCACTAGAGCTGTATATAATCACAATTTGCTGCTGAGAAATCGGCCCGTCGGCCTGCATCTCAGCTTTGACCGAAATGATCTTATCCTTCAAATGCTTTTGATAGCTCATAGGTGCTGGCTTCTATGGCGCGTTTGTTGGTGTTGTTTGTTTTTCCTGAATTAAATGCCGAAATCGCCGTTGGGCTTTCTCTTCACTTTCAAAAATCTGCTTCTCGAGGAGTACCTGGCATGTATTGACAATGATGTCAAGGGTGTATTTCGTCAACCCTTTGGGCTTATGCTAGAGTGAATTCTTTGTTTGATGGCTCTTTTGCGACGGATCTCAGCAAAACATTGTGAGAAAACAGGGAGAAGAGCGTGCCTGAAGTTGGAGGGTCTGAAACCTTCCAGTAAAAGGAATATTGCAATCAGCTGGTGTCCTCTTGCGTCGCACCGTCTCTCATGATGTGTTTGCAGACGGATATCTTGCAGAAAGGGTAGCCGAGAAAGCCTAGAGCCATGCTGAGTCGGAACCACCATGAGAGACAACTATAATTTAGGTCGCAGCCTTGATTAAACACGCAATAACCATCCTACAACGATTTTTGTGCCTTTGCACAACCAGATGCAAACTTATTCTCTTAGAGGGTAAGGGAGGACCTCACGTGGGTCATTGATACATTGAACTCATTGATTCCTATGTGCGTGTAAGATGCTGAGACTTGGACCTCCGATAGGTAATATTAGATCACTAAAGAAGGGTGATCGGAGAAAGGTCAAAGGTAAGTGACTATCGCAGTGTAAGAGCCATGACTTTGGAAGCAAAGGCCTGATATTAGATAAAGGCTTGTCCTATTTATCATAGCTCCTTGAATCCCCCCTTCGGCATCACAAGGGTATCATATGAATGATGGAATGATGTCTTCAGTTCCCTTTGAGTCTAGTTTCTCCTTCTTCTCTGGAGCCCGCCGTTGAGGCCTAGAGTTCGCTCGTCGATTCTTGAATCTAGTAAACAGGTCATCATCTTCGTCTTCGTCATCCTCATGGTTACCGGGTGGCGTTTTGGTAGTTGCTCTTGTCGATGAACTCGGTTTTGTTGCCGCTGTTCCCAAAGACCCACGACTTTTTGGAGGCGCTCTAGTATCTGGTAGTCGTTTGCTACTTGCGGGCATCGTTTGTTGCTGATTAATAAATGGGCTCTGCACCTTTGCAAAGGCTTCTGATGGATAAGCCGGTCTTGCAGGTCGGCTATGACCAATCTCCCTCTTGACCGGAGTTTTGACGGGCCCTCCAAGATCATCACTCTCATCTTCCGTCGTCGCCTCATCCTCTAGCGTACTCTTCATTGCCGATGCTGCCGGTTTCTTGCTCTGAGAAGACCTCACCACACCCCCAAACAAACTCGAAGCCGAGGTCCTCGCGCCCGAACCCGCCCTCGTGAGCGCCATCAGCGGCACCTCCTTCTTCTTGGGGCTATGCATGAGCCCCTGCAGCGACGTGCCCCGCCATGGCACGCCCATCTCGTCCCCGCTCTCCTCGTCATCCCTGCCGGCCTCCCTCTTTGCGCGGCGTAGTGCCTCGCGCTGCTTCTTCTTCCGGAGCAGCTCCTCCTGGCGTTTGCGCGCGAGCTCGGTCAGGGACCCGACGACGGGGCGGGAGATGGTCTTGATCGTCTCGGCGTTTTGCGTGCGCGTTTGGGCTTTGAGGCGCTGGTATTCTGCCGCGTGCAGGTGCGCTGTGAATTGTCCCGCGATGGTGACGAGCTCGTCCTCGACCATGCGGTACTTGTCGTCGTTATCGAGACCATCTATCATGAAACTACGCGTGTGTTAGCGGTTCGTAAAGTATGGATGGGAGAGTATGAGTACGTCTCTGGAAGAGGTTCTGGCGGTGATGAGGTTGAAGGGCTTCTGCCTGTGGGTTCTCAAGTCAGTGAGTGGACTGAGCTGCTGTGAGCAGGCGCGGCCTAGCGCTCATACCCCCGAGGAAGCCATTTGAACGGGCCGGTTTACGGTTCGAGTGCTCAAGCGGTGATGCAACCGCTGCTGCCCGAGATGCGGACCGGATTGGTGTCACGGCTTTCCGAGGTGTGGATGCGGTCTGTTTCTTCTTGGTTGCCGTCCGTTCCAGTGCATTACGGTCCCAGGGGAGTTGTCGCGTCATGGCTCGTGTAGTGTTTGAAAGAGGCGTTGGGGCTGTAGCTCGAGAACATTCATAATCTGGAGTTCTCAAAGCGATGTTGTGGGAGTTGGGTGAGTTTCAATGAGATCTATGAGATCTTTGGTGACAACTACCTGCAATGAGCAGGCAGGTCGTCGCGCCTTCTGGGTGAGACCAGGTACCGAAGGTAAGTACTTTAGGCGGCCGTTCGATGTGAATGAGCACTGACAATTATGCAAGAGGCCGCATTACCATCTCCGGTAGCACGCCCCACTTGCTGCATAACTGACTGCTTTCTTGGGTGTCTACCTGAGATAAGTTCTCAGGTCAGTGAGGTAGCAAGCGAGGAAAAGGAGTCGCAGAAATGATAACTTGATAGAAAAGAAAAGTACCCGATCCGGGATATGACTATTTTAAACGCTATGAGTATGCCCCATTTTATCTATCATCCGTAACCCAACCCAGACGAAATACACACAACAACAAATCCTTCAACCCAGGTTGAATTCACTGGCTGCGTTCATCACAGCCCTCATCTTCATCTTCATCTTCCTCTCCATCTCGCTCGGCTCAGCACCAGTGTCGATGTCCTCCATAGCGTTGCCACCCGAGGGCCTACTGTCTCCTCCTCTCCTGGCGGCGTTCTTCTGCTTCATGACCGCCTTCTTGCTGTCGTGGCCGCCGCGTCCGATGCCCGACGGCGCCTCGCGCAGGCCGTACGCCTTGGCCATGTGACCCAGGTGTAGCTCGTTGATGTCGAAGTAGACGCGCTCGTCCTTGATGTGAGTCGCGTACGCCCTGATGTGCGAACGGAAGGCTTTGCGCGCCTCCTCCAGAAGTTTTGTCGCCAATGGCAGGAGCAGGCGCTGTTCCAGGTGAAGCTGCAGGTTCTCAGCCCGGTTGCTGAAGCCCCTGTCGGTCGCGGGCTGGGGCTTGGTGTCCGTCTCAACGGGGAAGTCCATGCCTGTTGTGAAGCCCTTGTGGAGGACAGTATCGTAGAGTTCTGGCTTGGGAGGTGAAGCGTTCTTGGCTTTGAGAAGGTCGATGTAGCCTTCTTCACAGCCAGGCATGAGGAACAAAACCGCCTTACCGGGTTTTCCAGCACGCGCTGTACGACCGATACGATGGACGTGGTCGTCTGCACTGAAGGCGGGGTCGTATTCGACTACGAGCTCGACAGAGGGCACATCGAGACCACGGGACGCAATGTCGGTAGTAAGCAGGACTGTCGGGTCTGTGCATTTGCTGTAAGATGCCAACGTAGCTGTACGTACTGGCTGAGGGAGGGAGCCGTGTAATTTGTGAAGGACGATATTCGTGTTGGCTGCTGATGTGATGTACGCCGAAGGCGCGACGGTATTTGCGGTTTGCGACGTTGAGTTATCGGTTGAGCCCTCGTCCTTCTTCGGCGGTTGACGAAGGAGATCGAAATGATAGTCGACTGAATCGGCACAGGAAAAGAAGACGATAGCCTTCATCACCGAACCTTTCCGTGAAAATGTTGACTTCAGAAGCGCTATGAGCGTGACCAGGCGCAGCTTGGCCGGTACGATCAAGTAGTTCTGCTTGAGTTGTGCCGGGGCCTCAAACTTAATCTCCTCTCCCTCAACTTGCTCTTCCCCTGATGTGGTAATGTGAACCGCATCTTCCAGACTGATCTCGCCGAGCTTTTGAACGTTCATCTTCATAGTGGCCGAGCACAGGACTGTCACGCGACGCTGCGGGAGATTGGCGAGAGAGACCCCGTTGGCTGTTTTGTCTGCCAACGGATTCTCGCGGATCCTGCTGACAATAGTGCGCAGTTCCGCCTCAAAACCCATTTCCATCAAACGATCGCCTTCGTCAAGAACCAACCACCTCACAGTGCCGACATCCAGAGTCTTGGTGTGCTCGAGGTGATCGCTCAAACGACCAGGTGTTGCGATGAGAATGTTGACGCCTTTCCTGAGACGGCTCTTTTCAGAGTGTTTGCTCTCACCACCAATGACTGTTGTGCTGACCAGGTATGGTGGGAGAACCTTTGCAAGCACGAGCTCGATCTGTCTGCAAAGTTCACGGGTAGGCGCCATGACGATGGCGAACAAGCCCGAGTCTCTCTTGATCTGGCCCTCGACCGACAGGATCCGCTGAATGATGGGTAGCAAATAAGCCAAAGTTTTTCCGGAGCCAGTCTGCGCTTGCACAAAGGCATCGCTGTCTTCTTTGATGAGTTGAGGAAGGACTTTGGCTTGGATAGCTGTTGGTGCCTTGAGCTGGATCTTGCCAGAGAGCGTCAAGGCCAGGCGTCTTGAGATACCCAGGGCGTGGAAGCTGGCAGCTTCATCAGAAAGCGGCGCGTTTGAAGGCTCGGCCACCTTCTCCTCGACCTTTTCAGCACCGGGCTCATCGAAGATGGTCTTTGGCGTGGGGTTGTACGAAAAAAGTTTCGATGAGATTTGGCCGTCTCTCAGCTTGTTCGAGATGCTGCCGGGCGGCAGTTTTCCAGTCCGGTAGGCCGTAGCCTGAGGATGCTCTGCCCTCGCTCGCTTTGCCGGGCGCTCAAAAGAGTCGTCGTCGTTGCCAGGCCGGTCCGATCTCTGGGGCTTCTTGGATCCAGGCGTATATCGTTGCGGTAGCGGGGCATCGTCTTTGGCTGATGATGAAGCATCCTTTTCCGTGCCTTTATTGGCAATTCTGTTGGCCTTGTTCCTGTCGCGCCAGCGACCACCCTGAATCTTGACATGGGGCTTGGCAGGGCCGCTGCCCATGTCAAAATTGAGAATCATGCCATCGTCCGCCATTTTGCTGATGAGATTTGCCGTTAATCGCAAAACTGAGCCGTTGGCTCGCTGAGACTCGGTGGAAATTTTTAGGCAAGTAAAGTCTTATCGCTTTCGGTGTTTAGATAAGCCCCACAGACACACAGACCACTTCCTCGACGCGTGCCAGCGGGTATCCGTACCTTCCTTACCTGGCACGTACCCAAAGTAATTACATACCTACCTACCATCACTCGCGCCTCGTTGCTGATTTCAGATGCCACCACCTAACAGTGTTTTGGACATGGCTACGTACGGCGACTTAGGAACCTGATTTATTGCCTCAGCAGACGCCCAACGTTGCAGAGGGAGATCGAACGGAAACCCAAGTTGGCTTCGTGCCTCTCTCGTCGTTGTCTGTTTCTTCTTACCTGTAGTTTGGTTCGCCGAAATCGACCAGTGACAGGTAAAAATATCGTTTCGATTATTGAACTCGACTCTTATTCGGTCTCTACAGCTATTCTCGCCGTCTATGCCTTCCATTTCGTCAATACGGCCGGTAGTAGTATAAACTGCGTGTCCCAAGCTAACTCGAGGGCAAAGAGGCATAAGATGTCTTTCAGAGCCTGTCGCACCTGCCAGCTCTTCCATGTTCCAAGTGTAATATACCCAAGCTCGTCGGGTCCGGATATTGTGAGTCACTGAATGTGCCGGTGTATTTAACAGTACAAGGTAGACAGGTCGCCTATACCTCTCTGGGAAGAGGAAGTACATCAGCAATGGATCCTGTTGTGTCATTGAGCTGGCGATGTGTCACAAAAGCTGCGTAAAAGACAAGAGCTTCTGGCTCCAAAGCTCAAATTTTAATGACTAGATGAGGACTTGCTGACTTTTCATTGGTAGAGAACATATGTACGTGATGCTGCAGGTGTACACAGTCAGCGAATGATCCATGGTGGTGCCGGTAGGAGCTGCGATTACTAATGCGATTCGAAGCTGGGCGAAAGCCCGCCACTGGCGGCGTCATTATCATGTGACTCGTTTGATAAGCCCCGCGCTCGCCTTATCGGCCGGGTTCATGATATTTTTTTTTTCCTCTCGAGGACAACCCCGCCATACACCGAGCCCAAACGCCCAAGGAGGAACCCCTCGTCGCCTCGTTTTTTCCCTAACATTTCCTCCCAAAATCGACAAGGAATCGGGCACTGAGGGAAGAAGCACCAAAACATGACGAACGCCACTATTCTCTGCTGCAACTGCGGCGCCCCCATTGACGGAACCACCGCCGCCAATGCGCTCTGCTTTGACTGCATCAAGCTGACCGTCGACATCTCCCAGGGCGTCCAGCGCGAAGCCACCCTCAACTACTGCAGAGACTGCGAACGCTGGCTGCTGCCGCCCAGCAGTTGGATCGTCGCCGCTCCCGAGTCCCGTGAACTCCTCGCCCTGTGCCTCAAGAAGCTCAAGGGTCTGAACAAGATACGCATCATCGACGCCTCCTTTGTGTGGACGGAACCCCATTCGAGACGAGTCAAGGTCAAGATTACGATCCAGGACGAGGTCCAGAGCGGAGTCCTTCTTCAGCAAGCCTTTGAGGCCATTTACATTGTCGCGTACCAGCAATGCCCCGACTGCGCGAAGTCATACACAGCCAACGTATGGCGTGCCTCGGTCCAGGTCCGCCAAAAGGTCCTGCACAAGAGGACGTTCCTCTACCTCGAGCAGTTGATCATGAAGCACGGCGCACACAGAGATACTCTCAACATTAAGGAGGCCAAGGATGGAATCGACTTCTTCTTCTCAGCGAGGAATCAGGCCGAGAAGTTTTGCGACTTCCTCAACTCAGTGGTGCCGTGTACGGTCAAGAAGTCGCAGGAGCTCATTTCGCAAGATATCCACACATCGACAAAATCGTTCAAGTTCACCTTCTCGGTTGAGCTGATTCCTATCTGCCGTGACGACCTTGTTGCCATGCCCATTAAGCTGGCACGGGCTTCCGGCAACATTTCTCCCCTCGTCATTTGCCACAAGATCGGAACTGCAGTATACCTCTTTGATCCCAACACCCTCCAGACTGCAGATGTCAGTGCTCCCATATACTGGCGCGCACCTTTCCGTTCCCTCGCCGACGTCAAGTCGCTCGTTGAGTTTATCGTTATGGACATCGAGCCGACGGGTATCACAAAGGGCAAGTGGCATCTCGCAGAGGTGCAAGTAGCCCGCGCCTCCGACTTGGGTTCCAACGACAAGACCTACTTTGCGAGAACACACTTGGGTGGCCTGCTGCACGCTGGCGACTCGGTCATGGGCTACATGCTTACTGGCACCAACTTCAACAACGAGGAATTTGACGCCATCGAAGAGTCGCACGCCTACGGCTCGACGATACCCGACGTCATCCTGGTCAAGAAGCACTACCCCAATAGAAGAAAGCACAAGAACCGCAACTGGAAGCTCAAGCGCATGGCCAAGGACGAGGGCGAGCTGCTCCCCAAGCAGGCGGATCAGGACCGCATGAACGAGGACTACGAGCAATTCCTGCGCGACGTCGAGGAGGATGATGAGTTGCGCGCGACAATGGCGCTGTACAAGGCGCAACAGGCGCAGAAGATTGATCCGGACGCCATGAGCATCGCCGAGACCGAGGGTGATGAGGGAGCTCCGAGGGTGGACATGGATGAGCTGCTTGACGACATGGACGAACTCCAGATTCAGGACTAAGCGTTGATATCCGTTTCCGAAAGGGAAGGGGGCGTGTGTGTCTACGGACGGGCAAGTTGGGACGTATCTCTCGAGGTCCCCGACGTTGGTGGACCCGGGATGGTGTTAAGGTTTAGTGACCGTCTGCGGGGAAGAAATCTATTTCTCGAGATGGTACGTGGACACGTTTGGTTTCTCGGCAAAAGAAGAGTGGAAGAGTCATGTTAAATTCTCTTTCAAAAAATGGATGGGACGGTTCAAGGATAGGTTGGCCAGGCGTGTATGCATCAGATACCTTGACTGAGACTGCAACGCTAGTAAAAGTCGTTGCGTTCGTCGTTGGAAAAACTATTAGATCACCACGTGGCTCATGCGTCCGCTTTATTATTCTTTGCCGTTCAAACGCCGCCGACGCCGCCGCCGCTCACGATCATGTTAAGCAGGGATCCAATGTCGGAGCTGTTGGCGATGTACCACTGCCCAAGCTGTCCTCCCACCCTCCCCCAGTCTAAGGTACTGTGCGTGCGTGCTCAGCACCCTGTCTACCTTATCTCATCCATGGACGACATCGTACGTGCGTCCGGCAGCAACTCATCGCACGGCCCGCGGCAGTCACCCCTCTTACACCACTCAGGAGCCCAACAAGCAGCACATCGACCTTCCCATCAAGAGTCCAATGTCCGTGCTGTTCTCCCTCTGTTACCCAAACAGGGTGCCGACTGTCTGGGACTGCCGACCGCACTGTTTCTAATCGCCGACTCCAGCGGGCTTGAGCACAATCACACCACAAACTCGGCACACCCAGGTTTTCCCCCGTGGCCCCGTCTACCTGTTGGTTCGTTCGAGAGGCGGGCAGACTCCCCTACGTCCAGCACTGGACACTCTAGGGACCCGACCCGGCCGCCGCCGACTCTAGGAGCCACGCCCTCCTCCCACGGCATCGTTCTTTCAATTCTACGAAACCGACGTGGTCCGCCCTCCTCCTCCTCCTCCTCCCTCCGGGCTTCCCCAGAGTCTCCCGGGGCGGTTAGGATCAGCCTTAAGGTATCCAGGTCCCCAACCCTGGAACCGAGGTCCAAACAGGCGTCGCCGGCTGGGCGGGTAGACAGAGAGCTGTCGGCACCTCCCTTTTCCCCAGACTTTGGTCTCCCAGACGGGTCCGCCCCCTGAAGCTCTTTACACCCCCCCGCCATCATGAGTTAAGAGTCCACTCCCTCGACCCTACTGGCGACATAGATGAGACGGTGGGGAGCCAGGATGCCGACGGGGACCTAATACCCTGGGGGATTCCAGCTACGCCCTCGGTGCTGCGCAGATTTACAGTTTATAAGGTTTTGAATGGTGGTGGGAGGGTGCAGGTAAGTTGTCCTACCAGCACCCAGGTCGATGCGGACTCCGACGGACGGAAGCTTCACGGCGGCAGGCGGCTTGATTTTTGTCCAGGAGGGGAGGGTCCTCGCGCGAACGGGCAAGCTAGTAGAGACCGCGCGCGCAATGCCCTGTTGCCTTTGAGGCTTTGGGGATCATGTTTGCTGTCATCTGATCGAGATCTGGTGTACGGATACTTTGTTTTCTTGGACGCCGGTGAAGGTTTGCGCGGCAAGCTTATGTCAATGTCTGCGGTTTCGTCCGAGTGGGAATGATTCCAAAGACAATATCTCCTGTGAGCGGTATACGTACGGCGCCTTGGTGATGAATTGGCTAGTTTGCCAGTTTGTCGAGGTTACAGTGTGTTGGGCTTGGTGTAAGTTGGTTCACCGAGAGGCCGAGGCGGAACGGCTGCTTTGGAGGTGATCAACATCATAGCCGCGGCTTGCCTGAAACACTACTCATTGATTACTCGATGCAGAGATACTGTGAAATCGAATCATTGGGCGACTGGAAATCTTTCCGAGGCTGAGATGCATGTGGATTGGCGCTCTGTACACGTTGTTGAGCCGCAAGCTGAGCGTTGCGCTAATGGCAAAGTGCTCATGTTAGCGCCGGCTATTGTAACTACTCTATTTCGAGCAGCTTCTTTCGTCCCAGTGTCCAGGAGAGCATGTCATCATCGTTTTTTATGCCAAGCGAGCGGCTCGTCGCGAACACGAAAGTGGTGTACACGAAGCATTCGCATCCGCTCCGTTATGGAGAAAGACTTCACAGTTCAAGTGGTGTTCATGCTAGCAAGTACAGACGACACGCATCATTCTGCCTGAATACGACCGCGGCTCTATTTTGCATGGAGCTTCGTCCGTAGGGTATACTCTGAGGACGTCATGCCGTCATCTGTTTTCATGCCAAGATGCCAGACAGACTACCCTCCGCGCAGGCTCATGATGGTGACCCAGCGGCCTTCGCAATCGCTACTCGGCGGTCGGCCACACATGCCACATCTACCCACCTACACTTGCAACCACACCGTAACATTCCGAGGCTACTGATCCATAGGGCTCATTTCGTCTGATGATTGAAGTCCAAGTACGCTCCTCCTACCAGTAAAATGACGATGATAACATAGAATGCCGAACATACGGGCACCCCCTCCCATCAGAAGATCTTCCCGAGCACCCTCGCAACATCCCCTCCCGGCTTCGCAGTCGAGCCAGCCTCGCTTTTCCTATCCGCCAAGGGTATCTGCTTGAACACCGTCCGCCTCTTGTCTTGCTGCCCCTCTGCCGCACCACCAACCGAGGGCCCCGCTCCCGCTCCCACTTCCGTCACCGCAGCCGCAGCCGCCTTGCCGCGCTTCTCCCTCGTCGCAGCGATGCCGTCCAGCACCCTGGCCCTCTCCACGTTCCGCACAAACTCCTTGTTCTCCTTGCTCGCCTTGCTGATCTCGGCCCGCATCCTGCTCGTCCGCTCCGCGTTCTCGGCCGTGATCTGCTCCGTCAGGTGACGCCATTTGAACCCCTTGAGGTATTTCAGCGTCCAGATGTCGTCGTGGTAGTAGGACCCCTTCTTGCCGCCAATGGTCCGCGCGTTGAGCAGCTCGCAGACGGCCTTGGCGTCCTTTTTCCGCATGAACTCGACCCAGCCCTCCGTGTACGACTTCTTCTTGTTCCCGCCGGCCTTTACGCGGCGCGCGTGCGCCGTCGGGTCCTCGGGCGCGAGGAAGATGCGGTTGATCTTGCCGTACGGCTCGAGGAGGGAGCGTAGCTTCTGGGGCTTCATGAAGGGCGGGATGCGCGAGATGTAGACGACGCCGGACTTCTTAATCGCCTCTTCCGTCGCGACGAGGTTCTTTTTCGTCAGGGGCTTGGAGACGTCTGGGAGATCTGGCTTTGTGGAGTTTGACTTTTTCTTGTTGGTCGAGGTCGAGGCCTCTGCGCCGTCCTCGTCGGCGCCTTCATTGTCGCTCGCCGCGTCTTCTGCGTCCCCTGGAACATTTCGCTCTTCGTCGCTGAAGTCATCTTCGTCTTCGCTGTCGACTTTGCGCCTCTTGGCGGTGCGGCCTCCCTTGCGCAGCTCCTCGGCCTCGGAATCGTAGCCTTGGTCGAGATCGTCGTCGCTCTCGTCTGCGTCGAGGAATTTGTTGCGTTTTTCGGGGGCCATGGTGGCTGCTGGGACGTAATATCGATGGTGGTGGGTCCTAAAAGTCTTAAAATGCCAGCAAGAGCAGAATGTAATTCCCCTGCTAGAGCCTTGTCGGTAGCCTTGCTGTCGGCGGTAATGCAACCGTCGTTGTACAAGATCCAAATCAAAGTCCGCGATCCCAGCCACTGCGCGCGGTCTGCAAAAAAATTAGAGTGGACCTTATCGGTAGTGTCTTATCGGGGTAGTACAGTCTGATTACATCATCTCTTATCTTACCGCGTTCCCCACAAGCGCGGTCCGGCGGGCAGGTCACAGGTGCCCCTCCATGTCATTGCCCCTCCACCTGCCCCTCAGTGAGCTCACGATTCATGAAGGGGGATATCTAAGCTGCGAATTGCCTCCTGACCATCAACTAGATCTGATTCCTTCGCATTCGTACCTCTCTTTTACTTGACCTCAGATACCCCAAAGAGAATCAAACAACATGTCCGTCGAAGTCCTCAAGACCATCTCGCCTACCACCAACGAGGCCGTCCTCACCCGGAATGGCGTCTCCCAGGCCGACTTAGATGAGCTCCCCAACATTGCCACCAAGGCTTTCGAGTCATGGAGCAAGACCTCGCTGGCCGACCGCAAGACTATCGTCAAGAAGGCGCTGAGCCTTCTTCTCGAGCAAAAGGATGACCTGGCGCAGGAGCTCACTGTCCAGATGGGCCGTCCCTGCGCCTACACCGGCGTTGAAATCGCCACGGCGGTGAAGCGCGGCGAGTACCTGCTCAAGATTGCCGATGACGTTCTCAAGGACACCGACGGCGAGGCTGAGAAGGGGTTCAAGCGCTTCATTCGCAAGGTCCCCGTTGGCCCGGTCCTCGTCCTCTTTGCCTGGAATGTGGGTTGTCTCCTACCTGCGTGGCTCCACGTAACGCCGTCCGCAGCGTGGTGAATGTTCCATTGCTGTGAGACAACGCGAACTGCTGAGCCACCACCGCGACACCCCCGCCTCTTTGCTAACATGACACTCACAGTACCCTTATCTCATTTTGGTCAACTCGCTCGTTCCCGCGCTGTTGTCTGGCAACACCGTCATCTTGAAGCCGTCGCCGCAGACTCCGACCATTGTGGAGCGCGTGGCCAAGGTGTTTGAGGAGGCCGGTCTCCCGGCCGGCGTGCTGCAGTTCTTCCACTGCGGCTCTCCCGTCTTGATCGAGTCCATTGTGCGCAACCCCAAGGTGAAGCTCGTCGCTTTCACCGGCTCCGTAGCTGGCGGTCTGGCTGTTCAGCAGGCTGCGTCAGACCGTGTCGTCAACGTCGGTCTGGAGTTGGGAGGCAAGGACCCCGCGTATATCCGCAGCGATGTGGACATTGACTGGGCTGCGGCCGAGATTGTCGACGGCGCCGTCTTCAACTCGGGACAGAGCTGCTGCTCCGTCGAGAGGGTGTACGTCGACGACAAGATTCACGATGCCTTTGTTGAGGCCGTCCAGAAGGTTCTCAAGGGATACGTGCTTGGAGACCCCTTTGACAAGGGTACGCACGTTGGCCCCGTCATCTCGAAGCGTTCCCAGGAGGCGATCGAGTCGCACATCAAGGACGCTCTCTCCAAGGGCGCCACTGACGCAACGCCCGAGAACGAGTCCTTCAGCAACCCCCCGCCCAAGGGCAACTTTGTCAAGCCCACGCTGCTAACCGGTGTGGACCATTCGATGACGGTCATGACAGAGGAGACGTTTGGACCGGTGATTCCCGTCCAGCGTGTCAAGAGTGACGAGGAGGCTGTCAAGCTCATGAATGACAGCGAGTTTGGCCTGACTGCCAGCATCTGGACCAAAGACACGGACCGCGGCTACGAGCTCGCGAACCAGGTCGAAGCAGGAACCGTCTTCGTCAACAGATGCGATTACCCCAGCCCAGTAAGTACAATATGCCATGCTTGCCTTGGCGATCGGCCGACCCATGTTTTTGGCCGCTCCGACCACCCTTCGGTGATCGTTTGTCTCCGGTCCCCACTCTTCTTCTTCCCTAGCCCGATGCCCGCCCCTACCGCCAGAGTTGGCCAAGTGGTTGGATCCTATCCGGGGCGGGTAGCCGCATGTTAACCTTTTTCCCTTGTTGTGTTATCTGCCTGCCGGCTTGCAACCTTTCGCAGGTCGTTTATTCCCGCCATACTTCAAGCCATCTTCGTCATCAAGCCACAGTTTATCATAATAAATGTCGGCACTGACAATTGTTTTAGGACCTAGCGTGGACGGGTTGGAAGAACTCTGGCAAGGGGCAGACCCTAAGCCGCTTCGGCTACGATCAGTTTGTTAAGCTCAAGAGCTACCATTTGAAGGACTACCCCAAATGAGCGGTAGTATCGGAGCCCTGAGTGGGCCCATCTGTGCCCGCTTCACTGACTTTTGCATCATGCGGGAAGCTGGCGAAGAGTTGAAGCTGTGTCGAGATGGTGTTTTGCTTGGGAAAAGATCGCGACGGGATATAGTAGGTTGAGGAGGCTCTAGTCATCACGTTCCTGTCAGGGACTCAGTATCAGCTAGACAGGAGCCCACGTCAGAGGCGGCGTTTCTCAGCGCACAGGCAGCCGCTTTCTCGTGGCCACTAGCACGGGTGGTCTCTGCACAGGTTTTAAAGAGTGGACTGCCGGGTGTCCGTGTCACGATGGGCTGAGCCAGAGCATCGGGGAGGACGCACGATGAAAGTGGAGATGCACGATCACGATATCTGTTAATGCTTGAAAATCAAAGATACCTCATTTTTTGTTTATCCTTACCTCAACCAGTCCCGAGCCAAGGAGCGGATGGAACTAAAATCTGCCAAGTGAAGTGGAGGGGGCTTGTCGAAGTCGTATGAAGCAATGCAGACTAGCAAATGGCATGATCAACCCGACCCGCCGACAGCGTCAAGTGTCAGTGTCACTCACGTCAACGGCGTCACGCTCAGATGGTTCATGTTGCCAGTTAGGTCATATGGTGTACCTAGTGTGATCTGTGTCCTACGATTGTGTGTCTACGTCCCCGACGAGTTGGTTCACTTAACTCTCCCCCTTCGTGTTCCTCTTCCTCTTACCTCTGCTTTCTGATGCCGGCTCTGCGAGACCGTAGCCGCGCTCAGAACCTGCAATGTCGAAGGCGGCAGTGTAGATGTGCCTAAAACATTGCGTGCCATGGTCATGGCAAGTCCGAAACCGAAGCTGTGAGTGGTCAGATTGCGATGGTGTGCGATGGGTGTGCGATTGTGTATCCGCTTTTGGCATGAACACACGTTCTCACTCTTCATTTTTCTGTCTGGGCGTGGAGGCGTGTGCAGCGGTCCGAGAGGGACGTGTCATCATTTCCCTGCATGACGGGATTTTCGACTAACAGAAACAGCAAGCAAATAAGTTCAAGCTCTACACGGAAACGGGCAAGAGGCAATTGTCGTCTCATCATCGCAACCGGGTCCTTCCCACCCGTGTGTCTATCTGTCTTGCGACCCTCATGAGATGAACGGCTCTAGGCTGCGCAGACTGATGCGGGAAACTTTAAGCGTCTGAGTAAGTCGGTGACATGAGTAATGCGGATTGATTAAGACAGAGTTTAGTAAAGACACGCAGCACAAAGGTTAAAGGTAAAAAGAAATGGCGGAAAGAATGCAGCTTAGCATCGAAACAACATGCAAGACCCTTGAAACCTGGAACCGTGAGTGCAGGAATTCCCGAAAGCCTCGTGAAGGTTTTTGTGTCGTCTCGTCGCATTCAGACAAAAGTGACAGAGTATCTCAGAAGGTTTTCCAACGTTGGAGTAAAAAAAAAAATGTGGCAGGCGTGGCATTGTAGTATCAGTATGTGTCCGGAACCGTCTTGCAGTATGTTTGAAAGAGAGAATCGGAGTCGGCAAGAGAGATAGAGAGGAAATTGGAGGTTTCTCCCGACTCGCGCGAGACATATGCTGCAGGAAAGCTTGACAAAGTGGCCATCTTTCCCTTCCATTGCGGATCTTCTTTTACGAGACTCGGGCGAATCCATACCTTTGATGTGTGGAATCACCGAATTCTGGAAGCAAACGTTGAAGAGTTTCAACCTACGGGCGGCCGCGGCCGCGTGGGAGTTCAATGGAGCTTGCGTGACGACGGCCGAGAGCATCTCAAAGGCTCCTCTTGAGTCTCATTTGACATTTGGAATCTGTCTCATTGCGGACAACGAAACAACAAGAATGTGTATCCGCATGAGGCATAATGGTGTCGTTTCAGTGGAACACAACGACTTTTCTGTTCCTTCTTACGCCGCAATAAAACCGTCGACTTGCTCAAATGCGGCCAAACCACAACTTAGAAGAGACAGAGAGAAAACTGTCGGCCGCCGGTGAGGCAAAAAGGTGAAGGGGAGGGCGAAGGCGTGTGTTGTCCAGTAGTGCTGGGAGTTACCTCGGAGGGTTTCAGTTGTTTCCTTGACGGTTTCCTCCGTACGGACGCAGTGGCACCAGTCTACAGAGCGGGATGGACGGATGGGAATGGGACTTTACCCTGCTTTCGTGCTTCGCCCCGACGTTGGACTCTTGAAACCTTCCGCAAACGGAATATACGATGTCTAGTTTGTGAAGTTTGCCAAGTTTGAGAGAGAGAGAGAGAGAGAGAGAGAGAGAGAGAGAGAGAGAGAGAGAGAGAGAGGAGGGCTTTGGTATCGTACGCTACCCGCACGAGCCGCACATTGAAGAGAACCTGCCGGAGGGTGGGGGGAGGGGTTGATTGAGCCCTTGGAGGGTCTTGGCAGGTCGTCAAAGGCCAAGAGAAAGTGCCGCGTTCAGCCATGCTGGGGCTACTCAACGAGGCTATCTTCATCGGTCATCTGCCCGTGGGTGTATGTGATAGTTGTCGATTGCATCGATGCATCGGGTAAGATGTTGAGATGTCGACGGGTGCAAGTCTCCACCATGAAGACCGAATTGGCCAATGATATCCGGTTTTCATGATGAGCTAATGGTGGGGCATGGCCGGAGCCGGTCATTCGGATGAGGGGCGTGCAGAAGGACGCTGATCTGGAG